AACTAAATTTCTATTAATGAAATTGAAAATGTAATTAAATCCTTACCTGCAAAAAAGATCCCAGGCCCAGATGGATGCACTGCAGAATTCTACAAGAAATACAAAGACTTAATGCCAATACTCCTCAAACTGTACAGTGAAATCAAAAGGGAATCAGTCCTTTCTAAGTCACTCTTGGAAGGAAATATTACTTTAGTAACAAAACCCGAGAAAGACCCAACTAAAAACGAGAACTATAGGCCAATTTCCCAAATGAACACAGATGCAGAAATCCTCAATAAAATATTGGCAAACAGGATGCAGCAAATCATCAAGAAGATTATACACCACGAACAAGTGGGATTCATCCCAAGCATTCAGGAATGGTTCAACATATGTAAATCAATAAATGTAATCCACCATATCAATAAAGCCAAAAGAATCACTTGATCACTTCTATAGATGCAGAAAAAGATTTTGGTAAGGTCCAACACTCATTCATGATAAGAACCTTACAGAAAATTGGAACAGAGGAATACCTTAATATGATAAAGGCCATCTATGACAAACCAACAGCCAGCATCACATTAAATAGCCAAAAACTGAAGGCCTTTACCTTAAAATCAGGCACAAGACAAGGATGTCCCTTATCACAGCTCCTACTCAACATAGTACGGAAATACTAGCCAGATCAATTAGACAAGAGAAAGAAATAAAAGGGGTAAATATAGGAAAAGAGAAAGTTAAATTATCATTATTTGCAGATGACATGATACTCTACATAGAAGATCCCCAAAACTCCATTGAAAATCTCCTAGATATAATAAATAAATTCAGCAACATAACTGGATACAAAATCAATACTCAAAAATCAATAGCATTCCTATACACTAACAACAAAATCACTGAAAAATAAGAGAAGCCATACCCTTTTTACTATCATTCAAAAAACTAAAATACTTAGGGATTAATCTCATGAAAGAAGTAAAAGATCTATACAGGGAAAATTATAATACCCTGAAAAATAAATCGAAGAGGATCTCAAAAAAAAGGAAAGGCATCCCTTGTTCATGGATAGGAACAATAAATATTGTGAAAATGACTATTCCCCCAAAACTGTTATATAGATTCAATGCAATCGCAATAAAAATACTATCAGCATACCTCATAGATCTAGAGAAATCACTCCTAAAATTCATCTGGAGTGAGAAGAGACCTAGAATAGCAAAGACAGTTCTAAACAGCAAAGGCAAGGCAGGAGGCATCACAATCCCTGACTTGAAGTTATACTACAAAGCAACTGTAATAAAATCAACATGGTATTGGAATAAAAACAGATCTGAGTATCAATGGAATAGATTAGAAGATGCAACCACAACTATTAACACACTCAACTACCTTATCTTTGATAAAGTAACCAAACATGTACACTGGAAGAATGACAGTGTCTTTAATAAATGGTACTGGAAAAACTGGCTTTCCATATGCCAAAAGCTAAATCTATCACCATATACTAAACTAAAACCTAAATGGATAAAAGATCTGAATATTAAAACAGAAACACTAAATCTGTTGAAAGACAAATTGGGTAAAAACCTTGAAGACATAGGGGTAGGTAGAGAATTCATGAACAGGAATCAAACTACACGGGAAATACTTTCCAGAATCAATAACTGGGATCACATCTTACTAAAAAGTTTCTGCATGTCAAAAGAAATCTCCAGCATAGTGAAAAGAAAATCCACAAACTGGGAAAAAATCTTAGTGAACTGTCCCTCAGACAAAAGACTTCTGCATAAACGTATAAATAATTAAAAAACATCAAACTCCCAAAATTCAAAGACGCAATCCAAAAATGGGCATCTGAGATGAATACACAGTTCTCAGATGAAAAAATACAGATGGCAAATAAATACATGTAAAAACATTCATCATCATTACTCATTAGAGAAATGCAAATTAAAACCACTTTGAGATTCCATCTCACTCCAGAAAGAATGACCAGGATCAAGAAAACTACCAACAACAAATGCTGGAGAGGCTGTGGGGAAAAAGGAACTCTACTGCTCTGTTGGTGGGAGTTTAGACTGGTTCAACCACTGCGGAGGTCAGACTGGAGATTTCTCAAAAGGCACGCATTGGAAGTCCCATTTGATCCAGCTATTCTGCTTCTAGGCATATTCCTAGAAGAACTGAAAACAGCATACCACAGTGATATATGTGCACCCGTGTTTATAGCAGCACAATTTGTAATAGCCAGATCTTGGAAACAACCTAAGTGTTCGTCAACTGAGGAATGGATAAAAAAGTTATGGTATTTTTATACAATGGAGTACTACTCAGCTATAAAGAAATGATCACATTGAGATATTTATAAATAAATGGATGCAGCTTGAGATCATACTCATAAGTAAAATGAATCAAACTCATGTGTATAAATACCATATAGTCTCCCTAGTTGAAGAAATGGTAGGAGTAGATAAATGTTTATGGTAATCTTGATTCCCCATTGCATTACTTTGAGCCCTTACAATGTTTCCATTCATTAGTTGAAATGGTTTTATCCTGGGTTGTTTGATTTTATTATCTGATGGTATGAACAGCTATTTTGAAGAAAACAAGACATTGTAATAGCCAGTGATAATTTAATATCATCTGGCTTTGAAGGCCTACCATACTGTTCTTCTTCTGTTTCCATTAGTTCTATCATGTAGTATCTTATTGGATTTTATCATGTGTGTTAGTATAAACAAATTTTTTATGGACAATGAGATAACATAGTAACCATTGTTAATTTTCTGTTATTTGGTTCTGAATGTCCTGTAATACTTTTATTCTCTTTAATAGTTTTATATTATTTTGTTATGTTTGATACTATTGTGTATGAAGTTATGGTCAACTATTTCAAAGAAAGAGACATTTATGGTAGTTACTGTTATATCGGGTTGTCCTGTTGCTTAAATTTTTCTGTTCTGATCTGCTTTGTTATGTCCTCTTTTATCTTAATCTCTAAAATAAAAAAAATTTAAAAAAGAAGTTTGTTCTTTCAGTTTGATTGATGATTTTTTCATGCCTAAATCTCATAACCTGAATAACTACTTCCAAGATCACAATATGCAATATATTAATTTGTGTTAATTTCCTACTTTTTAAAAATACCATATCATTTCTTTTGTTTTGGTTTATTTTGTTTTTAAAATTAAAAAATGAGACACATCTATTTGAATGGCCAACATCACGACACTGACAACACAAAATACAGGCAACCATACAGAACAGCAGGACCCCCTCATGGCTGGTAAGAATGCAAAATGGTGTGTGGATACAGTTCCGTTTCTTACACAATTCTACAGTTCCGTTTCTTACAAAATTCAATCTCTTCTTAATATGTGGCCCAGAAATTACAATCCTATTTACCCAAAGGAAGTGAACAATTATTTTCACATGAAAATTACATAAGGAAGTTTCTAAGAGCTTTATTCATAATTCCCCAAACTTGAAAGCAACCAAGATGTTCTTCGGTTAATGAATGGACATATAAACTGTGGTGCATTCAGATACAGGCTACTGTTCAGCAGTGGAAAGAAATGAGTTACTGAGATATAAAAACACATGGAGGATTCTTAAATCCATGTTACCAAGTGACAGAAGCCAGTATGAAAGGGCTATACACTATATAATTTCAACTACATAATATTCTGAAAAAGGCACAGCTATAGAGACAGGAAACATTCCCAATGCTGTCAGAGATAAGGAAGGAGAGAGGGACAAACACATCCCTCTGTTGAGCACAGAGGGATATTAGGGCAATGAAACTCTTCTATGGGACACTGTAATGTCGGGTACACACATTAGCACAAATCCATGGAGCAAGCAGTGCCAAGAGTGAGCCACAGCAAAAAGTATGAACATTAGGTGCAGACAACATAGGTCCATCCATCATAACGAACAGACCCTAGTGTGGGACTCTGACTGCCTGGGAGGCTGTGTGCATATACGGAAATGGGGTAGGTGGGAAATCTTTGTACCTTCCTCTTAATTTTGCTGTGACCTAAAGCTACTTTATAGTTATTTTATTTTAAAAATAATAATGAACTATAACAAAAAACATAGGGGGTATTATGCTTGGTCAGGGTAAATATTCTACTACAAACTTCTGGCATATGCATTTCTGTCTATATTAGTCACAAAGACATTGTGCCTCCTGTGGTTCATGGTCAAAAAATGAGTCACCCTAGGGGTTTCTGAGATTGTTTCTTCAATTATCATAAATTGCTATTACAATATAGTTTACAAAGATGATAAAACCTTTATATCTCATGTGCTTGTGAAGCCAACTGAGATGGTAGAGAGTAAACAATCAGAAAGACAAAGGCATCCTTCTGCACTGGCAAACACTGATTCCCTTGAACACAATGCCCATTCCTCCACCCAGAAGCAGCACCAGCCAGCTGAACGCTAGGAATAGGCTCAGATGTAATTTTTAAACCTCTTTATGAGATCTTGTACCTCTTCAGATGTTCATTCTCCTGGTTACTAGGTCAATCAGAAGTGTTTGGTACTTAATTATTTTTCCACACCCAATAAAACATTAAAAACCAGAGTGTACAGTACTGGGTGCTACAGAAAAGGGGATTGAAAAGCAACGTTTATGTGAATGGATGCTTGGGTGATTAGGTGCGCCATTCAGCCAGTCAAGAGGAGAACAGACACTGACAGGTATTCTTTGAGGCCAGTGGCCAATCCCAGATGCATAAACACGCTGCTTGGCAGGGTGGATCTCTACCTTTTTTTGTCCCCTTCCTAAAATGATCTCAAACACCCAAATGGTTGCTTCCCAAGTGTAAACGATGGGGCTGTTTTCACAAAGGCAGGATAGTGAATCATCCAGCCAGCCCTGTCACACACATACATTCTTTCTGCATGAATATTGAACTTGTAGATTTGTGAGTGAGTCTCTATGCCTGAGGCATTCACATGCAGGGGAGTTCTGGAGATAAGAAAGAACCACCGAGAAAGGCTAAGAAGAAACTCAGGTTTATTGAGCACCTGCCCACGCATGTCATATATACATATGGCCAAGGCAAATATTTCAGAGTCAGAACCTGAGAAAGAGTTCTCAGCACTGATCAGTAGCCCCGCCAACAGCTCACCATCCAGAAAACTGGAGTGGTCACTGAACACCTTTATTTGACAATTAATACAATGGAAACCATCAAGAAGAATTCAAAAGCAATCTTACCCATGGTTTAAAAGCAATTTCACACTCCAGTTGCTGCTTCAACCCCAGTTTCTCATCTTTGGCTCAGACACAGGATTTCACCAAGCCACTGTCAACCCTCATGACATTGTCCCCCTTCTGTAGCTGGAAACACTGAGGAGCCCGCTGTCCACCAAGGCCCGACTCTCCTCTCTGCTGTTTCTTTCCCTGCATGGTCAAAAGATTCTTCATGTATGCAAGCCTTTCTTCTTCATGCTTTCCTGGGAAGTGATGATTTAGGGATTATTTCCCCCAGGTGACTCTGGACACAGCTCAGAGCAGAACCATCTTGGCTCCATTTTGTAAAGTCTGATTTTCAGGAAAGAGGTAAATTCGTAAGTGTCTGGTCAGGGTTTCATAGCACCAAGAGTCTCTAAAATTGGTAGCTGTGTTTCAGATGGTGCCATTAGAAGAGTCAGAAACACTTCTGCTCCACTGTCTCACGTTCCCAGTTTGAGAAGAGAGGGAAAACACAAGCATTGTCATAGGAAACAATAATATAATAATTAAGAGTAATAATATTAATAATAATCTGATAATCTGCAGCATCTGTTGGTTTTAATAATTCTGAGGTCTCTGGAGAACCTGATATAAAAAGAGAGGAGGGAGGGAAGGAGAGAGGGAAGAAAGAAAGAAGCAAGGAAGGAAGGAAGGAAGGAAGGAAGGAAGAAGCGGACAAAGGAAGGGAGAAACTGAAATCTTTCAAGGCCTCTGGTGTCCCATTGGACTGTAAGTTCAAATTTCAAAAATCCATTGCAATCTTCTGATTTTGTAGAATCTTCTAGGGGCCCTTCACATTACCCGGCCGGGCTGCAAGGCTCGCGAAGTAGGCACACTGGGAAGGGTCACACAGGCCAGGAGGACCAGGTGGGCCTGGAGGGCCAGGGTGTCCAGCAGGTCCTGTCTCCCCTTGAGGGCCAGGACTCCCTGGAAGTCCATCCTTAGCATAGCCAGGCTCCCCAGGTTGACCTGGCCCAAGAAGCAAAAGAAACAGAAGATTTTCAGCTCATATCCAGTAAACCAGTCCCACTCTCCCTACTCCCATTCAGCATGAGCTCAGGAGTTGCACTGTCTTCAGAAAGAATATGCCCTGGCCTGGGAGCGCTAGTCTGGGTGATCATGGTCCACGCGAGTTAAGGGACCACAACAACTGACATGGGGTGGCCACGGTCACTCTCATTGTCCACATGAAATTATATATGGTCCAGGCACCACTTGACAGAGATAAAAAGGGAGGGATTAAGCTAGGAAGGGGATGTGATCCCCACTGGGGAGGGAACACGAGCCAGGCTATCTGGGTCCTCACATGGCTCTAGGAGATGCCTCTGAATTTTGAGAAGAATGCCAAATCCGTCATCCAAATTCATCCCAGTGCACATATCCTCAGAGTCACCTGGTGACCTTTCATCATTCAACATGAAATTTGTCCCAAATCTACTGTATGGTCTCAGCTTTATGTATATGTTAAATTTTGACTATGTTAATCTGTTCTTCAAAATCAGGCTAAAGAGAGCATCCATACTCTAAGAAACCAGCAGTCTATTCAGAGCAAAATTTCTTCCCCACTACATGTCATGTGTCATGATTTCATATATAAGAAATCTGTCCTTTGGAGAAGTCTTTTGTAACTGGGAAGCTCCGTGGTAGGCGTTGTGACCAACTCTGGTAATGGTATTCCTTAACTCTTGTTAGAAAACTCCATATAAAATAAACAAAACAGAAAGTTTTACCTTAAAACTGTCTATATTTTTTGTGTTTTGTTAATGCTTTGATAGTGAGTGTTCAACCTACAGTCTGACATAGACCAAGGACTCAGGCTAGCAATGTTAGTTTTCCTCCCACTGGAAGCCGCTGGCATGCGCCAGTCACACACTGAGCTAGCTTGCTGGAAATGGATAAGCATGTCCTGCTTCTGTCTTCTGTTTCACTTCTTTATCTTTATTTAAAATTGTCCTATTTAAAATAGTCTTCATATTGTAGCTTATTTGAAATTATTCAAGCTATAAAATTAACCATATCTAATTATCTACTACAATAAAAAATAATGGTGCTTGGCCACTGCAGAGCATTTGGAAAACCATAAAATAATAAATAGAAAAATTAAAACTTCCTAAAATACAATCCTGATATTCAGAAACCCTGGATATTAGAAAAGGTAAATTAGAACTACATAGAAATAAAGAAGCCTCAATGAAATGAAGTTGGTAAAAATAAAAATTTCTTCTGTCTTCTTCAGCTGCTCCTCACCCTGCAGCATGATCACTGCTTGCTCTGCAACCACCTAGCACAGTCCCTGGGCCGAGTCATCAGCACTGCCCCAGGTACTTCCCAGTCCGAGGCTTCAGAAGCCCTTAAGCTCAGAACAGCTATTCATTTGCCACGCGGCCAGTGTTTCCTAAGTGCAGTCAGAGGAATCCTTGCAGGGCATCAACAACATGTAGTGGGAGGAAAGAAATTCTTCATGCAGTGAGCTTGGAGAAGGTGCAGTTAAACAAGGTGAACCCTTTGCCATAAGGCTCCCTAGCACTCATAGGAAGTTAATGTGCACCAGGAATGTTGAAAGGCAGAATCGTCCCCATCATTGCCTCGCTTTCTTTAGCCCCATGTCTGCTCTGGTTGTTTTGTTTTGTTTCCTACAAGGACATTTCTCGTGGGTCATTTTTTGTTGGTTTGTTTGTTTGTCTGTTTGTTTTTGTTTTTGACACAAGGTTTCACTATGTAGTTCAGGCTGACCTCAAACTCCCAGTCATCTTCCAGCCTCAGTTTCTTGAGTGCTGGGAATACAGGCATGCAACTGGATGCCCAGTGGTCATTCGTTACTATTATTATTTTGAATTGGTATACAACAATTGTGCATATTTATGGGTTATAATATGCTATTTCAGGATGTTTATACAACAGGTTGTGATCTTCTGGGAAATTAGCATAACTATCACTTAGAATCTGTATCATTACTTTTTGCTGGGAACATCAAAATCCTTTTTTCTAGCTGTGATGAGATATTTAATAAATTGTCAGATTTTTGATTCTTGGGATAAAACTCAAGAATATTAGAAATATTTAATAAAAAGTGAGTGATTTGTCTTCTGATCAGTTGACCCTGCATGGTCACAGACAGGAGTAAGGCTACCTGTACCCCTTCCTACTCCACACAACCACTCTCCCTGAGACCCCAGACACTTTGTACCTGGAATTCCAGGGGGCCCCATTTCGCCTCGGAGACCAACTCCAGGTACACCTGGATCACCTTTGGCTCCTCGCTCACCTGTGAGGCAAACAGATGTCTTTAGTGGTAGAGATGCCTAATGAGGACAGAGACAGGGTGCCCCAGCCTGTGGGGCTGTAACCTCACATCCCTGAGGCTGAACCACTCACACCTGCTCATGTACACCTCCACAACTTCCCCCTTTCCCACCCCCATGCATACACTTTTACACACATGCACACACACATTGAAAAGTATAGCTCATAATATACACATTTGAACACCAAACTAAACAGAACTTCCCTCCTAACCAGACTAAAATACACATATTTACAAAGGAACCTTCACTCCAGCACACATCCAGCCAGTTCCACACAGACCTACACATGTCACTCATGCATAGACTCACCAAACACGGGCCACTAAATGTACACACCCACACACTCCAATGCACACGCAAGCCATGTGAACACCCTTACGGGTATGCACACTTCCCTGTGTTCTCAAAGCATTTAATTTCAGTCTCAGTGGAAGAGGGGTAAGCAAGTAATCCACAAACCCAACACTCTAGGTGACAAGGGCTCATGTAATGACAAGTACACTCCCAATAACCCTGAAGACCAATAAGACAGATGAACTGGAAGCAAAGACAGAAAGTGGTAAGTCCCATAACAGGCACAAAAAAGACATTCAGGGAGAGTGGGTCGTTTTCCTTTCCACTACTTATACTGTACTAGACTTAAGATTACATAGATTTGATTAAACTCTCTCTACTTTTTTATATCACCATGGAGATTTTTCACCACATAGATTCCAAAATATGTCCTAATTCATCATTTAAATTTGGCTATTACGTTGTAGGATCTTTATATCACTCATTTCTATGATTTTAATTGTTATATTTGGTCGGGATTTTGCCGTGCTCTGACACTTCCTAAGTCTTTGCCTTGTCCTTTAGATGAACAATTCATTCATGTTATTAACAAATATGGATTAATAACACACAGATTTAACAAAAAGGCTTTCAATTAAGAGAAAGAGAGACTAAGTAAATAACTGCAAGGAAATGGGACATGAAAGGAGAAGATCCTACAATTCTCCACTGCCCCAACTGTAAGTCACCCAGCAACAGCAAAAGCAAGAACACGTGCTTCTTTCCCTTCCATGCTTGGCTTAACTCTGTGTGTGTGTGTGTGTGTGTGTGTGTGTGTGTGTGTGTGTGTGTGTACAAGTGTATGCACAGGCTACTAGAACCAATGTGGAAGATTCCCAGATTGGTGGCTTTGATATTGGGTCCTTTCTCTCTGCCCTTCATCCCTGCCTGCTTACAAAGAAGGACAGCATTCTAACCTGCCTGCAGAGTGTGGTGGATTAAGAGGGATTAACTCCTGTTCTGCTTTCTGAGGAAGATGCCCACTGTCCAGAGCCTGCCTGGTAGGGAGGCTCCTCTATCCAACCACAGAATTAGCAGCTATGATAGCAGCTGGAAATCAACACCCTGTGATCCAATTGCAAAGCTGGCACAATCTCCAAAAAATGGAGACTGAATACTGCAACCCTTAGTTAGCTCCAAATTTTGTGAGGGAAGAAGAGAGCATTCTATCTTTGACCCCTGAAACTTAAATAAAGGAGACAGAGAAAGAACAAAAATGCAGGAGGAGGGAACATATTTAATCTCCATAGCAAAATCATATGTTTGAAAAAATGTCAAGTAGGAAAACCTCTTAACATATGGAAAAATTATGTGACACCACACTCCAGGTTTCCCAAGCTGCAGGGAATGAAGTCAGAGTGACAACACAGGATCTCCTCGATACCTCACATTCTCGGCTCCGGCCTGCCCTGTGTGGCCCATGAAGCAGTTCTTGCTTGTGCCCACTCACCTTTAGGACCTATTGGCCCAGATGGTCCTTCCAGACCCCCTTGGCCAGGCCGGCCTGGCTCCCCCATGGGCCCTGCCCTGCCCGGAAGACCATCTTTTCCAGGGGGTCCTGGTGGCCCGGGTCTGCCTTGTGAGACTTTCACGTGTGCAGATGGCATCTGGGCCAGGAGGTAGGCAAGTCTGTCTGTGAGTGGCAGAAAGAGAGATATCCCATGAAGAACAGGTAGAGAGCCAAGGACAGAATGGCAATTGGCTGCAAAGGTAGGAACCAAGGGCAAAGCATCAGCTGCGTGTTAACCACCAACACCATCAGTACCACTCACGAGCACACACGCAGTGCAATGCACACCTTTCTGGTGGTTTAGCCCTGGAGGATCCAACCAGCAGCAGTCTGTGACCTGGAGCAAGCCACACCACTTCCTGCACCTCAACTTCCCTTTGGTAAAAGGGAAGCAATGGGATAATGCCTGCTCTGCAGGTTGGTGTGAGGAAGAACAAATGAGAGCATTCAGGAAGACAGCACTTGGCTCTGGGGAGCCCAGTGTCAGTCACGGCAGCAGGACTCACTGCAGCAGCTGATTCATTAGGAGGAGCAGCATTAGCAGGAGAAATAGCAGCGGTGGAAGTAGCACCATGAGCAGTATCAGTGGCATTTGTAGCAATAGTAGTTCGGGGAGTATCAGTAGTAGCACTAGTAACAGTAGTAGTGGTACCAATAGTAGCAGTGATAGGGCAGCAGTAGTAACACTTTTGGAAGTGGTAGTAGTATTGGCAGTAGTAGTATTAGTGCTGGCAGCAATAGCAGTTTTGGCAGTAGTACTGGTACTGATAGCAGTATAGTACTGGCAGAAAGAGTCACAGTACTCACAGCAACAGTAGTAGTTTTAGCAGTAGTAATAGTAGTACTAGCAGCACTATTAGCAGTACTGATGGCAACAGTAGGAGTTGATTAGCAGTAGTAATAGTAGTAGTAGTACTGGCAGAAGCACTAGTAGCCGTACTGGCAGCTGAAGCATTGCTAACAGGAGCAACAACAACAATTGCAACTGTCAGTTGGGAAAACTGAGCCTTGGGAACAGTAAGGCGTTCACAGGAAGCTGCTCTATGACTTCCTCTCTGAGCATCAGATCCTTCATTTAAAGCTGAGGGCTGGACATGTTCATCAGGGCAGATGCTTGCACCCCTCACATACCCTATAGAGGTGACAGAATTAATCCAACGGCTGGCATGCTGTGCCCTTTCTTTGATTAGAGAGACAGTGCCTGTCTAGTGACTACCATAAGCCACCCTTGTTTGCACATAGTCAGGGAACCAGGTCCGCACACCCAGCCAGTGGATGGTGTGCCTGAGACAGAATCTGGTGCTGGGAAGCAAGCCCATGCCAAAGCAGGTCTCCTCCTGGCCTGGCTGACCAGCCCCTCCTACTGCTCATTCATAGCCAGGAAGATCTGAGGAATCTGATTCTGTGACCTTGGCATTTTTGTGGATTCTCTGAGCCTTAATTTTGTCCTTCTTAGAAGGAACTGATGCTTCCTTCTCAGAGGATCATCTGGAAGACATGTAGCCGCTGGGATGCTTGCTCACAGGCTAGTTCAGATCAGTATTATTCCCATTGTTGACTGGAGGTGCCACAAAGGCAGAGGCTATTTTTGTTACCAATAAATGTAGTAACAGGATGCAGAACTCAGAGTTCTCCACTCACCAGTCCCCTAGACCAGCCACCTGTAGGACCCACTGAGGTAGCCTGGTCACCTTCCTTCTTCACCTTCCTTGCCACCTGTACCCCTCTTGCTGTCTATTCCAGGCAATGGTCTCTTGCCCTCTTGTATGACAGCATGGGCCATGTTCACCTGGACTCCCAGAGGTCCAGGAAGCAGGTCATCTTGCTTCCTACTGTGTCCTCACATCTAACACAGTCTGGTATGTACAAGATGCAAAATCACTAAGACATAGCCCCATGAATATCTGTGCCCTGGCTTTTGCAGGAAAGTAATTATGCATTCCTTTCTTTTCCCATCCAGGTTCTTCTGTGACATGTTCTCCCAACCTTCTAGCACAGAGAAAAGGAGAATGGTGATTATTCAAGACAGCCTGTGGTGCAGTGCAGAGCGTGGACTCTGCAGCCAGTGAGTGAAGCCTGTCAAACATTTCCAGCTCCTCAGCTTTGGCTAAGGTGCTCAGCACTGCTGCTCCTACCTTTCTGGACTACAATCAGGCCAGATTTGTGAGGTTGTAGGGGCTTCCATCACCACAGGGTAGGTGCTAAGAACCCCTTCTGACTGAGGGAGAAGCCTACTGCTGCCCCTGCCTCCTTGAGGGTCTTCACGCATGTTGTTCTAATGACCTAAAGCAGTGACGGTGAACCTGTGGTGCACATGCTGCAACCAGCTGTTTGTTACCACTGAAAATTCTAAAAGGTTGTCATCACTGATCGAGGATCTCATCCATCTCTCAACTCACAAATTACATCCCCTCCTCCAGACATCCTGTCCTTTCAGTCCCCTGCCTCTGAGCTATTTTAGGTATTTTCTTTTCTCCTCTCTCAGTGCCATCCATGCCAAAGTAAATCACAGAACTTGTCTTAGAGACTGAAGTCACTGTGTCTGTTTACTGTTCTGTCCCCCGTCCCCCCGGACTGTGAAGAGTCAACCAGGTCCACACACAGCAGGCCTCCAAAATTGCTGATTAGTTAGATAAATGACCGAATGCCCAGAATATGTGAATGATGGTGGCTTTGTAGATGTCAAGTACTGTCACTAGAGGCAATCCAGCAGAAGCTGAATGCCTATTCGGGAAGGGCCCTGCAGAGGAAATCTGTGTATCAGATAAAGGCCCCAAGGTATTCCCCAGGCTCATTACTTCATGTTTGACCTGATCCTAGGCTGTCTTACAAACTGGACTTCACAGTAATGAAAGATCAAGGCACACAAGGCTATAACACAGGCCAGCTACTCACTCTCCAGCTGCTTCTCAAGTTCTTCCTGAATAAGCCGCCGCAGGGCATCCATGGATGGAGACTCCCCCTAGGAGAGGGAGTGTGGGGTTACTCATGTACCCTTGGGTAACAGTGCTACCCAAGTTTCCTAATGACTTAGCAAGCAAGAAGTTCATGGAAATTCACTGTACATGGGGAAGCATACCCTCCTAAACTGCCCTTCACACCGGTATCACCCCTTCCTCTCTGTCATAAGGCAGCTTCACCCCTTGAACTTAGTGGCCTGGATTCTCCACTCTGAACCACTGCAGCCCTTCCCTCCACACCCCTCCATCTCCTTTTCTAGTCTTACTTGAAGCCAAATCTACTGTGTTCACGAATTACATCACACTCTTCCAGCTCTGGTCCTAGAAAGTCTGGCCCCCAACCTTTACCCACCAAAGGCCTGTCTCACTCCAGGACACAATCTGTGGGCGGCCTCCTCATCCATGAAGTCATGTTTCATTCCCCTGCTTGACCCCTCTGGGTCTCAGGGTCTGATTGTTCCTGCTCTGTCCATGCTGACTCTCAATAAGGATCTGATCAGTCCTAGTGCCTGTGGCACAGAAGTGAAAGAGTTTGTGCAGCGGAGAGGCAGAGTGCTGTCCCCAGTTCATACAGTGGAAGGCATTCTTAGCATGACTTGGGAATAGTTCTTATGCGCTAGAGGGCTCATTCCTCTACCTTCAGGGTAGACTTCAATTCTCAAGGCTGGGGTACTCTGTACCCAGCTCTCTTGCCCAGCCCCTACTATCCATCTGGCAAGAAATGGATTCTGTTTACTTACTATCTTGTTCTTTCTTGGCCATGACTCTTACGATAACCTCAAAAGTTCTGTACTGTCCACAGAGTGGAAAACTTGCATAAGGCTCCAGAGGCTTTGGAAGCCAACTGAGTCCCCATTCCTACCTCCTGATTCAGGGAACCACAACCACCAGAAAGCAATGAAACTGCATGGCATCAGAACTGGCAGGGACATGGAGCCCCCATGCCTGTGCTCTAGGGAACAGGAGTGTCCACAGAGGACAGACGTGTTGTTGAAGAGGAATGGGCAGTGACAGGGACTAAGCAACCTGGTCCCACAAATACCTTGTCTACCAGGGCACCTTTATTCTTTTTCTTTTTCAGAACAGAGCATTGAACCCAAGACTTTCAGTTTGAGCTCCATTCCCAGTCTTTCTGTTGTTATTGTTGTTATTATTATTATTAGAAGTAGTGGTATTTTAAGTTTTGAGGCAATCTCACTAAGTTGCCCTGGCTGGGCATGAATTTGTGTTTTTCTTGCCTCATAACTGCTGAAATTATAAGAGTAAGCAACCAGGCTCATCTGACTTTTATCATTTTATAACATATAACAGGCTACTGTTGTAAAACAATAATTTTGCAACTAGAATAAACTATGCTAAAAGAATGGAAAAAAACCCTCAAGACTCTAAAGAAGCATTTTTTTAACATTTGAAGACAATGATTGAACACCGCAGGAAGACAGCAAGAAGGGTCACCAGGCAAGGCACGAACAGATGGTGAGCATCCCACAATAAAGCTCAGGTCACTGAGAGCTGGTGTCTTCTCAGCACCCTCTGCAAGGGATCCTGGGCTGGAAGAGTCTCACAGCTTCAGGAACAAAGCCTAGAGAACTCGTTTCCATCTAGACAGATGGTAACAATAGTTTTGAGCACCTCGTAAGCTATGCACATCATTTCACTTAATAATAGCAAAACAGAAGAGTATTTTCTTATCCATTTTTACAGCCTCAGAGAAGGAAAGGGACCTTACCCACTCCTGGTCACACAGCAGTCCTTAGCAGTAGGGATCTGCAATGCACTCCCCCTGAAGGCCACCTACTTCCCTGCTTTCCCCATGAGCCCAGAGGAGTCCCTAATCTGCAGTGAATTCAACATCCTTACCCTCAGTCCTGGAAATCCTGGCTGGCCTGGTGGTCCTGGAGGCCCAACTGGTCCGCTTTCCCCAGGTGGCCCTTGAGGGCCAGTCAGACCTGTGTGACCTTTGTGGCCTGGAATTCCAGGGTCCCCAGGCTGACCCTTCCCACCAGGCAGTCCTTTGTCCCCTTTGATCCCAGGGTCTCCCTAGAGGAGAAGACAAGCACATGAGCACATGGATCAGGGATGGAAGCAGAGTGAGCACTGTGCTGGTACCACTGCCTCCTGAGACTCCAAGGAGGCTTGGTCCTGCTGTACACGGCTCAGGGTAGGAATCACCCCACCAGCATCCTTATTGTTCATATGAGGAGGTTGAGATCATCTTCAGTGGGTGGGGGACAGCTTTGGCTTTCCAATTCCAGGATCCACAGATGGAGGACCTCAGACACCTGTCACTGGAGGGCATTAAGAAGCTATGACACATCCACACTGCAGAGCACTAAGCTGCTGAAACACAGAAATGGGGCTGAGGGGCCTCTGTGGGTACTCATCAACCTAGAGCACTATGCAGAAATTCTAGGTGTAGAACATCGGTATTTTAGCTGTACCAATTCAGTGCCACTGATGAATGGGAAGTGGGGGAGCACTGCTCTCCACCTTACACCTCAGAAGAAAGAACTTTCCACTCCCAGCCTGCCCCCAAAAGTGCAGTTTCTATTGAAGACTAGGTCAAGGGTCACCTGCCATCTGGGTGCAACTTGGCCCTCTTAACAGCTGGAAGGAAAAGAGTGATTCCTTTCATAGGTGCTCCCCATACTCTGCCTTTGCTCCTGTGCATTCTGAGAGGCCCACTCCACAGCAAGGCTCACATCTGCCATCCCTGGCCCAGAGCCTGGGGTGCAGGATTAGTGATTTAGGAGCAGGGCAGCCCATGGTAGGCAGAGCAGTCTTTGACATCTATGTGCCACAGGTGCTGCCAGGGGTCAATGGGTCTGAACACCAGGAAGCCTCCTTAATGGATGTGGAGTATAACAAACTTCATTGCTGGCCCAGAGCAGAAAGGGAGGAGAAGGAAAAGAAAGAAGTGTGATAAGGTGATAACTAGAAATGTGCCTTATAGGGAATATGACCTGGAGCCTTTGAGAAAGGAAATCACTCAGTTCTGCAACAGCATCCCAGTTGCATGCCTCAGGGGAAATGACTGGAGCTAAAGCAAAAGGGTGGAGACAGTGATCCATCCAGGGTGGGGGAGGGTGCAGGGGAAGGCAGGGCCTGTGTGTAACAGCCACGTTCTGTGCCAGGTCTCCTGGAAAAAGTAGATATATAGCGAGGGCCCCAGGAAGGGGCAGCCTGAGAGATGGAATCCTTACAGTTTTCATGTTTAGTCACTCTCCTATACTATGTCTAAAATTTCAACAATAATTGGCAAAGCAGTGAATGAAATAATTATATCAGCCAGGTCTGAGCAAGCCCCTTCCGTGGTCCACGTCCCATGCATTCCATGGAGACACTGTAATCTCCCTTGCTGATTTTGAGTGCAGGGGTCTTTAAAAACCCTGGTTCCTTACATATGCAGATGTCACAAGTGGCACAGTTTCTTAATCATTAACGTTTCCTGTCACCTTGAGACTAGAAGATTGTCCCATATTTCAAATATCCTCAGGAATCTGAAGGTACCCTGGCACTATTCCCTTAAACCACTTAGCAAGTGAAAGGCAAGTTCTGCTTTTATTGATTCACTGTTAGAGAAGAGGTTCCTATCTGTGGTCTGAATTCCCTGACCCTCTAACAAAATTCAAGCCCTCAGCCCACAGCAATGCTCACAGGACCTGAACAGCATGTCCTGAGGACCCAACATGTCCCAGTCCCAGCCCTTCCCAGGCTCCTTTATTTGGGCGCCAACAGCTGTGGGAAAGTGGAACCAAAGTCCTTAGAGGGCAACGAGAGACATCAGAGCAGCCAAGTGCATTAGACTCTGCTTCCTTGTCTCCACCCTGACCAGCTCCCTCCCAACCAACTTGCAAAGAAAGCCGAGATAAATTCTTTGCAGGACTCAGAAAAACAAGCGGGGGTGGGGTGACAGCCCTGTCTTGCAACCCTGTGAAGGCTGACCAAACACAAGACCACAGACCAGCCCAACAAGACACGCAAGACTCACTAAAGGGAGCATCCACTGTAGGTGTGAGGATGCTGCCCACCCGCTCTGGCTAATCTGCATGGACACACACACACACACACACACACACACACACACACACATGACTTTCCCATCTTGGTTTCTGGAGAAATGAAATATCTGAGTGTGGCACCAAGGCAACTCATTATGGGAAAATCTGTTCCCTTGTCACCTCCAGCAACAAATCTGGCTTCCAGCAAATTGGCACTTTGGGAGCCAGGCACATCATGCAGGCACATTCACACAGGGGGAGAAGGAAATCTGTCAACATCTCCTCACACTTGCCTTTGCATTCTTAATTATGATCATGATTTTATTCCTCAAAATAACCCAAAAAGAAGAGCAGAAAAACACTGAGTACAAAAATAAGGGGGCAGGGTAAGTATCCACCTTAGTTGAGATACACATTCCCAGGGGAACAGAGACCAGGGGCCACTGCATGAGATGGGTCTCCAACTGGGCTGATCATTAAACATCCTGGACAAATACCAGCCTCAAAGTCCCCTTGCCACTGTGGAAGGTCACACTTAGTTTGTGCAAGTGGTCTTAACTTTCACATTTACCTTCTCTCCTTTGGCTCCTGGCTCTCCAGGCTTCCCAGGGGTACCCTGCAATAAGAAGGGGACATGGTCATTGCACCTTGGCCACCTGTGCTGGCATTTTTGCCTTTGTTGATTCTTCTGCACAGCTCTGCATGCTGAGGACAAAGTTCCTGGAGAAAAAAAGGTTCCCCAGCAGCTTCAACCTGGTTCACACAGACCTTGAGAATATGGCCGACTTTCTCTTCTCTCCTGTGCTCCTGACCTCCTCACCGTTGACCAAGGACAGCACCTAACCATGGTTAGAACTCTTAGAAGTCCTCTTCCACCTCTCAGCATGAACCATCCCCATGGCTACCTCAAGACCCAACATCAACAAAGACCAATTGCTCTGTCTTTATGGTCTCCGCTGCCCCAGCAGACTCTAATCCAGCCAACCCCAATGACTTACTGCCCTTACTGCAAGGAGCATGCAGGTCAGATGAGCCATGGCTTCTGTTCACCATTCCCTGTGTCAGTACCCAGTCCACCTGCTGTCCTGGTAACTAACTGATCTCCCCTCCAGCAAGCCTTCTCCCCCTACTAGCACTAAAAGAAGTCGCAAGTGGTCCTCCTCTAAGTTCCCACAACCCCCAGGAGGGCAGGCACACCAGAAATGAGGCAGACAGCCTCCTGGTCCTCAGTGCTGAGACACCTGGCTCCCTGGAAGCCTCTGCCTTTCCTCACTTGGATATTCTTTTTCTTTTTTTTCCCCCTGTACCCTGGGCCTCCTCTGTAAGCCTTTGTAGGATTCTTCTGGCAAGTGTCTATTCTTAAGCTTGGGTCACACTTCTGCCAAGTAACACCTGTCTTCTCTCCAGATGTGAGGCTGAGGTGTACTTGTCTGCCTTTCCCAGACAAGATACTTTTGGGAAGCATTATGATTGATACATTTTATTAACTTGTAAAGTCTAGAAGTTTAACTAAGTAACCTGGAAGCTCTACATCCTGTTGTTAGTTGTGTCAATTTGAGAAGGTCAGAAGTTTAAGTGACTTAGCAGGGGGACCAGGGTCCTTATTTTGTAGACATTCTGAGCCTATGCAAGAGGAGGGCATGGAGATTTGTGAATGCTACATCCACAGAGCTGTAGCCTGCTTACAAATAAGGGAGGAAAAAAGAGGCTTGCTCTCCCCACTTTTGCTCTAGCTGCTGCCTTGAAGTGTTGCCCCTGTGCCATGCCATCCTGTCTTGGAGCCAACTGATTATGGAATGAAACTTCCACAAACTGTAAGCTTAATAAACCTTTCTTTCCTTGATTTTGGGTGTTGAATATTTTGTGCCAACAATGAGAGAAAAGTAACTAAGACAGGAAGTGAGACCTGGGCTTCTTCCTTCTTTTCATATTCATGTCGTCCCAAACTGTGCTTTGTTTAAAAACCAGCTTTGACCAAGTACCAACCACAGGGCTTTCGAGCTGGAGAGGAAGCTCGTCCAGTGGCTCCCATTCTACTAGTAGGGGACAGAGCTTGTGCTGGTTCAGGCAGGCAAATGTTCTCAAGCTCTTCTGAGCCTGAACAAAGCTATCAGCCCAGCCCAGAAACCTCACTGTACCAAACTTGTGCAGGCACCACCTTCTCCCCTGTGGGTGGGGAGGGTGGGACACAGTCCTTGGTCTCACTATGCTCATTGCCTGGCTAAGATGTAGAGATGGGCATAATTCTAACATAACATAAACTTGGTTTTTGTAACAAAAGAAGGTGCTCCTCACTCTGGGAGAAAGAGCATGAGTTTGTATGTTGGGAGCCTTGAAGATCAGATTAAATCTAACAGAGAAGAAGCAGGAAAGACACTCCAGGTAGACTAATAGTGGAGGCCAAGCCCTGTAGAATGTAGACATTGTGTATGTTTCAGAAAAAGACAGGAACTCACATTTGAAAAAGACACTACAGTCAGGTCTAGGAGGACCCTGGATGTCTGCTTAATACTCTGAAAAGCAATAGGGAGCCAAAGAGCATTTATGTAGATAGTAGCTCAACTATAACCACATAGGGGTGATGAAGCCCTCAAAAATGGAAGTTGTACATAGTTTCCCTCCACCTCAGTCCAGTAACCACGAGGGAGCATTGATAGATCAATGTGGGAGTGATGTGCCACATCACTTAGTGGCAGGCCACGGCTGGGCCAGGAGCAAATGCCTCCCAGACATGGACTATTTGATCAGTTTCAAGGAAGTCACCCTTCCCCTATTCCCCTCCCCCACTCCACTGAAGGAAGTAACCCAAAACTCATAGACTGCTAACACATCTTCCTTCAAAAGAGACAGAACAGGCTTTGACGTGCATCCACTGTCATCCACAGAACTCTCTTCTCTTTTCATTTATTCTTTTGCTCATCTGTCAACACTTCTTCCTACTCTGCTGGCCTTCTTGGTGAGTCAGAGCAGGGCAGAGGGCTCAGACAGGACAGAGGGCATCTGCTTTGTCCCTGCTGGTCAAGGGAATTCTACATGCAAAGAAGAGGGAGAGCAAGGTATGGGCTTTCTTAAAGAAGGAACCTGAGGACAGAATTTGGCATTTCAGGGTCTAAAATGCCAGAGTGATTGGAAATGATTTGGTGGCACTAGGCAGGCCCTGGAGCACCTGGATACCACTGATGAGTCACAAGGCTGAGGTCTAAATTGTGAAGTGGCATTAGCTACTTAGGATCCACATACCTCTTTCTTGCCAAGGCTGGACAGAGGAAGGAACTAGGACACCACTACCACAGTCCTGATGATAGAGGGTAGTAAATTGCACTAGGTGCCAGGTGGAAGCCATTGGGAAGGCTGTACAGAACAGAGGACTTCTACGAAGTCAGAGCTGATAGGACTAAGTTAATGGAGTGGAACCAAGGGGAAGACATGGAAAGTGACATGTCCAGATGGCATCCTGGTATCGTCATAAACTTGAGAGCTTGTGGAAATTAAAATGTGAGCCCCTTGTTCAAAAAGCATAAACGATTTGAACACTGCAACAATAAAACATTAAGTAAGGGAAGGGCCTTCTATTGCAGGCTGCCACCCATGAGGCCAGCCCTCTGAACCCACAAGAAGGGACACCAAGGGAGCAGCAGGATGATACTTGCCTCCTTGCCTGGCATGCCTTTGTCTCCTGCTTCTCCCTAGAAACAGAAAGAAAAATACCAGTTGGTTCTGCAATATTGGCACAATGTGAATAGCACAACTGTCTCCAAAACAGACACTTTCATTCCAGTCATTTAACCAGCAAAGACAGTAACCAATGGTCCACCTGACCAAGGACATCCCAAACATGGCTCTCTGCTCAGCCTGTGAAGATGAAAGCAAGTGTGAGAAGTCCCAGTATGGAAGGGGAGCCCCAGGCTTTGGGCTTCTGGGCAGGGGGATAAGTTTGAATCCACCCAGAGACCTCCAGAGCACCAGTTTTACAAAACATCTGGTTGTGAGAGGGAGAACACACTGAGGAACAAGTTCAGTGTGTAAAATAAGACACAAAGAAGACACTGGGCTCTGAATGACACTGGGCTCTGAATGCAAATCGTAGCTCCTACTTATCAGCTATGTGATCTTGAACAATATCTTTACCATCTTAAATTCTCTGTGCCTCAGTTTCTTCATCTGTCATGTGGGAAAAGTAGTTGTGCCTGCCTCACAGGGTACCATGAGACTTACATGTCTTACTACTGGTCAAGTACTCAGAACAGTGGCAGATGTGTAGAAAGGCTGGTCAAAATGAACTATTATGTATGCAGGAAAGCAATACTTGGTGTAAAGAATGGGTCCCAGGTTACCCAGTGGCAGCCAGATAATCAGCAAAGCAGGGAAAAGGAAGTGAGTGCACTGAATGTATCCGAATAAAAAGCCTCAGTGGACAGACTCATGCAGTATGTGGGTAGCAGAACAGAAGAGGGTAAAAAGAGGACACTGCCTGAAAGGGCTGGCACAGTGGGACAGGACGGAGCTGGAGGTGGAAGCAGAGCAGTGTGGAGATCTGCCATCCTAATGCAGTATGCACAACCTCATGTGCAGGTCAGCACTGTCAGCTATGGGCCAGGAATGTGGAATGAACCAGGGCCCAGTGTGCAGCCCAGCAAGGACACCTAGCAGCTCCTTCCTGTGCCAAGTTGTCAAGTCAGGAGACCCAGACTCAAGCACCAGCTGGCCATAAACCTAGCATGTGACCTGAGGAAACCACCTACGGGATTTGGACATTGTAGAGCAAACCTGCTCATCTTTAAAATGATTTCTAAGGGTCCTTCAAGTTCTAGGCATCTTACCATCACCACTGCCCCACCAAATGCCCATCACAATCATTTCTATTTCCTGAGCACCACACTGCAATCCGTTTACATGAGTCATTTCATCCAGTCCTCACAGCACAGGGATTCTTTTATAGCTATTTGAGCAATGAAGTATAGAGATGGTAGAAGACTTCCAAATGACAGATTATGGAGTAGGGGACAGTTGAGACCTTGGGGTCCCCAACTATCTCAAAATTATGAGGCACTTTGACCTCACACACATCATTGTGATACTGAATGTAAATGATGCCCTGGAACCAGGAGGCATGGTGCCTCCCCATGGAGGTTCTCCGCTTACCGGAGGCCCACGCGGACCCAGGAAGCCAGGAAGTCCTGGGCTACCATTTTCTCCTTTGCTTCCCTTCAGGCCCTGTGAAGGGAAAAGAGGAAATTAATTCTTTAAGATGAAATGCCAACTCAGGCAGATTCAGAAACCTTTTGATTCCTCATAACTCTGCAGGCTTGAGACATCCACAAACGGAAGAGGAGAGCTTTTCCTGTGATGGAGAAGAAAGGTAAAGGAAAGACAAGGTGTCTTGGGAATCTCCATAGCATTGCTACAGCAGAGAGAAAACTCAGAGCCAGCTCCACAAACACCTGGTGATCTTTTCTCCCCAAGCAACAAACACAAAATGGGGCAGATGACTGGAAAAACACCCAGATGTGAGTGGTCCTTCAAAGAATGTTCCAGGAACCAGGGCGGCAGTACATGCCTATAATTCCAGCGCTCTGGGAGGCTGAGATAGGAGAATCACGAATTTGAGTCCAGCCTGAGCAAGGTAGTGACTTACTGAGACCATTTCTCCAAACAAAAAGTAAAAAGCGCTGGGGATGCAGCTCAGTGTGAAGGTTCTGGGTACAATCTCCAATAGAAGAACACACACACACACACACACACACACACACACACACACACACACACACACAGAGACATCCTATAGGAAGGTGGTAGCCTTTATTCCACTAAGATGGTAAGATGTTGAGGCTCAGTGTGGTGGGCTCCACCTTTGAGAAAGTCCTTTGGGAACTTTTCAATTTAATCTTTTCATGGAAGCCACCACATGTGGGTTTTCTGCAGCCAGCTCTGCATGGGGAATGTCCTGCCCCATGGGCATGTGTCAGCAGAGTGACAGGCTCCACACCAGGTGTGCTAGTGGCAGTCATTAGAATTACCAGGGAGGCGTAATATTTCAGCACAGTTGTACTTGGCCCAACAGATGAAGGCTCTCCACCAGGGCACTGAGTGCCCATTCCAGTACCCAGTTTACCCCAGACTGGTGAATTTCTAGTCATCTTGACTTCACAGTGCCAACAGTTAGCGGGCTGACATGGCTGGCCTGGAAAAACTGCTGTTTAATCTACCACATTTGAAGACAACCTTCTGGACAAGGTGGCCAGTTTTTTTGTTTTTTTTTTTTGTCTTTTTCATTTTTATCAGTACCGGGGATCGAACTCACGACCGCCTGCTTACAAGGCAGGTGCTTATGCCACTGAGCTAAACCCCCAGCCCCTAAGGTGGCCAGTTTTAGTAAAATAAAAAAATAAGTAAACAAGAAGGTTGTGCTGGGCACACTTATGGGCAGGGTAGACTTATCCAATCTCAGACCCAACCCATAAAAGAACCATCTTGCCACTATGTCTCCCCATCAACCAGGCCTAAACCGCAAATCCCCCTCCCATTCACCTGGAAGCTGCTGGCCATCATGCTGCCACTTTCTCGCTACCCACTGATCTCATTTGCTCTCCCTCCTCCCTGGCTGCTTCTCCATTTACACTGCACACTTACCCTGTCATCGTAGAAGGTCAGGGTTGCCACCTGCCTGCCTGCCTGTTCTCTAAAACCACCAAACAACGACTGTGCAACACTACCACACTTTTCTCAGTGTTTAGCTGCTCTAGGTACCTGTGGTTACAGACAGCAGACAGTGCAAGGTATGTATTCTAAACTTGGAACAAGGTCCTCTTGGGTGCTTTCAGCTTCCGTACATTTCTACCAGTCAGACCCACACTTCCCTGAAGATGCTCCAGGGACAGAGACCAGACTTGTCCTTGCTGTGCTTGCCCTGTAGAAGTCTGGTCAAGGAGCAGTGAGAGCAGTGTTTGTACTCACAGGGGTTCCTGGATGGCCAGGGTCTCCTGGGGAGCCTGGTGAGCCATTGTTTCCCTGGTGGAAGAAACAGAAGTTATCATTCTGCCAGAATGATGTGTAAGGACATCACAGAGCAGGACATCAGAACAAAGAAATCACTGCAGGTGTATCACTTGATTCCACAGACCCTGTTCTCACTTGGGCCAGCGTGACTCTCAGCAAACTACTTCATTCCTCAGAGGATGTTTCTCAGCTTGTGAAAGGAGCTTGCAATTTTTAATGCGTAGTACTGTTGTGGAATTAAGTAGGTCTATGGTTATAGAAAGGCCCAGCTCAGTGACTGATGCCCATAACACAGGTACAGTAAATAATGACCATGTTCATTCATCCATCCATTTGTCCTTCAATTCCCTGCTGTTGTGAGAGAAACACACCATTTAGCACAATCCAACCTACAAATAATTGTTCACACTGCCATGGAGTTGCTCTTGCTTAGAAGGCAGGCCCACGTGCTTATCCCATTTTATGCTTTCACATGGGCATCATTATAATTCCACTTTATTGATGAAGGTTATGATCCACAACATGGAAAAATGCTCCAAGGAAAGTCCTAGAGTGAAAGGTTCATTCACTCCAGGTTTGTGGACTGTCTCAGTTTTGATGTTCTCTAAGCTGATGGGTATCTGTACACGTCTGTAATATTGACAAATACATTTAACCATAAGATCCATGGTACAATAAAAGACAGAAAGCTAAAGAATACTCATAGCAAATTTTTGGGCTCAGGCAAATTCCTACTGAGCCTAAAATTCACACCTCAGCTTCTCTAAGTAGACCCGCTACCTCATGTCTCCTTCGCCCCTGAAGGATTGCTCCTACTAGGGGCTTTAACTTGGCTCTCCTCCCTGCCATGAGTGATCCAGTAACTCAAAGGCAAGATCTGTGTCTTGTCACTCTTTATGTCCCCAGCATCTCCAGTACTGCCAGTCACTGGAGGCATTCTGCTCAATGAACAAGCCAAGAATTTTATAGAGAGACTCTCTCCACTCACCCTTTAACAGAAAGGTATGAATGTCCATAATCTAGGAAGCATGTATCCACAAATGTGTCAGCTTCACAGAGACCCGTTAGTGTTAAAAATGGCAGATTTCACTGGGCTCTCCTTTTATATCAGACCTTCTTCACATGCACTAACTCACTGACTGCATCAGACACCAATGGAATTTCCATTTTACAAATAGGGAAACTGAGGTACTGGACAGCCAATCAATCTGTTTGAGCACAAAGTTGTACTGACAGTATTTCTTATTTTCTGCATTGATAATGCAGGCCACAGCAGTAAAAAATAAAGTACACACATGACCATAAAGATGAGTCAGGGGACTCATCTTTCCAGATCCTCCAAGGAACTGTGCAGCATAGAGGCCTTTATTCCCAAATCATAGGTGAGGAAACCATGCATGGGTCCTGCCTGGAATCCTAAATGATGATAATACAGACGAGACTGATTCAGGAGCAAGGAACAGCCTTAATCCACTCAGCCCTTCCAGTGAGTGCTTCATTCCGCTCCTCTCTTGTTCCCTCCGCCCACCAACCCATCTGTGTCCTCTAAAAATATGTGCTCTGCCTCATCCCTATCGAAATCTCTCTCATCTTTCTCCCTCTGGCTCTCGCTAGGCAGGGAGAGGAAGAAGTAAGGAACATTCCCATACAGTACCATATAGTGGCCCATCCAGGCTCTGTGGACTTAATGTCTCTTGGAGCCAGAACTGCTCTCTTCCTGGCCTTGGGGCCACTCCTCACATCCTTCTCTTCTAATGAGTCTCTCAGGTCTCTGTGCTGCTTGATAGTGGAGGCCATGGCCCTCTCTCCAAATATTCTGAGCTTCTGAGTCCTGTTCCAAGTCCCCTGCCTGCAAGATGACCTTTAGGACAGGAAATCAGATACACACAGGCCCAGAATAGGTGTTTCACCTGCTGGGTCTGAGGCCAGATTGCTTGAGTCAGAATCTTGGCTCTGGGGCTTACTGGCTATGTGACTGGGTGCACGTTACTTCACCTTTCTGTGCCTCTATTTCCCATCTGTAAATGACAGTCATAGCACCTGCCTTAAGGTTTGGGGGAAACTTGGTGAATGAATTATGCTAATGCTGCATGCCTTCTCTAGCATGGGATCTCCTAGTATTTTTTAGAATTTTTTAGGTAGTTGTAAAGTGGTTGTCACATGAGATTTTCCCACCCTTGTGTGAATGTAGATTTTAATAAAAGCAATATGAAAGTTTCAAGGACACTGAGACAAGGACACAATGATTTATGACAGTGGTCCCATGGAATTCCAGTGAAGTAGAGGAATGCCAACTGCCTGATGATGTTATGGCCATCCTAATGTCACCTTTGGGTTGATGCATGCTGTCAACCAAAATCCTGCAATGCCTGTCAGAGAAAAGTGTAAAACATGCAACAGTACTTAATAATGATAATAAAGACTATGTTACTTGTTTGGGCACTTACTGTTACATGATTTTTAGAGCATAGAAATCCTTTTACTTATTAAACAAAAAAATTACTTTAAATAGTGTCTCTTTCTATGCAAGCAGCTGCTACTCATCGCTTGTGTTCACTATGTCTCTTGACTGGCTGTTTTTCCACACAATTTTAGGTACCTAGATGCTTATTTTCTAGCTTTGTACTCACAGGTAAGAGGTAAGAGAAGGATTTTCCTATGTGTACATACAGAAAGGGATAAGAATCAAAACATTTACCAACATGTGGAGTGTTGTGAATTGAATTGTAGCCCCTCAAAATTCACGCTCTTCTTGAGTTCCAATGCCCCAGACCTCTGAATGTGACAGGACTTAGAGTAGAGCCCTTAGAGTCCATATAGGTAACATAAGCTCACACTGTAATAGGGTGACCTCTAATCCCATCAGGTTGGCATCCTTAAGAAAAAGGGAACTTAAGAGACAGGCACACAGGAAGAAAAGCGTGTGACACCAGGGTAGAGATAGGAGGGATTAAAGAAAGCCATGACACCTAGAAATTTCCTAGAAGCTGTGGAGTCGCATGGGACAGATTATATCTTAGCAGGAACCAACCCCATTGCTAATCTCGGAATTCAGGCTTTCGGAACTGTAAGGACCCACATCTGTGTTATTCAAGCCACTCCCTTGTGGTATTTGTTACAGTATCTGCAGGAAACAAGTATGAGATGCAAACCAGTCCTCAGGATAGCACAAAGCCAGGGAGAGAAGTGGTGGTGGGGGGCCATACAGGCCCTTGTTAGCCAATTTGGGGATGACAGTGAGTGGTGCCAGGGAAGTTTCCAGTTCCTTGTAGGAAGGTAGTGGGGTTGGAGGACAATGGCTGTTTCCCACCTGCTAAGATGTATGTGCACGTATGACTGCACCAGGATGAACCAACCAAGCATCACCACGGTAAAAGCCATATACCCAGAAATATGCACTAAATGAGATTCAAAGCAAAACTCACCGATGGGCCCCTGGGTCCTCGAGGACCTTGTGGTCCTGCAGGTCCAGTATCACCCTAGAACGAACATAGATGGGGTCATATCACAGAGCCACTGTGTGAAGCTGATGAAGGCTCAGATTCAAATGTAGACAGAATTTCACCAAGGGCCCTGGAGCACCACAGCACCCCAGCTTTGCTCTCCAGTCAACAAGATAGTTTCCCCTATGAGAAGGGAAGCCCTGGTGTAAGCCCTGGTGTGTTCTGACATCTCTACCTGGTGCCCAGAGGTATCAGGACGCTCCAGCTCAAACCAGACAGGGAAACAGAGAAGGTAAACTCTCTTAAGTTCTTCTGTTTCACTGGACAGTGACCTGGAGCTGTTCCTGCCTGTGCCACCACAGCAGGAAAATCTTTCACCAGCCATGTGCATGGCACCTCCCAGTGTGCAAAGTGTTGTGATTCACCTCCTCACACAGCCTTCTGAGCCACCTATGACACGGTATCACCCCACCCTACTCTGGCCATGGATGAACACACAGAAGCCTGGATATGCTCCTACACAGAGTAAACAGAAAAGTGCTCTAGGAAAATGAACTTTTAAAATTAAAAGAAGAAAGAAGAAAATATTTACCTATTTGCTCATGAGCTAGTACCCTGACTCCTGTCCCAGCTCCAGCCAGACTGTGAGCCATGTTCCTGCCTGGAGAGCCCCCTGGGTTATCTTTTCTACAAATGGCAGCGAGAAGGGTGGGCCAGACTGGGATTCTTAAGCTGTCCTTCAGCCTCCGAGAAGCCCCACTGGAGTAATCTGGAGGGAACTTTACTCTCACCTGTCTGCACAGGGCTCCCAACACTGCATGGGTTTTACAAAAGCTGAGGAAAGACACAGGACCTAGATTGGAATTTTTCCTATGGTCTCTTCCAGGTCCCGCATCCCATGACAGCAGATCGGTCAATGAGCCCCTGTGCTTAGTGAGTCATCCATGGGAGGGGCCATCTTACCAGGCCCAGGGCTGGTCCTGGGGGACGCAGGCCATGCTTCTGCCCAGACACCAGTCCCGAAAGGCCACACTCCCTCCCCACATGTCCGGCAGCCCTACAGGATGCTGCCCAGACTGAGTGGCTGGTCCATGGAATGGGGAGTGTGGTGCTGAGCCGGAAGACATTAGTTCCAGGCTTGTTCCTCAGCCTCTGGCTCTGTGTGACCACAGGCAAGCCCTTAACCTCTCTGGAGCTCAGGGTTTTGTTTGTACAACTCAGGTTAAAAAGAAAAATCTCTCTGTACAGATTCCAAAACTAAATAAAAGTGAGAGTCATCTGAATCATATATAGCAGGGTTTTTAAACAACAGAAATGTTTGCAAGTAAAGTTTCCATCCTACGGAATAGAAGTATTTTGTTTGTATTAGACCTAATGTTTGTTGATTGTCCAAATCCTTGGTTGAAAGACAAGACTCAAAAAACAGTAGGTGGTAATAATGGTGGTGAGGGGTTCAGAAGTACTGTGAACACCGAGGCAGAGAAATAATCTTATGGAACCCCTCAAATGCCTCTTAAGTCATGTAAAGCTGGTCCAACAGGCCCATCTCTCCTACCAAGCAGAATTAATCTAAAAGAGCCATCTCTCAAGTGTAAGGCACAGCCACCAACCCACCAGGCTGGAAGTTCCAGTCCATCTGGGCTACTCCACTGTGGAAAGCCACTGTGGTACAATTTCTGGGTATCTCTTCCTGATCCCCTAGCCACAGGCCTAGCCAGGTCCCAGAGCACCACTACTTACATCTTTCCCTGGTGTCCCTTCTTGGCCAGGGGGTCCGGTGGCACCAGGTTCTCCCTAGAAACAGAAAGCTGCTTTAGGGACTGAGGAGTTTCAGCTACAAGCTGCCTCAAGCAAAGGGCGTTGAGGACCTGGAGCCATGCAGAGACCAGGGCTATCCCTCAGTAAGGGTCTCTGGGCAGGGAAGCCTTAGCACACGGTACTGAGCCTCAGCCAGGGTCGCTGTGCACTCAAAGGCAGTAACTGCCCCTTCCCAGTAGCACAGCTTGGAAAAAGCATCAGCAAAGAAGTCAGGCAAACCTGCTTGGATTCCACCTCCTTATCTCCTGGCCAATGGACCCTTCTACACTGTAGCAGTTTCCTAGTTATCTATAGCATGCAGGGGTCTTACTGTTGACCCTGAAGGTCACTTCTATTCCTAGCATTCAGAAGAGATAGGAGCTAAAAGGTAGAAGACAAATTCAAGGGCTTCCTATCTGAAACAGGCCAGCATGTTCAACAGAATTTCTGGAATCCTGGGAAAATCACCCACACCCTATGGCCCTCAGTTTCTTCTTCCACAAAATAAGCGGAATACCTACCAGGTCTTGCATCAAAAGGCTCAAGTGCAGAGCCCAGTTGGTGGAGACCAACATGAGTCCAGACTGCTTTAGCCAAACTACCCCATCATTGTCTGGCCCCCAGGAGGACCAGACAGAGAGGATCAGATCAAGTGAGGGACAATGTTGCCCCTACCAGCATGCTAGGATGCCCACTCTCCGTTTCCATGACCATGATACTCCTGCCCTAGGTCTCAGAGCTCTGAGTCACCTGGTGTGACATCCACTTACCCGTGGACCGGGAGCACCAGGGTCACCTGTGTGTCCCTTAAAGCCCTAGGAAAAAGTAAGAGTTACTCCACAAACACCAGGCAAGGGGAGCAGGGAAAGCACCCCAGTGAGCACTGTGCTGCATCCTATCCCTCCCTCACTGACTGTCTTCATTCACTGTCAGCTGTTCCTGCTGAGCCTGCTCTGTGTCAAGTGTGAGTAGAATGCAATGGACAAGGCTTAGAGGAGGATGCGCATGATGGCAGGAAAGTGGGGAGACCCTGTGGCCCATAGTGCACCTTGTTATGTCAGCTCATTTCATGATTTTGAAACTCTGCCAGATGGCTTTTGTTTTCCCTGTTTTTAGCTAAAGAACTTGAGGTCAGGTTGGCCTGTCACACAGATAGCGCAAGGGTTCCAGGGTACACATCCATGCAGTCTGCTTGCAGGGCCCACTTCTCCACAGCCACACTCCAACAATGTAGCTGGTAGCCTCATAGGGACCTGGGGATCAAACCAATTGTCACCTGTTTGCCTACTCCCTATGGCATGGATCTTGCCTGTACAGTTGTGGGCAGGATCCGATGTGACACAGTGATCTGTCAGGGCCTGGAAGCCACTGACAAGGAAGAGGAAAAGGAAGAGAAAGAAAAGAGAAAAATGAAGTCCTTTCAGATTTGGGCAGTTTACAACATAGGGTCCTAACACCATCATCTAGAAAATGAGGATCATAGAACCCCAGGGTACAACCTGCAGTAGCACCATGGGGAGGACCTCCTGTGCCCCTGTGTCTGATGGGACTCAGAGGAAACCCCGGCCTCACTTCTGTAGATCCAGGGGGCTCCGCTTTCCTTCCCAGGACTTTGTGTCCAAGGCTGAAAAATGAGTTAGAAGGGTAGAATCTACTTCTATGGAGCATCCCTGAGAACTGAGAGAGGGATGAAGTGTGCTACAGCTGATCAACAGCTGGTCCAGGGACTCCTAGGTCCCAGAATCTTTCTCTAGGTTAATGAGTCCCAATCCAGCTAACACACAGGCAAGGAGTGTGAGCCACAGCTGATGTGTCAGGCACCTGGCTAATCTCATGTTTTGTCTTGTTTTTTAGCACTCACCACCACCCTGCAGTAGTGGGAGCTACTATGATCTCTATTTCATGGAAAGAAAAATGGAGGTTCAGAGAGGCCTCAATGCAATCAAAGTCTACAAAGTTAATGGATAATAAAGTGAAGGCTTTGCCTTGGTTTGTGTCTCTCAAAGCCCATGGCACTCTTGAAAGTTTTGCTCTAACTCGTGCCGTGCCAGCCATAGAAGTTGGGTCTTGCTTTACCTGCTTGGGCTGCTCTCCTGTGTCTCTTTCTCATACTCCCAACAAGATGTGGGGCTTAAACCCAGGCCAGGCCTCAGCCAATGAGTCTCTGTGCTGAAAGGCAGCCCCTCTCTCCTACAATCCAGGAGCCACCTTCGACCACCAGAATACCCTCACTTATGAAAGACTACATTGTGCTTCTTACTACATTTCAAATGCCTTTAGAAAGGATATAATGGGATCAAATTTAACATATGTTTGGGAAAAAAATTGATCACAATCCTGTGCCTCAATCTCCATGGCTAATAGTGGTCCTTGTTCTCTAGTTGCTTCCAGTACAGTCAGGTAAAATCCAAGGAGATTTTGGAAACAGGAAAATTGATTTTTGTGTTTTGTTTCCTCTATATTGGGTACCAGCCAGATGATTTATTGATTTCTTTCAAAGATAAACAACATTAATGAGACAGAACTAGCATTATACCTGCTACTTCTTGTCAGATAACTGGATTTCAGAATTTTCATTAAAGATTGATTTTTTCCCCAAAACAATTTAAAGAACTGTGTAAATAATTTTGAAATTATGAAGATATAAATGATTTAGAAAAAATATAGCCGTAAGGAGCTTATTTTACAGAAAAAGAATGTATGTATATATGTACAGGTACAATAGCTAAATAGCTGTATAGAGATTTAACTATATATATATATATATATATATATATATATATATATATATATGTTAGAATTAATATATGGACAAGCATACCAGGAAAATATATATTAAAATATTAATAGAGCTTTATTCTGTTCTGTGAAATAAGAACTTTATTTTCATATCTATACCATTCTTTTTCTTATTTTTATCATTATTATTATGATTATACAAGTAGAAAGGGTTACTTTTCTAATTTGAAAAGAATCCTGTATCTAGAGAAACTGCAGGAGCATTATAGGTTCAGGTCCAGTCTGGACAATTTAACAAGATTCTATCTCAATAAATAAATAAATAAATAAATAAATAAATAAAGGACTAGAAATGCAGCTCATTTATGAAAGCCCTGGATTCAATTATTATCAATACAGGAAAAAAAAAAAACTCAGTAGTAAATTCTATCACCCAGAGAAAAACCCATCAAATTACAGCAAAGAAAACAAGGACAAAGATAGCTTAGAACAGCACCATGCTAGTGATGCTTGAAATTTTGAAAATAAATTTCAAAGCTATGATCTTTGAAGACATGGAACTAATTATAGAGATGCACTCCTCTGGGAAGAAAGGCACTGTGGGAGCCTCAGGGTCCAGTGCTCCCCACACCCTGGCACGGTGGTGCTGGCTGTGCTGCTGGTGCCTTCGTTCTACTGTGCAGAGCATAGTTTTATACTTACAGGTGAACCTCGTGGTCCCTCCAGTCCTGGCAGACCTGGCTCTCCCACTTTGCCCTGGGTAGGGAAGAAAAGCAGAGGTGAGAACAACAGTTCTGTGGTTTCCCTGTCCTCAGCTGCTCCCTCCTCACACCACTGTGCTTCCAAAGGCTGCTATCTGGCCCAGTGCCAGCCTGCACCCTGAGAGGTGGGCCATTTCCGTGCATGACCATCTCCACAAGCAGCAGCCAGGCCTGTTGTGTTTCAGGATTGTCTGAGGTGGTACAGGTTCCACAGGACTCAACCTCGGGTTTATTATTCATAGTCCCTGCATTAGTCACTTACCCACCACTCCAACAAAATGACCCAAACCAGAAATTTAAAGGAGAGGTTTATTTTGGTTAATGGTTCTAGGAGATTCAGTCCAAGGTCAGCTGGCCCCCAGGCAGAAACAGCATAGTGAAAGGGACCACTGGAGCTAAGCTGTTCTTCCTCAAGGTAGCCGGGAAGCAGAAAGAAAGGAGAACCCAGGGGCCAGAATGTACCCTTCTAGATCACACTCACGTGGTGACCCACCTTTAATCAGGCCCGACCTCCTAATAGCACAGTTAGCCATGAACTCATCCATGGACAAATCCCCATGAAATACATTGCCCCAGTGATTCAGTGATCTTCCAAAGCCATACCTCTGAACACATGAAACTTTTGGAGACACTTGGGTCTCAACCATAACAGACCCCTTTCCACAGTCCTAAGTGCTCTGGTTCAATGAGAAATTGCATGCCCATTTCAGTTACCAGAAATAACTATTCACTAAAAAACCTCAAGGAAGCTATGACCTATTGTACTTTTTCAATGGTGGCATTGAGGATCAAAGTACTTATATTTTTATTGAGCTTCTAAAGGGCAAAGCCAGATGGAATCAAAGATAAGGATAGATCCAAATGAGTGCTCTCCTCAGACCAGCAGTAGCTCCTACTTGCAGGGAAACTTGCAGTGCTCACTCACCCAGCTTCTCAAGCACAAAGACACTGTGAACACACACTTGCCATTTAAAACTCTTTACTGTCCACAATTTGCCACTGCTATGGGTAGGATGGAACCTTGAATAAAGCCAGTGTCCTGGGTAGCTCAGATCAGGATAAATCTTTCATAGGTACAGAACAGGGAACGGGAACAGAGGAAGGATGTAAGATTGACTGATGGCTGAACAGGGTAGAAGAAGTCTATGTCTTTCTTCACTATAAGAGGACACATCTGTTTCTCAATGTTCTGTGCATCTCATTTTCATAGTCTGTAGGCTTTATACCTGGATCCTAACACTTCCTCGCTTCAATTCAATGAGGGACACACTCTTGTCATCCCTCAGGCCAATTTCTTTCAAAACAGCTCAACATGAGAATCTCGTAGGATAACTGTGCTGAGGAATTCCAGAGTGAGCCAACAGAAGAAGTCCAGAATGAGCACCTCAAACCCCAAGTAGCCAGCCCTGTCTCCTGAATGGTCCCTCTTTATCTAGAACAGTGTTGGTCTTCCATCAATCATGCCATGTCTCTGGCACAGACCAAGAATGGGCAAGCATTGGAAAAGTGGAATGAGCAAGAAGCTCTCATTACACTGCAACTTGGCAAGAAAACTTTTCCTTGTTCTGAGCTCTGAGCCTAGGATAAGCCTCGGGGTGTGAGTGCTAGATGCTGTCTGTCTGGGGGTAATAATGGTACCTTCATGTTTTGGGGAAAGGGAGAGAAGTGCTGATCACCCAACCTTGAATGCTTTAGGGAAGACACACCCATGCTCCACTCTGCTATACCCTTTCCCTCATGAGCAGCCTGACTGAGCATCAGCCTTCCTGCTTCTGCAGCAGGTTTCCACTGTGAGTTTGCAGAAAGCTCTCTTTTCCTCTCAGTTGTGAATTGTGGCTCCAGCATTTACCCAACTGTAACGTGAGAAAGAAGGTGCTTCCAGCAAGTTGTATAAAGATTCAAAATGAGTCATAATAGTTTATGAGCAGACAAATTAAATGGAACATGAACCTTGCTGCAAAAACTTTTATGTAATTCCACTTAATGGCTCTAAAGGCTCCGCAGTTCCGACCTCACTGAGAGTTAAAAGTAGGGCAGTCGTGAAAAGTAACTCACTGAAATAATTAACAGTTAGCTCGGCCAGATGCTCTGCATGCATTTTTCACTCCATTTGATCCCCAGAAATTCTGTCAAGTCAGGGTGTTATTCTTACCCTGAGCAAAAAGAGACCGATGCTCAGAGACACTATTTGACTCACTCCAGGTCAAAAAGCCTGCAAGGGAAGGAGTCAGCATCCAAGGGCATTTTGTCACTGCTATTGCTATTACAATGATTGTAACATAAAATATTTTTGTTTAGTAATTATACTTAAATTTATCAATATGTCAGGCATACACAAAGTTCCAATGACTAAGAAGATAATAAAGCAATACCATGGAGTGTAAGATGCCTTCCCATTTCTGTGACCCCTTTGCTCAGAGCCATCCTCACATGGATGGAAACCACTCTCACGAGTGTGCTGTGGAGACTCCCAGAGTACCTCTATATAAGAACTAGAAAAATATACACACACCTGATTTTATATGTAAGAGGGTGAACTACACACTGCTCTGTACCTCTGCCTTTGTCCAACCTGAGGTGCCCTGGGCAGCCCAGGTCAGCTTCATGCATTCTTACATGTAGCCAAAACCCTTACAGCTGGACGTTTGGAGAACCCAGGTGTTTAAGCCACACTGCTACTCTCCATCTTCCCCTCCACCTGTGAGATTTGTTTTCTTGGTGCTGGGGATGGAACCCAGGGCCTCCTGCATGCCAGCCAAGGACTTTCTTGCTAAGTTTGTGCTCCAGTGTCAAATTTGTAAAGACAGAAGACCTAGTTTTCAGCAAAAGGGCTTGGCCACTTCAGGGAGTATGACTTAGTGGTCATAAATAAGGGCCTTTGAAATCCTGCTGCCTGCCAGCCAATGGTCTCAGGAACAATCATTCTAACTCAGGGCACAGCTGGCACTAAAAGAAAATAAAAGAGTATAATAAAAGAGTAGTAAAAGTGGTGGCAGCCAAGGATTTAGCTCAGCGACATAAGCACCTGCTTAGCAAGCGTGAGGTCATGAGTTCGATCCCCAGTACATAAATAAATACCTACAATCAAAAGACACAGATACATGTGGATTTTTGCCAGGTGTGGTGGCTCTCGCCTGTAATCCCAGCACTCCGGAGGTTGAGGCAGGAGGTTTGTTGTGAGTTCGAGATCAGCCTAGGCTCCAAAGTGAGCTCAAGGCCAGCCTGAACTGCACATAGAAACTCTGTCGCAAAAAGACAAAAAAAAAAAAAAAAAAAATGGGTGGCAGCAAATTGCCAACATTGAGGAAAGTCTTCAGATTTCTTACCCTCTATGTGGCTCCAGACCACATGGGCAATAAAACCGAGTGGAAGAAAGGAAAGGAATCCAGGGCTTAGGCTCCTACACATCAGCCAATAACTTGACTTTGGGATCCTCACATTGCCTTCCTAGGATTCAGTTTCTTTGGCTGAGAAACAGGAAAGAGTTCTGCGTCTTGCAAGGTTGTTGAGTGGAGCAGGTGAGAAGATGCACTGGGAATAATAATTATTGTGCCTCGTTCATAGACTCCCTCCAGCACACACCAATTGTCATTAGGAAACTGTGAGGTTGAATGTAAAATGCAAGTGTAGAGCTCCTTACCGGCTCCCCAGGGAGACCTGGCTTCCCATCTCTGCCCTGTTTGCCTTCTTCTCCCTGCAAGAGAACTCAAATTGGTGATCAGGTCAAAGAAGATTGGAAAGAAGGGAAGAGAGGGTTTCATTTCAGTGTGCCCTTCTGGCTAGCTCCCAAACGATGTCTTCATAGTGAACTGTTAAGAGACATCTCAACAACAGAAGGGATATGATTTCCAGTTTCTTCTCCAGTACCCTGATTCTGGCTGCAGATCTCTGACTTACAATATCTGGCAAAAATGTGATGCACTATGAAATGGTGTCATTATTCTTGTTATCCTTCTAAAGAGCCCTCACTGGACATTTTCGTAATGTGAAACTCAGGGTGACAGGGACTATTTGTGGGCATCTGCATTGAACATGGCATTGGGGCTCAGGTGCTGATGGAGAGGACAATACAAGCAAGCAGCAAGGCACTCCAAACTGCTCCAGGGACACACACAGAGCTCAGATATGGCAGCAAGAAGAGAGCGGGAGGTCACAAAACCATGTACCTCCTTCCATGTACAGCCATGGAATTCTACAACTGATGACAAAAAATAATGACAATGTTTACATTTTTAAAAAAATCTTATTTCATTAAAAACACATTACCATGAATCCCCCTCAAAATATTCCCCTTTGCTTCAAATACATTAATTACAATGTTCTTGGTACTTTCTGGTACTTTCTCTGAAATCCTCTTTTGGGGGTATCTTTATGACATGTAATTGAAAATATGGTGAATGCTCTGCAGAGGGCCCCCCAACAGAAAGGAAGGTTCACAACAGCATGACAGTGCATCCTCATCCACCTTTCACCAGATCTCTAGGTCTTCCCCAAAGTCAGAATGATGATGAAAAGGAAATGTTTTGAATGGATTCAACACACTGAGGCAGCCATAACAGTTCAAGCAAAGATGCGTACCAAACAGAACTTCTGAAACTGCTTCAGACAGTGGAAGGAAGGACACAATGAGTGTGTCTGAAGTGAGGAGGAGTATGTTGAAGGGGATTAATGACAATATACCTTTCAGTGTAATAAACTGTATTTAAGCACCCACCATGTTTTTCTCTCACACTTCATACAATTATGTCCATGAGGGCTAGCTAAGAGTCTATGTCCCTCCAATCTTTTACTGGTCATCTCAGTTCTAGGGAGACTACTTAATTCTTATGCTTACCTAACAGATAAGTATTTCCTCATAGTCTCTGAAGATGGTCAAGATTATCTGTAATATTGTTTTGAAGATGGCAGACTGACATAGCTAAAAGCAGTCCCTTGAGGGCTGCATACTCTGAGTAGTGTGCTTCCAAGGGAGGAACAACAGCCTCTTGTGAACTGTGATCCTCAGCATTGCTTCCCTTCTAATAGCCTGTCCTTGCAGGAGGAACTCAGTGTGCAATACATACGAGGGATGAGATTTGGATGTAGAAGGCTCAGTTGTCTCTCCACAATGGAAAGATGTGTTTCTCTTCACAGAAGTGTATGTTGGTGCTCAGGTGCTGGGGAGTTTTCTGGGTGTTATACCCCTTTCCCATCTAGCAGAAGGGCAACATGTTCACATTCCTTCCACCAGTATAAGTACATATGTCCCTGTCTGGTTTCAGGTTGTTTCTTCTACCTGGTACTTTCTGATCCCTGCCAACATTTTCTGCTTGTGCAGCTTGACCCTGAGTACTTGAAAATCACCTCCCTCAGGAAGCCCAGGTGAACCCCCCATAGTCTGGCTTAGGGGTCCTTCCACAGGTCTCCCATGACTCCTATGTGCTTTATGTAATGGTACGCAACTTGCTCTGTGCTGATGGTTAATACCTATCTGACTTGGCTTCACAGAGAGATCACAGGTTTCTGTAGAGCTGGAACCTGGAATGCTAGCATCAGAAGCTTGCTCTATTTGTGCATCATTTATTCCTTACGTCTTCATTTCTCCCAGATTTAGGAAGCATCTACATGGTACTGCAATGAGGAAGGTGGACAGACAGTCAAGGGACACTGGTGGTGGGGGTGCATACAGTGCTCTCAGAGTCTAACTCCATTTTTGCCTAACTCCACTATGGCGCTTGAGAGCACTCCTCAGGAGAAAATTATGTCAGGTACTGAGACTGTAAATCCTGATACACAAGCCTCATTGGATTAAAAGGAAGATTAGTAATGCATGCCCCTGGGTGTATCTGGGTGAGTCATGCAGGTATAACCTGAAGTAACATATAGGATCCCTTGTCTGTTCCTCTCCAGCACTCTTTCTCTGGTTTGCTCCCTGGAAACCGTGAGGGAAGCAGCTTTACTCTGCAATGCCCCTTCTATCATTCTGTTCCTGCCTTGGAACCAGCCATCTATGGATTGAATCCCCCCAAACCATGAACTAAATGAAACCTTTCATTCCTTTAAGTTGTTTTGTTGATTACTGTGTCTCAGTAACAAGAAAGCTGAATAACACAGAAAATCAGCACTGAACAACTAACTGGTGTCATTGCTATGGCTTTATCTGTGTGATTTAAAATACTTTGGAACTGATTTGCAGGAAGAATTTGGCAGGTTTGGAGATGAAGGCTAGAGAAGCCCTAGGGTGCAGTAAGTGGAGCCTGATGGATGATCATGATCAAAGCTCAGAAGACTCAAATGCTCGTAAGAGTGTGGACAGAAAAGGTTAGGCTCCGGAAGTTTCAGCTAGGAACCAAGACTCCATTAGCATTTGAACTGCTGACCATATGTTTTACATTCTAGCAAAAATTTTCCAACATTCTGTCTACTCCCCAAAGCTTTGAGGAAGACTAAGACTAGGGATCTAATTAGAGTAAACTGCAAGGCAACCAGTACTCCGGCTATGGTATGAGTACCGCTGGTTGCTTCTAGTAGTGAGAAACATGGATAATAGGCAGAACAGAAAATTTTGAAAAACTGAAATTGTGGCCGAGGAGGAATTATGTATAAAGGTGAAGCCAAAGGAGATATGGTTGCTGAAAAAATTAAAATCATTAAAAAGAAACCAAAAAGTTTTCAAAAGAACAAGAAGAAATATACCTTGAAGTCATCTCAGGAATTAGCAAGACCTCATCCATTGAGGGCTCAAGAATACAAAAATGTCCATGTTTTGAGAATCCCTGAGACCCCTCTTTGAGAAAGATCTTAGATGCTGGAGCCACAATCCAACACGGCCTGGCTACCGATTCCACTGACAGCAGACATAGGCATTATCTAAGTGATGCTGGTTTGACTGCATGCAGAGTGTGAGTTATGGAGCCAAGGCAGCTTCCACTTGGAATCCAGTGGAAGGTCAGGGAGGCAGACAAGAGGCCCCTGTGGAAGCAGTGCATGAGTGGAGCCAGCCCAAGAAACAAGTAATATAGACTGCTACCAGCAAATTTACGGGGATGTGACACCAAGCAGTTGAGATTCACATTTTACCACCATGTGCTTCAGATATCAGATACAAACCTTCAGGATTTAATGTTTTCCCTGCCGGAGTTTCAGTCTTGCTTTGGACTGATTCTTTTCTATCCTCCTGTTTCTCACTTTTAGAATGAGAATATGTATCTGTGCCATTGTGCTTTGGGGTTATGTAACTAGATTTCCATTTTTATAGATGTTCACAGGTAAAGTTTGTCTGTGATTCAAAAGAGACTTGGACTGACATTTTGAAAAAGGCAGAAAGTGTTGAGATATTAAGGGGAATTGTTGCATTTCAAGTTTTACTTTTATAGTTATATTGGTGGGATTATGAATATACTTTTGTCTCTATTTGGAGATTAAGTACAATGTGTTTGGGTGTAAAATCGATTAGCGGTAGATTATGACTACTAATCCTGATGTATCAATTCCATTGGATGAAGAAAATATTTAGAAGATTAGCAAAGCACACTTCTGGTGCACGGGTGGGTCACGGAGGCATGGGCTTTGGTATTATGCATGGTCTTTTGGTTCTTACTGTCTTACACTGTTTCTATGCTATACTTCCAGGCCAGCAAGATGCTTCAGCTTTGAAACCAGCTGACTATGGACAGAATCATCCCCAAATTATGAGTAAATTAAACCTTTCCTGTTTTAAATTATAACTGTTGGGTATTGTGACCAACAGTTGGAAACTAACACAGATGGAGACCAAAGAAGGAGCTGATGAGTGTGAAGGTTAGGTGAGTTTGTGCTTAAAAAGCTCTGTGACCATTGAGCTCACAGTGGTGAGCACAGTGCAGGACATACAGCAAAGGTACCAGGATTCCTATTTTCCAGTCAGAAGGGAGAGTGCCTCTGAAGGAATAACTTCTTAGAGGAAGCCAAAGTAGTTGAAAGTAGCTAGAGTAAGAATTTCAAGTTGGAGGCAGAGGTAGAGAATGAATGATGTGGAGGTGGAGGTAGGGAATGAGTGGTGAGACAGAAGAGACAGGGATCAGTGAGAGGCAGGGAAGTGATAATGCCCATTCTTGGCTTAGTAGTGATAAGAGTCAGCAGAAAGGAAGGTGATATCAGATATGCATTGGCAGGAGAAGGATCAGACATGCATTGGAAGGAACCAAGATAGAGCGGAGAGAGGGGAAGGGAAGGTGGGAGGGAATGCCAGACATGTTTAAGGAAATCGTACAATCATTTCTAAGATTGTTTCCCTGTTCTCTTGTATCCTGGAACTTTGATATTAAGCAGATTTTTCTCCTTTAGATTTAATACTGCAATTGGTAATTTTGTCCTTGTATGCATAACACACGATTCTCCACGACTACAGTTTATATATCCCATAAAGTCACTTAAAATGTATGTGCCCTGGACTGTTTAAATCTGAGTCACAGGACTGCAGTAAGGGGTCACCAAGGATGCCCAGGTCATAACTCTTCCATCAACGTTTACCAGATATTCTAAGGAAACATTAAATTAATTTCTATATTTATTTGTTTAACATTTGCAGTGTGTTCACTCTGTATGGGAACCTAAGAGAAGCAGATATGGTTTTCCTGCTCCTAGAAATTGCACAGGGTTACCAGTTATTCTTCTCTGTTATTTTCCCTCTGTTAGATCTAGCAAACAAGAGTGCCTAATCCATTTGTTGATGGGATAATTAAATTAGATCAACAAATAGAGGAGGTGGTTACTTGTCAATAGGTTGCACTAATGGAAATGTGATTACAAGCTGGGGTAGGAATTCAGAGAGCGTGAAGGCTTTGATGAAAGTTATCTCAGCCTGGAAGGAAGGGCAAAAAAGGAAGCATGCCTAAATTGAGGTGGGATAATCAAAGGCATCAACCATCAGGAGGTAGCCAGAGGGTCTTCTAGGCAGACAGAAATGCATGTGCAAAGGCCTTGCGGCTCAAGGATGAAGAAGTCAAGTGTGGTAGGAGAGACTGCAGCACATTCTAGGAAGCTGGTGTGACTGGAAAAAACGAATATACAGTGGAAGGTAGGAGTAGGGACTGTGGCCAGTTGATGCCTCTGCAGCAAGCACAGAACAGACCTTGAGCCTCGTAAGGATCTCTCCTCAATGGAGAAGACAATGTATGACCTTTCCAGAAAGGTCTCATTAGAATACATTGGGAATCTCAGCTCCACTAAGCTGTAGTTAGTATTTCTTTCCTGTCTTAAAGTCATGTGTGTAGAAAACAATCTTCCAGTATGTATCAAGAATTTTAAATATTATTGTACTCTGACAAGTGAACTCCACCTTGGGGGATCATTCTAACAAATTTAGAAAAATGGTATGCATTTGCTATTACCCACTGTGGTTTTGCAAAGAAAAATTATAAGGTTTACGAATTACAAAGGAATGATCACATATACTATGGCATATTCACTAGATATGTTGTATGTAAACTCTATCAGTATTTAACAGTAGTATAAAAAATGTTTATACATATATATGGAGATACAAATACCACACACATACACACACACACACACACACACACACACACACACACACACATATACATGCCACAGAGAGAATGTAAGACAGGGGAGAGGGGAGGAGAAAGGGAAATGCTATGTAGATAAACAAGAAACAAACATTGTATACATAAAAGAAGAATCAAATTAAAGTCGATTCCATCAAAATTTAGTCATCTTTGTTTTTCTTCATTTGAACTTCTGTAACACTCAAAACTTACCAGTACCAAATCACTAACAATAGTGTGATATACTTTTGTCTGCAATTTTTTGTGCAGTGAAACTAAATTTTTGAAAATGTCACTTACTGGTATTCCAGGGATTCCGGGAGGGCCTTGGGGGCCAGGAGGACCTTCTTTCCCCTGAAACAAATAAAAATGCTATGAAATGTTTGACTGGCTCTTTTGGAAGTCAGTGAAGATCTGGGAATAGGCGTCTTCAGCTGGGGGCACAGATACCTGTGCATAGATGCCTCTTCTTCTTCCAGACCTTGCCTCCCATCTCCTGAAGTACTGGCCTGGGCTAAGCTCACCTACACTCATGGCTGCCATGTATGCTGAGTCCCACGGTAGCCATGGTCCAGATCTTCTGGGGAATTCACAATTACATGCTATTAGGATGAAGATACCGAGGTGTTGGGAATGCATAAGAACCTATTCACAATCCAACTTAACAACGTTGCCCAAATCTCCTGAGACTGAGTTTCCTAACTGACATAGCACAGACATATTATATACCCTGACATATAACTACAGGACCCAGTGGAAAGGCAGAGTTGATGAAGGGTTGATGGGGTGTGATAGATGCTTTTTCATTTCTATTGTTTGTATCAGAGATTCTAAACCCTCTGCTAGCAATAGCTATGGTTAATATCTTTCCTGCCTTAAAGCCATAGTATTTTGAAAACCCATTTAACCAAATTGCATTAACAATTCATTGCCTATTTTACTCATTAGCTCATCAAAGATATGCAACTGTCCACCAGGACTTGTACATCAGCATGAGGCAAACTCAGTCACTATTTCCATCATGATGCAATTTTTATATTTCCTGTCTCTGTCAGGAATGTAGGGAGTTCCTGGTGACTGTACAATCTATCCTCCCAGTGTTTTGGAGAGATAAGGTACTGAGCCAGACTGTATATTCTAATCATGTAAATTGAGCTTTGGGGATATTAATCCTCTTAAAAAAATTTTTAAAAGCTAATGCTTATTTGAAGTTTACACAGTTTTTATATAAAATTTCAGTTTTCATATAAAATTATTCCCATCATGGAGCCAAAACAAACTTTGTATTTTTCTATCCAATGACTGGTTTTATGTTTTAGCTGCCTCAGATTATTTTTTAATTTTTATTTTTAGGAGTACATCAGTGTGGTACATAATGATTACCTTTACCGTGAGAAGTCGTCACATGCATACAACACATCTTAATTCTTTTTTATCGCATTATTCTTCCCTCCTTCTTTCCTCGTTACATCTTTTGGCTTTTCCCCATTTGTAAAAGATCTATTTCCCTGTTTTCTATTATCTTTTACTTTCCTCTTAAATTTATGAATACTTAGAATTTCTCATACAAAAGAAACCATGTGATATTTAAGCTTGTTTCTATTTTATTTCACTTAACATGGTGGTCTCAGATTGTATCTATTTTCCTCTGAATGGCTCAAATTTATTCTTCTTTCTAGCAGTGTGGCACTCCATTGTGTATAAATACCACCATTCATTTGCTGATGTACATATAAGCTGCCTCCAAAATTTAGATGTTATGAATTATGCTGTTGTAAACAATTTATTATATACTATTTAAACTTAATGTAAACTCCATAACTGAGTTTTTAAATATACATAAAGAAAACTGACAAACCCATAATGTATTTGAAATTTATAGAGTCATAGGCAATGGCCGGAAAGGCATGTTCTGTGTTTGCTATTGTTTGTTCAAGCTTTTTCTCAAGAGTTTACACTCTTCATATTCACACTGAAAAGTCATTCTCAATTTCGCTGGTAGCAACCAGTGAAATTAAGCTACATCTCTATAGCATTTTATTGCATGGTATTTGGATTATTGCCATTTACACCAATGCAGACAGATCAATAAATTCACCTTTCCCCCACATCTCAACAGCTATAAACATATAAGCATATAAGGAGATATTCTTGATGAACCTAGAACAATATTCAACTATTGTTAGGGAATTTTAAATATTGACAATGGAGCTTTCTAGATTTCTTCCTGGATACTTCCTGTTTCAAAGATCATAAATTGAAAACAACAGTGAAAGAAGATATGGACGAGCAAGCTACAGCCCTCTGCTTGTTTTTGCAAATAAAGTATGATCAGCACACAACCATGTCCATTAGTTTTCATAGTGTTTGAGGCTCATTTCACCCTGTCACAACTTAGTAGCTGCAACTGAGACAATATAGCACACAAACCCTGAAATATTATTTGTTTCCTTACAGAAAAGTTTGCAAAACCTGGAGCTGCACTGTTCCTTGCTGAATGAGGTGAAGGAGATGAGGGTTGTATAATAAGAATGCCATGGACCCAAGAGAGAAGCCACCCCTTGACTCGCTGTCCAGTGCTCTTGGCATCATAACCAGACTTCTCCTGTCTTTAGAAAGCAGTGCCACTGAGAGACAGACCAGAAGTTAAAACATGGCAGATGGATGCACTCTTATCCAACCTCCCTGACCAGCTTAACCATTCCCATGCTAACCTAGCCATATCAACCTTTCCAAGGTCCCTGCCTTACCTTGCTCCTGTTCTTACCAGAGAAGCTAAAGCTCCAGAGACATAGTGCTTGTCCTTCTAACCTGTCTGCAGATATTTGCAATAGAGAGTAATCCAATCCACTATCTGTTACATCGCTTAATGAAATTTTGGTAGTGAAAGGAAAATAATGATCTTGCATGCAAGTTAAGTCTAGATTTATGACACTAGGCAATAAAGATGAGCTACTCACTGTTTAGAGAACTATCAGATAGCTATCAAAGAGTACAGCTATCTAAGTTTTTATATTCATATTGTTTCACAGGTGCAGTTATAGTCCAAAACCACATAGCAAATAGTAGACAGATGAATATTCACTTTTAAGAATCATTATAAAAAGATTCATTCAAGGAGCTAGAATGAAAGCACAGATCTTTATCCTATATCAAAATGCTGACAAATAATGTACATGTTTTAATTCAAAATACAATGAAAATGTTAGGTCTACATGTTTTTTTTTATCATTAGCTAAATTGCTTTATTTCTTTTATTATGTACTAATAATTATTGTTTAGGCTAAGAAAACATCTACTATGTCCTGATTTAATATTTATGGTAAAGGATCAAGACCATAAACAACTTTGAATACTTTCATAACTTGGTAATGAGTCCCAGGACAGAGTAAGTGTCTTATTTCATGCACTTCAATGCCTTGGAATGAAGATTTCCACTCACTTGTACATTTGGGTCCACAACTCATTCTTCTTAAGAAACTGCCCATTAGTTTTTATTGGAAGAACACTTTTACAGTCTAAGGATCAATGAAATCCTGCTTGCACTACTGTATTTATCCTGAGACTTTAAGGTAGGTTGCTTCAAAAGACTGACCACATGACGATCCTAAGGAGCACAGGGACATAATTATTCAGTCTCTATATTCCACAGCAGGTCAGTATGAAAAAGCACAAACAGTGAGCTGGCAGTTTTAAAGTGGACACATTCCCAACTTGAAAGTAAATTTCCTACATGACTTTGGACAGATGACTTAACTCTGTTGGGCACTGTCTCCTTGGTTGGGAAGAACAAAGTTGTGCTAAGTGAACCACAAGGTTCCCTTTGCAGAAGATTCCAAAGACACCAGGCCAGAGCTGGCCTTGCTAGCAAACCTTGGACTTGGACTGTGATGCTGCTCATCTCATGGACTGGGGTTTGTGCCTGGATCTGGTATTTCCTCACTATGTGATTCTGAATTGGTCTTCTTTATTCTGCAGTCTTCCCTTTTCTTATTTATAAAACAGATCCTATGATGTAGGACTTTCCAAGTTATAGCACCAAAGTGAAAAGAACAGGCGGATGAGATACAGAATATGAATACTACACATTCCTTTAAATGCCACACACATATTATTACTAGGAATATGCCTGTGAAATTGCAGTTCACCCTTTGCTTTATGGCACTGAAACTATAGTTGATTCTAGTAGCTCTCTGCTGTGAAGATAATTCTAGTTTTTGAGATAAATGCACTGAATTCAAATGCCAACTGTGCCAACTGTGATACTGGGACCTTGATTGGTGACATCTTTTTCTCTGGAACAATGACATCTCCTCTTTGGAACAGCTGGGACGCTCCTCCCTGAGATACACCTGGAGCACACTGTAGGCTCCAGGTAGGCAGCCTGAAGATTTCCACTCACTTGTGCATGTTCAGAGAAAAACGCATGCTCACAAGAACACAAAGATAGGGCCTAAACCATGGGTCCTGCTTGCATAGTTGGTTGTAAACTAATTCTGGAACCACAGATGGGCAGAACATTTTGTCCAAACCTTTATTGTAGTAGCAAAGTAACCTGAGCTCCAGGGGAAAGCAACCGATTAGAGAAGAAACCTTAGGGATACATGGGTCCACAGAGTACCAGACAGGTTGGTTGGCAAACACTTGCAGCTCTGAAAAGGCCTAAAGACAAATTTAAGGAAGACCTGTCACTCAAGGAACTTACCAGTGGCCCCTGAATTCCTGGTGGTCCCGCAGCCCCTGCAATTCCATCTGCTCCCTTGAAAAGACAAGGCAGACAAGGGCAACATTACTGTGTGACAGGGCAGAGGTCATACATAACCTTTTTCACAGACATGGAATAACGTGCACATCTTACACAAAGCTTCCACACTAGATGTGTTATAAAAGCCTTGCTTCTTCCTCATCAGAATGGGTTGTTCATAAGAATACAGTGATGGTGAAGGAACAACAGCCACATTTCAAGAAGGGCTGGCATGATTAATCAGCCAGTTCTCCCTAAGGCAATGGTACATGGTCTCACATCTTAACAGTTTCAGCTAATGTCAGAGAACATATGATGACAGAAAACAAGACCTGAACACCTGAATCTCTTTATAGAGATCAGGAAGGCATTGCTTATGTCACTCCAGAGGTGGAGAGATGGACAGATGGATGGAAAGCAGTGTTGTACAAAGGTAAGTAAGCAGTAAAAGGTGTTCTCAGGCACACATCTGTATCAGAGCTCTCATATGAGCTATTTCCGTTGCCCACAGTTGAGCCTCTTTGGATCCACAGAATGCCACCCCCACCCTCTGGGTCCTGACTCAAGTAAACTTTCCTTAGGATCAAGACTTTGTCCTACAATGCCCCAAATTGCAAGCCCTTGCCTCTCACCACCACAGTATAATCTGTTCCTTTTCTGCCTACTTTTCTCTGAAGTACTTATTGATATCTGATGTCCTAGTGTTTATTGATCTGGTATTTGCATACACCTCCTACATCAGGAATTTTCTTTTTCTATCTCTGTTGGAAACTAAAAGAGTACCTAGAATATATTGGACACTCAATCAATATTTCTTGAATAAATGGATGAATTGGGAGCTGAGCTGGTGAGTGATGAAAGCAACTGTCCTTTAGATGAATTCACCTCTCTGCCTCTTAGTAGCATTAATAAGGCCACAAAAGATCTGTAAGCTTCAGCTTCATCTACAGTGACTATTAAAAATTGACCCCATATTATAAGGACATGAGGAGGCAATGAAGCAGTGCTTATAAATATTTTGTATACAATAGAGGGTAGTGGTTAGGAATGAACTTTCTTAGAGTCAAAATCCCTGTGTCCAGATGCTGCTTCCCCATAGACTAGCTATGTGTTCCTAGGCAAGGTAATTATCTCCCACACATTTCCTTTCCTTTGTGAAATGCAAAGACAGACTACAACAATTGCATGTGGATTGTTAAGAGGCCTCAATGGTTAAAAAGTATAAAGAACCAGTCGGCACCAAGAGCATACCAAGAATGCCTTCCCCATGAAGGGTGACCCATTGTTATTTCTACTATCTACTCCATACCAGGGACAATACTATAGATATTAACTAAATATGAAAGCATGAACAAGCATGTACTTTATTGATGACGTTCCAGCAGTCTTTATTTATTTAAGTGCTTGACACATATTTATTGAATGCCTATTTTTATCAGGCACTAGTGAAGTTTGAGAATTATAGAGGAGACTCCCCAATGATCTTAGACTTTACTGAAATTTGACACTGCAACAGAAAATGTCTTATTTTCCATGTATGACCAATTTCTAGGATAGGATGCTATGTGATTTAGCTTTATTTCTTCTACTAAGTGAGGATCCCATAAATATTTACAAAATAAAAGGATAATAGCATAAGGCTTTTGGATTAATTACACATTTGGTTGAAAGCTAACAGAACAATGGAATGTCTACTTAAAATACGGATATTTCTACATGATTTTAGCAAATGTTTCTGGAAACCAGACTTTGGAAAATTGTTGAGTTGAGATTAAATTCTTTGCTGCAAAGCTGAGAACAATGAAATAGTTTTATCTAGAAGAAAGACACTGACTGAGTACCAGACAATAGACACAGAAATGCCAATGACATTGTATACTCTGTGCAGGCCTTGACAAACTAATAGCTCCCGACTAAAAATAAATGTAAACCAAAACAAAAGCAGTTGCTTCAGTGTGCCTGGCTGCTGACCCTGAAGAGGCAGCCAACTCAGCTTCTACTCTCAAAGGCAATTAACAAGAGAAAGGATGACACAAATTAGAAGCTCAATAAACATCTGCCCAGTGAACAAAAAGCATGAATCAGTTGAAAATGGAGACGCTGACTTCTGATTATGCCTGTCTCTGAATCTCGGTTGCATCTTCTAGTTTTCAGCACTGTCACAGTGAGATTTCCAGTGAGAAAAGGCCCTCATAATATCCGTCACTAATGTGCACAAAACAGAATTGGAAACATGAGGAATTGAGGCTGAGAAATTAAAAAGGATAACATCAGAGCACTAGGAGAGACGGAAGCAAATATCAACAACTTAAAGTAAGCTCTCTGATGAAATGATGAAGCTTTCAGTAGATAATTTACCTTTGGATAAGTCTGCTGCAAGAGTTAATCACGAAGTGAAAGACACTGTTTCAAGACGTCACGTGATTTTATTGAAAAAAAGATATTTAAGACAACCTCATTTGTTCAAGTAATTAACACAGTTACCAATAGGAGTCTTCATTTATTTATTTTATTTAAAAAGAAAACAAGGAAAGTTTACTTTGGTATTTTTCCCAAGCCCAGCTGAATCTGTTTTACCATTTCTTATGACATAATGATCTATTTAAAGTAGGTGTCCTTTCAGGGGTCTTTTGAGTATTTGTAGCTCTCATTTACAAAGTCAGGAGGAGTCTCATGAAGAGGACCCACTGGAAATCCCAGAGGTTCTGAGCATGGCAGGGAGAATAATTTCCCGTGCTTGTCACCATGGAGACCACTGATGGATATACAGGCAACAATGCAGTGAACTGCGAGCAGAAAAGCAAATATGACTTATCTGAGGGTTGCCTGGATTGAGCAGAGAGAAAATGATGAGAAAATCATCGGCCAACATCAAGGCCGGGAGCTACTCAAGAGCAGGGAGATCATTTGTGCAGGAGGTATAATAAATAGGATAATATTAATGGCACATATGGTAGTATCATGGTAGCAGTTAGCATGGTTACATGGCAAAGAATAACAATGAATGAACTGTTAAGATGGTAATCGCAAACAATAATTTATAGTTACTGTTATTGTTACTGATTGCAGTATTTCAGGAAAATCTGGACTTATAAAGGTACATTCTAAAACTCAGGCTTCTCACCATTGGGCAGGTTTCTATGAGAAAGAATATCTTAGTTTTTTTCATTTTTCAAATCAAAATTTTCTCATTTTTATATTACACATTTGCAACACATAACAGATGTCCTAACTTAGAAATACATGGGCTACTCCATCCCTGCCACTGCCCCCTATCCCAAGAGCATTCTAAGGACACCGCCCATCAAAGCCACCCAGGTCCCTCTGCATGCTCCCAAGGCACTTTGGGACTCGGACTTTCAGCTCATGCTTAGGCACCTTGGGGGGGTTCATCCCATCGTTTCTAATATGAGACAGGTCCAGCACAATACCACTCCCAGTGAGTATGCACCTGTTCTGAACACCCAGGGCACAGGGAAAGGAGGAGACTAGAGATCTTACTTACTGGCGGCCCAGGGTTCCCTGGGGGCCCCATGAAGCCTGGAACTCCAGGATGACCCTAGGAAGACACAAGCAGTAGTTCTTTAAAAGGGAAATGAACATTTAAACTTGTAACAACATGAAATTTTAGGCAACTATGTAGAATCCACCTTCTAACCCCATTGACAATTTTAGCTGAAGACACACACAAAACAATCTCTTTTTCATACATTCCTAGTGCTTCAGTAGGTGGAGAAAGCAGGTGAAGAGACTTTAACAACCACAAATGTACTAAATGGATTTGATTCAAAATAACGTATAAGGACCAGCTGTGAAGTGGCTGAAGCTACAGATGGAAAGAAGAGTGACCCTAATACCTGGAAGCTGATGTGGCTGGGTGCTGGGTCCCCTAAGTTGATAGACACTTAGGTTGTTTCCAAGACTTAGCTATTATTTTATTGTAGTCTTTACCTTGTAGATATGTTTGCAGTGCTCTATAATAACAAAGTTAAAACTAAATAACTGCACATACACATACATACATGTGTATGTAAACATTTGTTTCTCAGTATCTGTGAGGGGGATGTTCTAGTACCAGATACCCAGACACCAGAACCCACAGATGCTCCGGTTCCAGGTTTGAATGGTATAGTACCTGTGTATACTTTACACATATCTTCCCATAGAGTTTTATTTATTTATTTATCTTGGTACTGAGAATCAAACTGAGGACCTTATACTTGCCAGGCAGGTGCTTGTGCCACTGAGCTATATCCCTGGCCCCCATATAGATTTAAACTATATCTTTTCTGGAACAGATACAGTTTTACAAGTTTTTGAATATGCTTAGTACAAAGACTTTAACAGTAGCAAGACCTTACATTTATTAAAAATAGGAAAAGAACCAAGTTTTGCAGAGTGAATTTGGGCCAAATAAAAGTAGGAAAAGAAGTATCCTGTATGTCCTGAGTGTAGACCACCATGAAGAGCGAACTCAGTGGCAAAAAAGTTTGATGCTGACTGCTTTAAAAAAAGTCAGTATATTGCTTCAGATATGCATAATGTTCACATTTATCATAGAGAATTTGTACTTGTATATGACACATCTCGGTTCTTCTTTTTCTCTAGTCACCCTTTTCCCTTCAATCCCTCTTCTTTATTTACAGGATTTGTTTTCGTTTTCTTCTTCCTATTTTCTTTTCTTTTCACTTCCTTCTCTTCCCCCTCCCACCTTCCTGCTCCCCTCCAAATCTGAATGTTGGCTTCCCATTTCCCAGTATCTATTTATACTTTGGTCCATATTTACCCTGTCAGTTTGTCACACTAGAGAAACAATGTGATATTTAAACATTTGGGTCAGATGTATTTCATTGAAGAGTATGGTCTCAGGATGCATCCATTCACCTAGAAATGTCTCAAGGTTTCCTTTATGGTGGAGTAGTACTCTACTGTGTATTAAAAATCATCTTTATCCATTCCTCAGTTGATAGACACTTAGGCTGTTTCCAAGACTTAGCTATTACAAATTGTGCTGCTATAAACATGGGTGTGCATATATCACTGCAATATGATGCTTTTAATTCTTTTGAGAAGATAACAAGAGGGGAAATAACCACATAATACAAAGATTTTTAATGTTTTTTGCTCTTTAGGGTGGATTTCACAGATGTTGAAGACATGAATGTAGAGGGCCAGTTATAAGTCTATCTAGATATATAAATATAGATATAGATGCAGATATTTATCCTTATGCATATGAACATAAGTATATATTTATCCTTATGCATATGAAAATAAGTATATATTTATAAAGATATGTATCTTTAATGAATATAAGGTTGAAAATAATGAAATAACATTGAAACTGATATTATGGTAATATTACAATTATTTTAGGACAGATATTATTTCTCCACGCAGAGAGAAGTCTTCTATGTACTACAGAATGAGCCAACACTACCATGTAATATGTGGCATCTAATATTTGGTCTCATGTGGATGGCAGTGTTATTAAAAAAAAAAAAAAAACACTGAAAAAGAAGTTAGCCCCTCCATATACCACCACTGGAGAACACGTGCTGTGACATACTGAGTGTTCTGTCTGTGATGTGTCATTCACAGCCAAATACATCAGGTGTTCACAGGCACACAAGGACGCTTACTGAGCTCTTTGTGGAGCCTGAGCCCAGGCCTGTCTCTGTAACTGTAGGTGAAAGTCAGCACTTTGCCCTCCCTGTTCTATGGTCACTATAAAGTCAGCGATTGTCTGTGACTCTCCTGTGTCTCAAGCTGAGGGTGCTTGGCACATGGCTAGTGCACAGTGCACACTGGATTTGAGGTTCAGAGGAGAAAGTCACCAAAGAGAGCTGGTGGGTGAAAAGAAGAGCAATGCAAAGAAGGGAAAAGAAGGTGGAAGCCATAGAGCAGAAACAAAATGGCTGCTATAACAACAATCAGGCCACTGGGTCAAAAGCCTCCACACCACTGGAAGGGGTAAAGGTCAATGCAGATGGACAGAAAGACACCATGTCAGCGCTTCCCTTCTTGACACTCATTAAGAGCTAGCCCAGTAGGCTGGCGGCACTGACCAGAGCCAGGGTTTTTCCAACTAGATCCTCATGCATTATGCAGTGGGCACACAAGACTCAGTGCATGGAAGGACAGGATGACCCTTCAGTGACCAAAAGGTATTCAATAAAAGGTGACACAACAAAATCAAAGAGTAGGGGAAAGGCAGGTTCTTGCGATACTCAGGGAAAGAATGGGTGGCTATCAGTCAGAGAGATCAAGATGGAAACTATTTAACAAATTCCTAATCCAGGCAAAGGAGAGACTAGAGCTGACATCAGAATGGAGAACAGGGGCCGAAGAGGAGGAAGAGGAATTTATACTCAAGTGAGCAAGGCACTATAAAGGAAACTGTTCCTTACCTGATCACCTTTCTGTCCAACTTCACCATCTGCACCCCGCTCACCTGGGCTTCCCTTGGAAGAAAACAGAAGAAAGAAAGGTAAACAAAAATTTCACCAGAACTGTACTAAAAAAAGGAAAACAAAAACTAGACCCATTCATCCATCCATTTGTCCATCCATCCATCCATCCATCTTTCAATAGCTGCTTTCCAAATTTCTGTTGTGTTCCAGGTGTAATGGCAGCAGACACAGAAACAAGACCTTGCTGGAGATCTGTTGTTGAATTGCTTAATGGGCCTTGGATACCATGTAGTGGCATCAGAAAATGGAGCTGGGAAGGCAGGTAGGGCCCTATTCTTCATAGACTTACCTTTCCTAAGTCTGGTGTACTCTCTTACAATCAGACTTGACTGTAGGCTTTGGGCATTACTGTACAATGTATAAGCATCCAAAGCTTTAGCATGGCTATAGTGGAAAGCAAGCTAGATGGTCAGCACAGAGTGATCACACAGGACACTGGGCACCAGCAGTGTCTGTGGTTTGGCAGAACAGCTGAGCAGAGAGGAGGAAAGCAACAGCAATGCTGAGCTGAGGGAAGCACTGAACAGTGGGCTCTGGGGAGGGTCACTTCCTGCACACCCTGTGCGTGCTCCCTCTGCGCCGCTGTGTGGTCTTGGGGAGCCGCTTCCACTCTCAGAGTCGTAGTCTTTTCATCTACCTTCAAAAATATTTTCATATACTAACCTTCAAAGTATCCCTCACAGGTTCCAGTGTATTATCTGTTGCCTGCCACGGCTCTGTATTTACTGTGCTAACAATTGCACTTCTGCAAAATGTTATTAAACTGAAGCACTTCAGTTCCTTTAAAATAATGCATTCATTATGCAGTAAAATAAGCCCTTGGCAGTCAGTGGATCCTGGCACTGTTTCCATTCTTGGTGCTCTCAGCTTTGTGTTCTTGAGTAGCTCATAGCCCCTCTCAGTCTCACTCAACCAGTAAACATAGGACAGGGTGCGGCACATATCCTGAGGGTTCTTCTGGGCCAGAACCAGACCACCTCCTCCCAGAACATGGAGCCAAGCCCTCTCTCCATCCATCCATGGGGCCGATCACTGCTGGGGTGACTATAGCATAACTCTCATTGTCTGCCTCTCTCAGGGAGACATGGGGAGAGGTTAGGTGACCCCAAAGCCACCAAATGCTAAATACCACAATGTAGAGGAGGAAAAATGGGTTCCTGGGGGAAAGCATTTGTTCCCACACTTTTGCATGTAATTCTATCTACTGTTTCCATGTCTTTAAAGCTGACGCATAGTCTGCAGGCTGCTTCATAATCAATGAAAAGCAGGTATGCAGAACAGTATGCTGCTTTCTTGACATTTAAGACAATGGACTTAAAGGTAAATGATTTCTTCCAAATTCGAGGCCTTGGCCAGGCTTTAGAGTAGTTCTGACCTTCACCTGGCAACAATGAAAATGTCAGCAGCTTAAGGCCCTGCACCTATCCCTGTTCCCTTACAGGCCACAGACAAAGACTAAAGCAAACAGCACCACTCCCAGGCCTGACTCACTTCCTTGCAGAGAAAGGGGCTGACATTTCCAGAGCCCCTAGTTTGCCAAGCACTCTGCCAGTACTTTCCACATGGGATCCATTAAGTGTGTATCTTTATTTACATCCTGTGCTGATGCCAAAAAATTTTAGTATGTCATTGATACCTGATTTCATCAGTAAAACTGCTTTTGACATAAGCATTACTAACAAAGTATTAGAAAAAAACAAACTGAAGACCAAAGAGTTTAAATCATTTACCTGAGGTCAGTTTATTAAAAGCAAGCTCTGGAATCTAATCCAGCCTTGTCTATCTGTTTATCAAAAATCCAGGGTGGCTCTCTCCATCCAAGTGATTTTCCTATCTGCTTTTTTAGCCCCTGATGCATGGTCCTACTGGTTTTGGAATTTCAAGAGCACTTAATTTACAACTGGGAAGCCTGATCAACAAGGCTGAACACAGGCCAGGCTTGATACTAGGTACTGGAGATGTAACAATCAACAACAAAAAAAAAAAAAAAAAAAAAAAAAAAAATCTTTCCTTAATGTTTATCCAGGTAGGTTATCAATTCACTTCTCTCGTAACTCAGAAGGTGTTTACTGGGGAGCATTTGTACAGGCTGAATTCTTTTTGTTACTCCACCCCCATCCTATTTACAAGCCACCTTTGTATAATCTTTGTATAATCTTCCAGTATCAGATTATATTATAGGAAGATCTTTTCTAGCTTTCCAATTTAAACTGAGCATCATTTTTTTATTCTCTAGCCATATATTCCTTTTAAAATACAAGTAGTCACCATTAGAAATGTTGCCATGTGTTTGTTTGATGTGTGTCTCAGTGGACAGAGACCAGGTTTACTTTGCTTAAATACATCTATCCATTAACTGTGGCACAGTAACTAATTAAACAGCTGCTGAATAAATGAACACTATACTACCCTAAAAAGAAATAATAAATAAATAAATATTGGAAAAGAACACTTCTTTCTTAGAGTATTATCTAGAAAACTTGTTACTTTGAGTTCGTGGCCTGCTTCCTCAAAATGCATATAGATCATTGTAGAAGCCGGATAAGCTTCTTGCCCACTTTATGACCAGGAATCAGGACTGTGTCTCTCAGGACATACTACCCATTCCTTCACAATATAATCAGCAAGGAAGATAACAGCTCTGTCTCTCAATTCCTGTGGGGAAGCAGGAACTTAACTTGAGAAGATCCCCAGCTCGAAGATACAAAACTACCTCTTTGTCATCTGGGCACAGTAGTGCACACCTGTAATTCCAGCTTTCTGGGAGGCTGGCACTAGAGGATTGCAAATTTAAATGCAGCCTGGGCAATTTATAGACAGTGAGACACAGTTTTATATTAAAGCATATGGGGGATGGGGAGGGAGCTAGGGACCTTGCTCAGTGTAGAGGCCCTCGTTCCAATATCCAGCACTAAAACAATAAAACTTACCTCCTGTCAGAAAGATAGGACACATTGATCTTCCCTCTGGACAAGGACAATTAGCTACCGCAGATGGCCAGCCTGGTTACGAGCTGAATCTGTGGTGAACATGAGTGACAAAGGGTACTGCCAAGCCCTCTGACTTAAGGTCCAGTTATTGCTTGTCTTGGGAACATGTGCGACAGCATCTGTTCCACCAGCTCAGCCCTATAAAAGAGGGAGGTTTCTCTCCAACTCGGCCAGCTCTGCGGCAGCATCTGATGCATGCCACATTTTGGCTTCATCCATTAGTAAATTTATTTTTCCTCTCTTACCTGATTGGTTTTCTGGGTTGAGGAAATATCCTAGTTTGCTTTTACTGTATTTAATAATAAAGCACCATGAATATTTATTATGGCATTTCAATTGTATTTTCAATTCCTTTGAGGTTACCTTTGTACCAAGAGCTTTTCTAAGGCTGCCTGCCTTTGTAAGTCTGCCGGAGAGGCAATTTTCTCTAGGGGGTTGCAAAGCATTGAGGCCAGGACCTCAGCTTCCTAAATTAATAAGACTCTGCTACTCTCAGAACAAGCTAAATACTTGTAAGTTGCTTCCCAGCCTAGAAAATCTTTGTACACAGGTACTTGGGAAATCCAGCCTGTTCCTTCAACGCACTAAAACAGCATCCTTCTCTGCCCAGTTTCAGGCTCTGGTGGCTTAGTTGAAGCCTGGCCTTTCTCTGTGCTTGCTAACTTGGAAGGAAAGTGCCAAAGGGGACCCTGGTGACAGTCTCTCAGGACTGAACTGCTGTGACTGGGAAGAGATGATTGCTTCTCAAAAGAGAACAGAGCAGGAGTCTCTGGGTATTCTTCTGGGTGGGATGATTCCTGCAGACTTTTTCTGGCAGTGAGTGTAGCAGTAGATATTGTGTTTGCCTCCCTAGACTAATCCAGAACCTCTAAGAGATGACTTCTGTTCATTAGGACTTCTTCAGATCCAGAGTCCATTTGACTCCATTACCTGGTAAATGAATGTTAAATGAGAAAGGAATAAAATGCCTTTCCTGGGGTATAGAATTATCATCATCTCCACTGTAAGAGAGGTGATGTTACACCTGACAACAGAAACACATGCTCCCAGCATCACTGCTGTGATTACTGTCTTTGCTTTTTTCGTGGCGTGGATCATAATCTTTCCAGAAGCCACACTCTCCAGACCCTGTTCCTTAAAAGAAGTGTTTTGTGCAGTTTAAAAACCCTGGAAGGGAGCTCTGATACTGACCGTGGCATCAACCTTTCTGGTCCCATCCCGTAAAGAGAGAAGCTACAAATCTGCAAGATAAATCTTGAGGAAGCTCCTTTCCAGATACAGAATAACAACTGCAAATAAATGAACTGGCCTCCTTGGAATATACATATTATAAAAGGATCCAGAGCTGTAAAAAGTACTTCATCTTGGTAGTATTTACAGCTAACATACCATCTTTGCATTCACAAGTTTGGCAATGATAGTGTTTGATGGACTAGAGATTTAGCTCAGTGGTATAAACACCTGCCTGGCAAGCGTGTGGTCATGAGTTCAATCCCTGGTACAAATGAAAAGATACTGTTTGGTAAGTGACCTTGAGCATACAGGAAATGAAACAGTCCTCCTGCCTTGTGCAAAATGGTAGGGGATAAACAAAGAGCACAAAAACTGGCTTGAGTTTGGAAGCAAGAACCAAAAACACAGACCTCTGAGTTCTGTGATGATGATGCATTAACCCCTTCATGATTCATCTTCCCAATAATAAACACTGATAAGAGGAAAATAGTTGCAGACATTATAACAGTACCAACTGAAACACAGATGTCTGTAGTCTCGTGCAGACATTTACCTGATTACAAGTATAAAATAATGCTAACCAGAGCAGGTCTTGAAGTTAGATCACGAGGGATCAAACTCAGCTAAACAACCTACAGGTTTTGTTTTACTGGCATTTAATCTTGCAAAACCTTAATTTCTTGTCTGTGGTCTTGTCATTAAGTGAGTTAATAGCTCTACTTCTTGGGACCATGCTGACCACTGCAGAAAACCATAGTGGGAAGCAGGTTATATTGCCCTTAGAATACTCAGTTGCAGAATAACTTGTGAAGAGTCACTATGAAGAGTAGACTCGAGCGTCTGGGACTTCTCAGGGTCATCATCAACTTTCAAGTGGAGAAGCAAGAGGCCTGTATTTCAAATGCGGCACTGAGTTTTGTTCTTTTTCCAGATGGAAGCTTTTTTTGGCTTTCACAGAATATTACAAGGAGCAAGCTCTCCTTTGAAGCAAATTATAAAGGAACAAGTAGAGAGACATTATCCCAAATCATTAGACCTACACACAGGGGAGGGATGATAGCAGGAAGAGTACATGGTTGGTGGAGGAAACTCATTTGTTTAGTTCATTCTGTTTCTCTGAATAAAAGCTACTCTTTTACAGACGCTACCCACCATCCAGAAAATCAACAGCAAAAGTTCTTTAACAATCAGATGAAATTATAGGCCTAAAAAATTCTCCGAGGGAGAAGTTAAGTCTCCACTCATGACCCCAGAAGGGATCTTGTACAGAGATATTTGACAGTGCCACTCTTTCTTGGTGCTTCTGTACCTAACACTGCCCCAGGCAAGATTTCTTTTTCCATCTGTGCTGAGACTTGATAACTGTGATTTGAGAAACACAGGTCTTGGCTACACCAAAATCCTCCAAATTTTTACAAAAGCTATGAATCACAAATGCTAGACTCTTCACCTTCCATCCAGGCCTGGGAGCATAAACATTTTCCATCTTGATCCGTCACAGGCCTGTTTGTGTTTACATCATGTGTTTTGTTTGTTTGTTTGTTTGTTAATAATAATTTATTCAAGGTTCTTTTTCAGGGCTCGTCCTAGGGTAAGGCAAGTGAAAAATTTATCCCCTGGCCTCTGATACCTCAATAATCAAGATAAATAATATTCCAATAAACTTTTAAAAATTAAAATTAATCTAAATGAATCCAAGATGAACCAAATATTAGGATGTAAATAAACACAGAGATCTGAACAGACTGTGCTTAGGAGAAGGCTACTAAGGGAAGACATTCAGGTGAGGCTCCTGTTTGTATTTTCAATCTGCTATTTTGGTTCTCATAAGATTTATTGCATTAACTTTATACTTAAAAACACAGCATTACTTATGGAAGTTTTTACTTTTCCCTTATACTTCATTCTCAAGTCTTCACTACAGTTCTGGCTCTGTCATAGGCCATGACTCACGAGCTGAAAGAGTAATAATGTTGTCTGAGTGCTTTCAGCGCACCAGCCGCTGACAGGAACATTTCACCTGCAGTCATCTCGGTGATAAGCCGCAAAGTTGCCGCTCCTGGTCACCACTGAGTTAATTGGAAAGAAAATGGCAGAAAAGCTTAGAAACTCTCCCAGAGGCACAGAGCTGCGATAGGACTCCAGCTCCATGCTCTGACTTCTGACACTCTGCACACTCCTAGTGAAAACTTTATCCTGTCTCTCACCATGACTGCTCAGGTCAAGAAGAGTGTATCATGAGCTACACACACTCCACAGCAGCCACAAAGCCACAGGAAACCAGGGAGCACCAGAGGGGAGTACCAACAACTGGAAAGGCGTGTCATCTCTTCTTAGAATTAAATACTATCACCAACAACAGCCAAGACAGCCTAGCCCCCACACTTGCTTTGACATCCAAAGAGTGCTTCCCTGTTTGCTCTGTGCTTGAGATCTCTTTCCTCAGCAGCCTCTCTGGCTCCGTGAAGCCACAACACCTGCTGAGTGTAAACAAGAATCTTATCTTTACATGAGGATAATGATGCCTACCTGCATGTGTAAAGCACTGTTTGAGGTTTTCTACTGAGTGCCACGTTTTTATTATGCATTCCACCATTTAGTTCTAACACAGAGTTGAAGCTGTTTTATTGTTGTCATTAATAGTGAAGTTGAGGTCTGTTATGTCTTAGTCAGTAGACAACACACATGCCTGTTTCTACCTGTGTTTCATACTTTGTAGCACTCAGGTTTTGTAAGGGAGCAGCTGAGACTTCACAACTAGAAGTGCTCTGCCCAAGTCCACCAGAATGGTCAGTGCCATTGTTAGACCCGGAATACTGGTTTCCTGATTCTAAGATCACCATTCCTTAACCCAGGCTATCACTTTTCTTCAAACTTAGGTGAATCATTGAGGTGAACAGAATGGATAAATAGAGATGGTTATGAAATCTTACTGACCTGTGGTCCAGCTATTCCGGGAGGACCTGGGGTGCCTGGGGCTCCAGCTTCTCCCTGTAATAAGGACATAAAAAAAATAAAATAAAATAAAGAGAGAAAAACATTTTGAGCATCTAGATCCTATTTCAGAGTCATCATCAAGTCATCCACCTTGGATAACTGTCCACTGATTTCCTCCCAGGACCTCCTTTGCAGCCAACCTTGGCCCCCAGCACATCTGGTGAAAAGTCATGTACAAGTGTTGGTACCATGTACATCTGTACAACTGGGTGCATTAGCACCACTAGTGTAGTCAGATGTGTGCCAGCCTGTGTCCAAGGTGGCCCCACATCCCCTGCTTCCCACCTCACAGCCTTCCATCGTCTCCATGGTTACCATGATTAGTTTATGTGGTTAACAGAATACAGCAGAAGGGACGAGGTATCACCCCTGGATTTAGCATACAGAATGTGCTGGCCCTTGCCTGGCCTCCGCCTTCGGCCCTTGCTCCTTCTCCATCTAACCATTTGGAGAAATCAGCATCTGTGCCTCACCCTCACTGGGCAGCTACATAGGAAAGAATGGGCCCCTGATGACAGCCAGGGAGGAACTGAGTACTCAGCTGATAGCCACAGAGTGAACTTTGCCAAACAGAGCTTGAGACCCACTCACAAATACCCTGAACCAGAAGCACCGGCAAGCCACTCCTGGACTCCTACCTTCAAAAATGGGAGGTAATAAGTATTCATTATTTTAGGCAAATTTGTAATGAAGTGATAGATAACTAATACAGTCAAGATGGAGAGCTCTGCTGCAATAAGAGTTTGAACTATGTCGCATCTCACTTTATATATGCAGGTCTCTCTGTACTACAGAGCTGCCCAGCTCTGAGAAGGGGCTGCCTAGGTGGGAGAAAAGAGTTCTCAGTCACCTACCAGGTCTTGCCAGGAAGGGTAGAGTACTTCTAAAATTCAGAACTGCTTGAGTTGTCATTGTTCTATCACAACACACACTACGCCTATCTCACACTTGGGGATTTGATGCAAAGGGTCTAGTGGAGAGTCTTGGAAAAGTTTACCTAAAAATGTCCCAAAGTGATCCGTAGCTACTGCCCACCAGGAGAACCACTCTAAAGGGAGACTGCTCAGTCTCTAAGACCCTCCCATCCTAACCAACTAAATGATCTTTTGAGATGTTTAATAGTAAGCTGAGAGAAATACCAGTAACACGGATGTAAAAACATCCAAATATATCCATTTACTCGCCCATAAAATATGACTCATGAAAGGCCAAATATTAAATAAATAGTATAATGACCTGATCACCAGAATTGAATCAAAGCATTCTTAGTCTAATCAGTTTTAAAATTGTCTCCTGGAGCCTCTTAGGGTTCCCAAGCGTATGGAGGACTTTCTGGGGTCCTGCCACACGTACATTAAAAATACCCGCACAGCTGTAGCTAGAGGGAAACAGGAGGTGGCTGAGACCCAGAGAACAGGAACACAGGTTCACCTCAGAGTTTGATTCTGCCCCTCATGAACATTCACTTAAGAAAACTTGGTATCGTAAGTTCTCCTCCTCCTTCCCTCCCTCCTCTGTCTGTCTCTCTTACTCTCTAAAACATATTCAGATCCTTTCAAAAGTCAGATAAAGCTTTTATTCCAGCTTTACAATCAAGGAAAGTTTTTCTAAAGGACTTAGGATCTATCTCTTTGCACTGTAACCCACAAGGAAAATAATGGTTGTGGCCCAGTTTCTTTGAGAGGGTAAGAGCCTCTTCCCAAGTTGCAAAACTACCTCCTGTGATGAAGATGGAAGGTGTTTATCTTTCTTTTAGATAAGGCCAATGAGCTGACAGCCACTCAACTGCCAGGTGAATTTGGAGTGAACACGTGTGACCAATGGTGCTACTGAGTCCCTCTACTTGAGAACTAGCTATTGCTTAAAAGCATACAAAAGGTATGTTTCTATCAAAAAGTGAGAGGTTTCTGACTCTGCCTGATACACATCACACCCTGGCTTGTTTATGCTGTAAGATTGTGCTCTTTCTGTTTTACATTTATGGAGAGGATTTCTCACTCAGAGATGTCATTTTGAGTTATACCCCTGATACTGCCACAGGCAACTTTCTACCCCTGCAGCTGCACGAGAACAGGGTCTCGGTCTTTCCTTCTGGGCCTCCCCAGCACTGACATGTTGACTGATAGCAAGGACACATTTAATGGAGTGTCAAAACCAGGTGACAACAAAGAAATGGATGGATAGACTGTGGATAAATGGATAGACAGGAAAGATGGATGGGTAGACAGATCTAAGAAGCTGTAGGCCCACCTTGGTGCCCAGTACAAAGCTGCCAAAGTTATCGGGTAGATGAAAGCAGCTAATGAAAAGAGGAGAAAAAGTCAATCAGTAGAATGACTATGAATCTCTAGGCCTCAACATGAACTGGAAAATCACAGTCAACATGTTCTTAAGATGACAAGAACTTATAGACATGCCAAGTCCCTACCATTCCTACAGCTCTGTCCCTGCAGCCCCGTGCTTTCCCGGTACCTCTAATCTCTCAAAACCTCAATCTTTTCAAACATGAGGCTCAGGGTTCGGATTTCTAGAACACTGTTCCCTGAAAAGGTAAAAACTAAGACTGCTCTTTTCTCCTTACCTTTTTCCCTTCCATGCCTTCTCTCCCTGGCTTTCCTGGAAGACCTTTGTCTCCTTTAAACCCTGGCAGGCCAGGGAGTCCTGGGGGGCCAGGAGGGCACTCACTGCATACATCCTAAGAGAGGAAAGAAAAAGTAAATAAATAACTTGAAAAGCAAAGTGGCTCTAGTTCCAAACTCTCTACATGAAGGTTTTGTTTTTAATGTTAGCAAAGATGGAAAAGCAAACAAGTAGCCCGAGACCTTACCCAGATACTTGTGTGTCAACACTTTGCATTTGAGCACCCACACATCTGGGTTATTACACTGTTTCTCTCTACTTCCAGTCAACTGGACAGCAGAAGCACAGCCTGAGAATCTGACGTCAACAGTGCACGGAAAACTACCCGTGAGCCTTAAAAGAGCATTAACACTGCAGATTTAAGGCAACCATTTAGTATTATTAAAAACAGTGTCCTCTGTCCCCAAAGCTAGAGCCAAACAAAGCTAGGGCCTAAAATATCTGCTGTGCTTTCTTGGGTACAGTGTTTTCAGAAGTAAAAAGGAGATCAGAGAGAGCAATACGCACTGGTCTCAGGATTTTCTTGCTGTGATACAACCCAAGCAATGGTCATCATCAGAATTATTCTTAGCCCATGGAAGTCATTTAATAAATGTTCTCTGGAGTTAAGCTTTGTTCTGCTTCTTCAAGGCCTTTACCTAAATGCTAAAGTTGGAGTAAATGTAAAGTTCTCAGAGCCCAGGGAGCATGTTTCTTGATTTGTCTGTGGCATCTCTGGGTCACATAGTTTTCAGCACAGCCCATACCAAGTGAACTTCACCTAAGCTTACCTCCTACGCCTACCACTTAGACTATGGGCCCAAGGCCCTTCTCTCTAATCCTCTCTCTCCTTCCCTCCTCTATCCTTGCAGTAAGAGCTAAATGAGATAATATAAAGAAGGCACTGAGGATAATGTCAGAATAGGAAATGTCCAACATGGTCAGCTGTTCTTATTAATACATTATTCACTAAGTCACTCTTCCCAAAAATACTTGCAAAGCATCTGCTCTGTGTCAGGCACTGTGCTGAGGTCGATGCCACAATGAGTGTACATCATGAGCTCATGGGGGGTTGCTATCGACCAACAAAAGAAACCACTAAGGTCTTCTGAGGGCTCTTAACAAGGCAGCTGCAAAGGCACGGGGCAGCCACGCATGTTTGTATTAATTTAGGTGCAGTCTCAGATGATTTAGCTTCACCCTGGTCTCTTAGTCTCTAATTTCACAATGCAGTTTTTCCATCACAAATCAATCCTGAATGGTTCTATTTCTTTTCATTGCCTTTACTTCCACTTACTCTTTGGTGCCACCAAAGAAGTCTTCCTGGTGGCCTCAGGATGAGTAGAAGCTCATTTAAGCTTCCACAGACCTCCAGAATTCCAAACACAGAAAGAGGTATATTATTGGTGAAAAAGTCTGTTTATGACCTCATTCTCTCCCCACCAGCCAAAAAGAAAGTGTAAGGTCTCAGACAACAGGTAAAAAAGTTCTTGTTTTTATATATTAAATTCATAAAAAATAGTTTCCCACAGTGGAGAGCGAGTTCAGTAAGTGTAGGAATCACACGACATAACCAACCAACTTCCAATAACTAACAAACCGACCAATTGACAACCAGGCCTTTTGGTATCTATGCAAACTTCCAAAAATGAAGAGCTAATTGGGTTTTTGGAAGGGGAGGTGTTTTAAACAGTGCAATAATATGAATCAAGGGTGAATCAGATAAAGGAAATTGGGGTTGCTATTTTGTTTGTTGAGAAAAAATAGAATGAGGAGGAGCTCACTTATTTCTAGACTTCTCTTGAAGTGGTTTAAAATGAGACGGTGCCATAAAACACTGCAACAATGGATGGATGGATGGATGCATGGATACAAGGGTGGATTCATGTATGGATGGATACAAGGACGGATGAATAGATGGGTGGATGGGTGAGTGGGTAGATGAATGGGTGGGTGGATAGTCAGTCAGGAATGAAGCTAGCCTGGTGACAGAAGGCTGGCCACTAGGGTGTGTCTGGACTTGGGGTGTGCAATGGTGAATGGGAAGCCTTTCTATGACACTCACAGCACCAAAAGACTGCATCTTTGCAGTATAAACTCTTGTTACTTTCAAATTTCTACCCACTTTCTAGTAGGGATTTTAGCCTGGTATGTCTTAATGCATAGCATGAAATTTGTCCCTGAACTCTCTGCAGCCCAAAATGTGCCACTGAGGTGTTGGAAACATCACACTCGATGAGTCAAGGTGTCCACTGAGTGAGGATGACAGCAGCACCCCCTACAATCCTATCAATGTTCTACTTGGCACCTGAGCTCCTAGAACTATCAACCTTTTTGACTCTATGTCCCTATTCCTGAGGGCACTTGACATTTTCTCTAAGTCCTGGAGACTAGTGGGGTCCTGTTTCTAAACAGATGGGCTTCTCCAGACTCAGATGAAGCCTCTGCCTAACTGGCCACATCTATCATCTATCATTGATCTTCAGTGTTATTATTTATGACACTAGAACCAGAAAGTCACATAGTAAATGAGATAAGGAATGGAAAATGACTCACACTGTGCATGGCAAACAATGAAAACACAGTGAATTTTAGCTGCTATATGTGCCATGACTGTTCCAGTTCTTAGTTTAGTCTTTAAATGCATTTTCTTGACTCCTTCACAAACTAAGTGCTCTAGACCATCAATACATGCTGCTGATGCTTTTTCCTCTTCCTTTTTCTCCTCCTCCTCTTCTCTATTTTTTCCCTCCTCCTCTCCCTCCTCCTCCTCCTCCTCCTCCTCCTCCTCCTCCTCCTGCTGTTCCTGCTTCTGCTTCTCCTCCTGCTTCTGCTTTTTGTTCTTCCTGTTCTTCTTTGAACTAGGAATCAAAGCTCAGGGCCTCGTGCTTGCCAGGCTGGTACTGTGCCACTAAGCTACATGCCTGGCCCATAGCTGACAGCAACAGGGAGTTAAAAAGGTGTCCAGGTCTGCAGAGTCCAGCACAGACTATAGCACAGAGGTTTCTACATACTGTGCACCTCTGTGAAACCAGGGAGTCCTCATGGCCCATCCTGAACACAGGCGCTCATGTGCCCATGGAGGATTCAGCTGCTTGAAGGAAGGAGCCCCACCCTTCTTTAGTCCTGCAAATTATCTCTTCAACTAAATATGCCTGGATCCTGTGACTGGGAGATAGGATGCCTAACCCTCGCAGTGTTCACTACTGTTATTACTGCCAGAAAGCCTGGGAAATCTTAAGTCTGAAATCCTCTGTGAAAGGTGGGTGATGCAATCCCAGTTCCTCACAGAGTGACAGAATTATGAAAAATGATCTCAGTTCATAAAAACCTATAGTAAACAAGGAATTGAATCAATAGATAATGATTTCATGTCATGCTCTTGATGGAGGGAAAAAACCTTTTTCTCTTGTCAATAAAAATCAGTAAAGATTGTTCTACTGGTCATTTGAATAAAGCATATAATTTTCCATTAAGGCATCTCCATGTGCAGCACATCAAAAGTTCCAAGCTTATGAAAAGGTTTTGTTTCCTTTTATTTTATTCTGTTGGTCTCATTCATGAAGTAGGGATTTTCTAAAGTTATTCAGGGATCCTAAGACTACAAGAAATGTGGCCAGGACCAGTCACATCAAATCCAGTGCCAAGCTCCACCCAGAATTAAGAAGAAAAAAGCCTAAGTAGGGACAACAAAGGACCCAGCACACCTACCCCACTGCTGTTCATTCTGAAGCAAATCCTCCCTGCTCTCTTGAGCACAGCCTCACTCAGGGCTTCACCAGTTAAGAGCCCAGCCCTGGCCAGAGACCTGGTTTCCTCCACAATCAGCCCTTCAAGTGCGACCCCCACCACATCCTGCCCTATCCCTGCTGGGAATGTGCACTTCTCAGGACCTGTTCCTCCCACAGAGAATGCATACACAGTTCTGGAAGTCACAAAATCTGATTCATCCTGGCCAAAGGTGCAGCAGCCAGCTTCACTTCTTGAAGCTTCCACTTTGGGCTTTGGACACACAGGATCCACAGACAGGCTGCCTCTAGCCCCTTTCGGAGCAAAGGCAGTGACATAGGGTCCAGGCAACCTTTGACCATTGAGGACTGGGTTCTGTGCTTAGGAGAGTCTTTTCTGTTTTATTCAGCGATCCTAAAAGTGTCTCAGGTTTCTTATATGCAAACTAAGAACAGGAATATTATTAATTATGTTATGTGGAAATTTAAATTTAGCACAGCACTATTCAGAACTTTCTGCTCTGTAACTGCATTGTAAAGGAGCCACCAGCCATGTGTAATTGGCAAGTACATGGAAAGTGCCAGTGTGACCAGGACCTGACTTTTAAATTGCACATAACTGTAAATTAACTTAAATTGAAGCAGATGTGCATGGCCAGTGGCTGCTGTTATTGGATAGTGTGGCTGCAAATGAATTCCCCACAAATATCGATGCTCATATTGTTAATAATATATTTGTGTAGAGAAAAAATATTGCAGTCTCTAATCCCCCATTACCATTTTCAAAACACATGTACATTGCATGCTTTTACCTTAACCAAGAGATTGATGTCCCCTGGAGACAGTAGTGAAGAAGGGCCCTGTCAAAGCAAAAATAAATAAATACACACATAATGCAAACATCCATTCTGTTCTATGCATCTTTAGAAAGGTGACTTTCACAGTGTAATGCATAACTCAGAACATGTCTGTGCATGCACAGGACACAAACAGCACAGTCACTGTCCCAGGTCCTTTGGCTAGCCCCTTTTTTTCTCCTCTGTTGGTCCTCCAGAACCTCTTCAAAATCTGGCAGTCAGATGGGTACTGAGAGAGGCAAAGGAAAAGACTGCATTCTGAGTCGGTCTTAGGTTTTCTGGATGGTCAACAGCTATTACCATCACTCACTCTTCTGATTTGTCCCCCTTTTCTGGTTCCCTGGGGTTTCTAGCCTATCATGTAGCTGACAAGTTACCCAATAGGTAAGATGCCTGCATAAGGTAACAACGGCTGGAGGAGATGGAGATGTGTTTCTATCCTTTTCCCTGCTGTTATGTTCAGAAATATTACCCACTCTCTAACCTCTTCCTAGAAGGACCTAGAGGGAACTGGGATTATAACCCAGATTGAAAAGTAATGCAGGAATTATTAGCATGCTACAAAACCCACTTAGCACGCAGCTGCTAAAGACAAGGCGGAAACCTCCGTAGTTAGCAGAGGGGGACTCTGCACAAAACCTAACCTTTGCAATAGTAACTCATTATTTTTCTGAAAAGGAAAGTTTCACAATAGTGGGGTCTCCATAGTGTTTACATTGGCACGTTTTTATGCTGCTGACATTGTATTTTCTGGGATGTTTATGCTAACTAATGTGAGCTGTTAGACAAGGTTCCGGGCATTAGTCACAGGAAGACAGAGGAAAAAAATGGAGGAGAGGAAGCATCAGTTGACCCCTGGTGAATACTCACTGAGGTACATATCCAGCCCTCCTTTATTATTTATTTTGAGAGGAGGTCTTGCCAAATCTCTGAATCGCCAACTGAGCCCAGCCTCCCAGAGTATTGGTATTACAAGGCACATACCACCACATCAAGTCGCCCCACACTACCCCACCCCATTTTTCTTACACTCTCCAACTTTCTCTCTACAGCTCTGTGTTCTGTGGTGATCAGATAAGGGATACTCTCAACTGCCCTCATTTTTACCTGGTTCTGCTCACTTAAATCTCTTTTCGAGGCATCTCAAGAACCCTCTGGATGTGTTGGGCATCATTCAAGCCTGCACTTGGCTTCTGGCCTGACCTACCCTCATCCATACACCCTACAGGGCCCCTGGGATAATGATGTGGGTTCATAAAAGCTTATTGAGCTGCTAGAAAACCCAATCCAGAAAGGTAAGTGATGGTTTATCCCTAGTTACCACCAAGATTTTTCACTCCTCTCATTGGCAGGTTTTCAGTGAAAATCTTCAGCACCTTCATAGACAGAACAGAACCCCTTCTCAGTCTTTAAATGCCCACTACCTCAGAAAACGGAGGGGTGTATATCTGGGCCCAGAGAAAACCCTCTGCACCCTGGGGCCTGTCTGAAACCTGTAGCCAGCCAGAACTGCAAAGGAAACAAGTGACTTCTCATGTCCAGCCCAGGTGAAGCTCTTTCCAGATGAATATCTTGGTGCTCACGCAGAGGCCTATGATGCCCTAGTCACAGGGCCACTATCTCGTCCATGCTGGTAGCATCTTCTAACAGATTACCCCTCCCACATCTAAGCAGTTTCCTCTTTCCCCACACCGCCTGATCTTCCTGTTGTTCCTTTAGTGAGTAGCCACACATGATCTGGTCCTCTTGCTAAGCCCTGGGGACTTCTCTGGCACTGGTAAAACAGAGGCAGACCTCAGGGAAATTATACAAGGTCCTCAGCCACTCTTCTGGGGATGTAGCACCCGGGGATGTTTATGCTTGTCCAACCTTTAACAGCTTCCACTGTTCTCATGCAAGACCAAAAGAACAATTCTGTTACTTTATATGGTGGCTACTGGAAGCCCAGCTAAGGAACAAGGGACAGGTAAGGCAGGAATTCACCTTAGAAGTGTCTCTTGTCTTTCGTCTCACGCCAACCCCATTTTTTACCCTCCTCTGCCCTGCTCTATGCCAGGCTTGGCCCTGGGAACATAGCCCATGTCTGGTACCTACTGGCTTATAGTTAAACTGGACCACAGTGAAGTACTGTCAGGAGCTGGAGGGGAACAAATACTTCCTCCTTGCCTCAAGGTAAGCTTTCTGGAAGGGACTTTGAACTCACAGTTACATCTCTCATTCTACATGTTAAATCTCATTTGCTTGGAAAATAGGCACAGTGGTGGTCACAGCTACTCACTGTGGCTCATGGCTAAGTCTCACAGCATCCCCTATTAGTTTCCTCCACACACAACTCTGTAAAACTTCCAATCTCTCCAACTGTCTGAGCTGCACTTAATTTTTTGCTGAAGCCTAACTGAGAAATGGACATCCATCCAAAACCCAAGGCAACATACTGGTTTCCCAGGAGGCCCCCTCTCTCCTGGACTTCCTGGAGTACCCTAGGAGAAAAAAAGCAAAATTAGTATTAACCGTAAAGAATGTGCAATCCTGCCACACTCTATCCACCCCTCTATGGACTTATCTGCTGAGCGTGGTTCAGTTAGAAAAACAATCACCCAAATATGAATTTTGGTGCTGATTAAAGCTCATGATTTCCAATCTCAGCTGAATCTCAAGGGTTCCCAGGAATCAGGCAATGACAGCAAGCATTAAGAAAAGAGCAAGTTCCCTGTAACTCCTGCCCTAAGCTCAAAATTAAAACCTGCTCATATACAGAAGTATGGACTCACAAGCAGACATGTAACACATAAGCACACACAAACTGTCTAAATCTTTTTGTTTTCCAAACACTGGTGGGAAGGACTAGCTTTGAAAAGAAGTGTAATTCCATGGGCTGGCTACAAGAACACGGAGCTGAAAGGGAACCAGGCAAATCTGAAAATTTGGAGTCAAGAATTAGGGAGTAACTATTTTTTGTACTAGAACCCAAGAAGGGAAAAGGACCATCCAAAGATACACACATACCGTAAACACTACTGCCTACCAGTGTCTGGCACCTTTGCTCTGTGAGAACTTATGGTTGCTGTTTATGCTTTAGGTCAATGAAATACAGCCCAACAATGAATCCAATACTTCTGTGGATACATGTTGCCAAACCCCAAGGACCCTACAGAGGCATAGCACCCATAGAGCTTAGATCTACATGGACAAAGCCAGACAGTGAGGAGGATATGACTGTCATTGTTACAAATTTGGAAGTCATACATCCTCATCAAGGCTCAAACACTCCTGTGGAATTCCCTGGAAGAGAAGGAGTGAATCCAGGAAACATTACAAAGAGGTGCACAGAGCAGGTGGTTCTTGACAGGCAGCTATGTGAGAAAATCGACCAAGAGACAGGAAACCAATATAGACTGGGAGGTTCAGTGTTCTGAAGGCATAACACAGAAACACAAGGGAAAAAACCTGGATAACACAGCATCATAAGCCACAATCAACAAAGGAGAAAAACATTTTTCATGAAGACCCTGGGCTTTATGAAAATACTTTACTGGGCTACAGAATTAGTCACATGATCAATGGAGGCCAGGAAATGGTGACTTTCCAGGGTGATTCTAAAGTCCTATTTCCACTGTGTTTCTCTTTACTTACATCCTGGCCAGCTGGTCCCTGGGGGCCGGGGAATCCAGGCAATCCTCGAGATCCCTGATGAAAAAGAAGACACCACTACATGTAAAGAAGTAAGGCCTCCTTTACTTGGTCACAGTTGGCTGCCCATGCATAAACAGTAGCTGAAGTGAGAATCCAACATAATGCACGTGTCAAACGCACTCCATCAGGCCTCACTCAGGTCAGTGATCAGTGAAAACACTGGGGAGAACCTGCACTCCCCGCCTGAAATCCCCAGGTCCTTGCTTGAGCCCCTAGGGACAGCTCCTCTGATGATCCAGGCCCAACTCCAGCCTTCACTCTTCCCCTGCCCGCGGCACACGCATGTGACCATGTAGTGTATCTTTCCCTATGCACAATGGATACCAGCCCTGGGGACTGTTAATGACCAAATGTGTTTCCTAAGCAAGGCCCACAGCAAAGCTCTGCCCTAAACAGTATTTACTGCTTTCCATAGTAAAAGACATTCCCCTTCTGCTGATAATTTCTGAATAACATTAGAACATTTTACAAATTTCTTTCATTATGGATTGCACTAATCAGAAAACTTTTCCTCATGGGAACTACAAATGAAAGTCAGCACTTCCTCCTCCCAGGGGCTGGACTTAGGTGACAGGAGCCAATCCTCTTCTGGGATTTCACAGGCTTCCCCTCATGGGTAGCTCTCCATTCAGAGTCCAATCTTCCTTACACATACTTTGCAACAACTCCTCTAGAATTTCAATTCAATTATTAACTTGGAGCCTCAAATTCTTCATCTACAAAAATGGGTATAAAAGCCCCTGTCCTCCTCCATGGCAAAGCATCTGCATGAGCAAAACTTATAAAACAGGCTCATGAGGAAAGGTACAGCCTCACCCCAGCTGCTTATGTGAGGCTCCTTCTCCAGGAGACAGGCATGTAAGAAGTCACATTGTCCCAGGAAGTGTGCACATGTGCGTATCACCAATGGTTGCTACTCCCATAACAAATGATTCCTGAGAGTTCTCCTGTTGCTTTGGCATAAAAAGAGGCTGTCGGATATTCCCAGTCACTCATGGGCTTTACTGTGTCTGTTACAGAGTAAGAAACCCTGGGAAATATAGTGAGATCCTGTCTCAAAATCACACACACACACACACACACACACACACACACACACACACAACTGTTTAGATTACAACTCTTCCTATAGGAATCCAGTCCCCTATATAAAGTATACTGTACCGGGGGCCCTTTGTCTCCTGGTGCTCCAGAAGGGCCCTAAAAGCAAACAAACAAATTAATAAACCAGAAATACTAAAGTGCTCATTTAAACATGACAAGGTGTTTCTAAACCAGGCCTCCTGTTGTCCTAAAGGGTTCAATAGCCTCCTCCCACCTTTCAGCTAGTTACTCACCCACAAATGTTGCTCACAGAAATTCCCTTGCAACCTCCTCCCCTTTTCCCAGAGGTGGTGCCGCCCTGCCCTTGTTCCCACACGGCTGCTGAGATGGGGCTCCCCTCGGCTCCAAGGCTCTGGAGTAGGGCTGGATGCTGTAGCCCTTACTTCCCTACGCTGCATCCCCTTGGAGAGGTTATGGTTCTAATTTCTCAGGACAGGTAGACACATGCCAAAGCCAAACTTGAAGACAACCATGGATGATTTTGGCTCTTGCAGGAGCAGAACAACAGCTGTGTTACTAGGCCCTTGCTTTGTTTGTACATCTGTATGGAAGGTGCTATGGAGGACCAACTGGATGACTCTCCTTAAAAGAAGAGCAATTATCTCCACTTTGGTTAAACCTAGTCCTATTTACATGTATTGATATGTACAGAGCTGGCTAGGACTTTCCTTATCCCTTCAACTAGCTTTAAGCAATGTAAATTGGCCTGGCTTAAGTGCCAGTGTGTAGTCTTTGAAACAAGGTGACAGGTAAGTGTTTTCCCTCCCCATACCTCCCACAAAACATGTATGAGCTGGGCAGGAAGCAGAGCCAGGCTCCACATTATTGGTTGGGACCCAGCCTCAAGATAAGAGGCTATGACTCCCCAGGGCACAAAAGATTATACATCAAAGCAGAATCACTGACCACAAAACACACTGGAAACTACCTCAAATTGTGTTATACAGATTACTCTTTCTGCATGCCCTTTTCTCTGCATATTGCAACAGTGATTTCAGGCCTCCCACCTAGCCGAGCGCACAGCTCTCAGTCAGTACTTCCCACCATTCTCACAATCACTCATTCTTGAGCCTCTCTCTTCTTTATGAATGAATAAAACCCAGGTTCAGCCTGCTGTTCCAGTTAATCTTCACCCCAGCCAGACTTAGGATCCCCTTGACTCCCCACAATGATAACTATACCTTGTTGTCTTTATTCTCGCGTGGATTGCACTGGAAGTGGTAGATTAGAATTAACTTGCTAGAATCCCAATACCTTTTTGATGAGATTATAAACACAGACTTCCTGGACTGCAACAAGGTACAAGAAGGGCTCATAGTAAGATTCTGTCCTGCCTTTCTATTGAGATATATCATTGTCCCAAATGAAGACAAAGAGTCTCTCATTTTACATGCTACCACCACTAGAAATCCTTGCTGGAGTAAAGGTATCCCACCTCCCACCTTCAGTGCATGTACCCTGCATAACTCTGCCACACAGCCAAGCAGAATGTCCCCAGGTATACTCAAGACAGGGGAAAAGTTTCACACAAACATCAGAATCCCTGCAGTATGACTGTAACAGAAAATGCCCCCAGCCAGTACACTTCAGTTGCCCAGTTGAGTCCTACGCACCATCCCAAGTCCCGGGAGACTTTAAGATCATCGCTCTCAGTGGTCAAGGACCCGCCCAGGTAAGCTCTCAGCCACACTAGACTGGGGTCTGTGGGTTTCAGGCCTGCCTGGACCACGCCCAGTGACCTTCTTTCAATCCAGAGAAACTCAGCTGCCAGTTGGGTGAGTCCTGCGCACCATTTGGAGCCCCAGGAGAGTTTAAGATCATCGCTCCCAGTGGTTAAGGACTCACCCAGCTTCCAGCCACACTAGACTAGCCTTGAGAGGATTTGCAGCCTGAATAGATTATGCCCAATGATCTTCTTCAATCAGGGGAGTTGAGAGCACATGAAGTGAGTCCCAGGGCATTGGTCCTTGCACGTGGAGAGCTTTAGACCATCATACACAGTGGTTAGGTGCCCGCCCAGATTCCTGGTACACTGGAGGTGGCACAGGAGGGCCTGAGGGCCTGACTGGACCACATTCAGCAACCTCCATTCAGTCCCAGGAGCCCAGGGCATAGGAGATGATTTCCAACACACCCACGGGAAGCCTTGGAACAACACTTGAAACATGGAAATATAAGAAAATGACAAACCAAAGACCAAAATGCAATCTCAAACCTCCAGCCCATCCCAAGAAAGCTAGGAGCCATGTACATAGAAGAAAATATATGTCATACACCTGAAATACCTGAAATAATAGCAACTGAAGTAAAGAAGCAACTCCAGGAAGCTTTAAAGGAATTCAAACTAGAAATAATCTCCCAGGTAAAAGAAGAGATGATAAACGTAATGAAGGAGATGCTGAATGCATCTAAAAAAGACACAGTTAAAAAATTACAGGAACAAAACAAAAAGAATCCCTGGATGAACAATATAAGAAACTTCAGTTGCCCAGGTGATAGGTCTTGTTGCTTCTGTCTCCTAGGTATGGCTGGTCACTAGGACACCTATTTTAAGAACCAATCACAGACAGCTAATTACTCTACCTCTGTTCCCCTCCTTTGCAATCCTTTACCTGATGTTATCAGAAATAAAAGAAACAATGAACAGAGGAAGGAGTACAGCACATGACCACAGAAGACAACTCCTCAGATTTTCTGGTCTGTCTTTAAGAAATATAAAAAGTGTATGGAGGAAGACTGCATATGACTCCTTAATATCATTCTTAAAGCTGTCTAGGCAGTCAGAACTATCTTTCTCAAGATTATACCCAATAATACGTTTGATCAAGGTTCAATTTACAAATACCCCGATTTCTATATTTGGTACCAATTTCCACCAAAAAGAACTATGACTTCTTACAAAAATGACTAGCCAGGTATCTTAGCCTAAGATAAAAAAAAAGGAAAAATAATTGCAATGCACTAAAACATATCAAATATGCTTAAGTCCTTGAATTTAAAAATTATTCTTAGTAGATAAATAAACATCTAACTGGCCATCTTTGCAAGATGTTTGGAAACCAAGTCAATAAGTGGAACCAAGGAGGAAAAAGAAAAAGGAAAGGAAGAAAAATATCTAAATTTGTATAAACACACTTAGGATAGCTAAGACAATTGTGCTATAAATTCTATAAATTTGTAGAACAAAGTAGTTAATATTCGTGGGATTGGAACAATTATGCAAGTTTGTGTCTGGTGACCTGAGGAACTCTTGAAGAACACTATGTAAAATATCAACCTTAGTTCTGTTCCTACCACTGTGTTTTGAAGGCCTATATCGCCATTGTTTTGAGCTCTTTGCGATTGCTATTTATTGGTCTTTTTTGTTTCTTATTTTTCTAGTTATTTATTTTGTTTTATTTTGTTTTTCCCTCTATAGCAGAAAGGATAGATATACATGTAGAGGCTTATCCATTCCTAGAACTTCTAAACAGTTTATGAAAATTGATTAGATTGTGTGTCATGAAAAGAACAGCTACTTTGAAGAAAAACAGACATTATGGTATCTGTTGCTGATTCCATATCATCATGCTGTGAAATCCAGCAATGCTTCTGTTCTTTTTTCAGAGTGATTTTAGTCTGTTTCATGTTAATTTCAACATACATGAAAGTGTAGACATCTATTTTGAAGAAAACAAGAGACATTGTGGCAGCCATTGTTAATTTTCCTATTGTCTGGTTTTGAAGGCCTGTTATACCTTTATCACTCTCCTCTGATCAATTTAATACTATTCTGTTTTGTATTAATTCATTGTGTGTGAAGATATGGAAACTATTTAGAGGAAAACAAGAGACACTGTGGTTGCCATTGTAGACCTCCTGTTGTCTTCCTTTGAAATCTGTGTCACTTCCATTGTCTGCTTTTGACTTGCTTTGTTCTGTTTTGTTGTGTTTGGTTTTACCCCTTTTAAAAGAAAAAGAAAAAAAAATATGTGGACCCAACAGTGAGAACCCAAACATTTACATTTAGCTTCCATATGCCCAGTGGTTTCCAAAGGGTAGCTGAGGGGATGTGTCTCAACACAGAAGCTGTGCTAATAAGAATTGATAGAACTTGAACAGCACCAATTTATAACCTTTGGTGTGTTAATTGATAGAACCACTGGACACCAAAGGGTGCAGACACCACAAAAAGAGACTGCACCAGACATCACAGAGCTCCTGACAGAACACAGCACACATGGCAAAAACATCAAACCTGAGCCCGATCAAACTCCCACATCTCAGTACCAAATAATTAGAATCATGGGACAGATTAACAGTTTAAATGATTAAATTAGCAAATTCCAAACTGTGGGGAAGTCTATGGAAATAAAAAGTAAAGCTGATTTCTTAAATAATTTTCAAAGTGGAATAATAAGCAGAGTGGAAATCTATAAATTAAACAATGACTTTTTAAAAAGAGCAACCAATTTGTTTACCTTACTTGGCTCTTGATTCAAAATGAGAAGACTGCCAAAGCATGGCATTTCTGAAAAAAACTAAAAATCTGAACATTGGCGGGCTATTTGGGAGTTCATCTTACAATTCTTTTTAATTTAAGCATATCTGAAAATTTTCATAAACGGATTTACAAATACAGTACATCACTATATAACTGTTTCTTTCAATGACAGCCTTACATACACTGATAGCCCCATAAGATGGTATTGTTTAGTGAAATCACAGCCATCTGAACTTGTGTAAGTTTAATCTGTGATGCTCAACAACAAACCACATAACAATGCATTTTTCGCTGTTCTGTCTGAGTGATGCATGTTGTTTGTATGTTCGCATGCACACAGACATATAGCACACACATACACATACAAACATATATGTATATGCAGGCACACACACCACACTCTAAGTGTTTGCTGATGATAGTGATTAGAGGAATCTTTTGAGAATGAAAATCCCATGGGCTTTTATGTGCTGAACATTTCCACTCGTTTCTCTGCTCTAATGTGCAAAGAATCATTTGCTTTTCTCCTTACAAATCTGTTCGCCTCTTTTTCTCCCCCACAGACATACAGTCTACCTCTATGAAGTTGTGGTGCAAAGTTTGTGGTCTCAATTATTTATAGATTTTTCCTTAGAACCTAACCAATAATTGTTCTCAGAACCCCGGCATTTTCATGGAAACTGCAAGTATCTTTTGCAATTGTATTTTTGGCAGGAGGTTTGCAAGTAAGTACTCTGAGAGCTGTATTCAGTTCTCTTTGCCTGATCAGCTGCTTTCCTGTAACTCATCTCCGAGATACACCGGCATTCCCACATCATAATGGGTTGCTAATGTTATTCCTAAATCTGCTTCTGGAAGTTAGAACTCTGTTTCTCAAGATTAGGCCCCATAATGTTCTCATTCAAGGTTCAGTTTATCTTGTGTAGCTATCTCGAATGTTCTCAGTTCTTAAAACCCTGAGATCCCTAACATGCCACTGAAATACCCTGATCCTTCTAAGGCTTTAGTAACATAGGATTTTATTAAATTAAATTATATGGTTGCAGGAAACACAGTGCATTAGGGCTTAAACCACAAAATATGTATACATTTTTTTATCACATCTGAAAATCATAGTTTTTCACAATTTGTGGATGCTCTAGGAACATAACTCTCATGGATTTCAGGGTTCTGCTGTATATCAGAAAATAAAGTGTGCTTTATTTCTCATGAAGTGACCATGTTTATGTCCCATAATGCGACCATAGGCCCTGCACTGTGTGCTGGGAAAAGTGGTGGTAACCGAAGGTCAGGCTAGGACAGGCCTGGGTGACTTGGTTATCAGCGACAGCCTGGTCATTAGAAATGCTGAGATCCTGGTATCAGTGAGGCCCATTAGCACTCTGACCTTCTGAGGCCCAAGTGGACTCATTTTATAGTATTTTAAGCCTTATTAAATGAAGATCAGTGACAACTTGAAGATTAAAGAGAGAGAGAGAGTGTGTGTGTGTGTGTACGCGCACGTGCGCATGTGTAACCCCACACAACCACACCACAGAACATCCTGTCTTCTGATGAAGTAGAAACTGGCAAACAGAGCCTCAGGCTCCCTCTGTGGCAGCAGTGACACTCCTGGCTATCAGAGGTCTGGGTCATCATGCCTTGGGAGGCAGGAATTGGAGAATAACTGAGACCAAATCTATACTTAATGCGCCACCTTTGGGAGAGCATAATGCAAATGACTAGGTCTTCCTGCTCTAACAGAGTTACAGGCAAAGTGACCCAGGGAAAGTAGAACTGGCTTCAGAGGGTGTAGGAAGTGCCTACACCTTGGTTCAGCCCCTTGCGTGGCTCTGTGACATGGGCCTGGACCTACAGAACCTCAAATCATTTATCTGGAGAGAAGTTACATACAAACATCAGTCTTCCCTACCCCATATTCCCACAGATCAGCAGCTCCCAGCCCTAAGCACCTTTCCCAGAACTTCCTTTAGCCATAGGAGAAATTGGTGTCCAGGTCAAAGACTGGAAAGTACTGTCAACACTCGTCAACACTCTGGATTCATTTCCAGAGTTACTCTGAGACTGTACCATGTGTTCACCCAGGGCCAGTGGATTATGTCCCAATTGCCCACAATGACCACTGAATTCTCATTGCCCTGGGCTTTCTTTCCTTCTCTGTCTCAATTTGTCACTTCCTACGTGATAATTTCTTTGATTATCTCCCAAATAAGCTCATCAATCTTGGAATCCTGACCTTAGCCAAGAATAAAAGCAATGCCTACAGGACTGATTGGGAAGATTTATGTGATCCTTATGTGATCATACGGAGAAAGACTGCTCATTACAGGTTGATACTGCTGTATGATGCAATTGTTTCCCCAGTGGACCTCATAACCCTTCCCCAAACCCGGTGTTCAGCATGTCTTTGAACCCTCCTGCACAGTTTCATGTCAGCAGCAACATAGGCTGGTGACCAAAGACAGAATTATGGCAATTTAGTAAGGTTTTATCTAGCATGGAAGTTTTTAATAAGTCAGAGTGTGTAGGAAGACACTCAATGGTTGATTTACAACCTCTTGGCTAGTTAGTCAATTGCTTCTCAGGTGAGATCACTTAGGCAGGTATTGCATGAGTGGTTTTAAAGGGCTCTCAATTGGATCTTGGGATGCACTGTGTCCACCCTTGCAGCCTGGCTTTCTCATTAAGAGCCTGATACACAGAAAAGTCATTAGCAAGTACATCAGACCATGTGGAACCTTGTAAAGTGAGGGAAGAAGCCACATCCAGGTTACAAGCTCACAGCTCTCTATTGTATGAGGTAATTACAACATGACTCAAAAGCCTAACTGGAGCACATAAGACCCTATTGAAAGGAGGATTTCAGAAGTAAGAAAGTCTAGACTGCTGTGTTTCATCACTGCATCTTCTGCCACATTGTTCCTTCCAGTTATCAGAAAACTAAAGAACAACCCTGACACAAATGTAAAAGTGACAGAATGCAGTGGAGAGTTTTGTTCACCAGGTATTCTAGCTGAGGATTTCTTTTAGAAATAGTTCAACCCAAGAAGACATTCCCAGGGGCTGCCACATGCTCCTCCTATGGCCTCCAGGGACATCTATGATGATGCAGAGCCACCTGGACCTCTCACTCCTGACAAAGGAGCCCTCACAGCTGCTGGCTGGGTCTAGGAATGGGTAGTCCTTTCTCCTGGAGAAGAGGAGGCCTGCTGGAGATCAAAGGGGCAGAAAAGACAGAAACCTAAAAAAAATTTAGGAGAGAGTAAGTGAGTCAAGAACTCTTCTGGCATGTAAGACCAAAGACAATAAAGTGAGGATTTACTTTATTGGTCATAATATGAGTGATCAGCTGGATCCCTTCTTATTCTTTGAAAGTGGCATAGGAAGGATGGCTTTACTTTTCATTATTTTGGTTGTGCTGCACAATTCTTAAATGCAAAATAAAGGACAAACTGGACCACATGCTTCTCTGATTTGTATCCAGGTTAGTGTGACAGGGATAAAGTTAGGTTGTACATCTGGATTAAAGTAAAAATAAGAACAATAACAAACAGGGGCGGTTCAGATATTCCAAAGCGTGGCATCACCCCCAGAAAAGGACTGAGTATTTGAACTTCTTTTAAAAATGGTTAGAGAGGGCTATCAAGAAAATTAAATGCAATATAAGGTACATCAAAGTGGTATCTTTAACAATGAAGGGACTAAAGAGAAGACCTCAAGATTGAAAATTTCCTCAAATTCCAAAGACTAACATCTATGAAGTGGAGAAGAAAGATGTCTGTCATGTTACTTACAAAGGACAGAATAAGAAGCAATGAATGGAACATATTAAAAAAGTATAAGCTTATTCCCAATGAAAAGGCATGTCTAATAAATACCTATTCAGTCCTAAAAAGTGGAAGATTTTAGCAATTCTTAAACTACCACCTGCAGGCAGTTTGCAAAGGCACACCACAAAGGCTGACGTGAATTATTCATTAAAACTAACAATCACTTGATGGATTTTATTTTACAGACATGATTTCTTTATGTTGTCTCCTGTGCTAATCAGAAGAAAACAGTGATCAACTCCTTTTGTCTGAAATACATGATAACATGTTGTTTCCCCTATCAGATCCCTTTACTAAACATCCTAAAGTCACTGGCTGTGATTCAGTTTCTCAAAGTCTAGTCCAAGAATCTTTTTCTCTTTGTCTTTTTCACTTTTAGTAAAATCTGTTTACCCTTCTTTGAAACACACAAGTACTGGTCTCTGTAAAGGCAACATCCCTGTTATTCCCATACAGAGAGTATCCACACTTCACACCAGCATCAGCTGTATGCAGTGCACAGGTCTCGCCTTCGCTGCCCCAGGCCCTGTGATCCAGTATTATGTCAGCTGAAAGAGGAGCCCTGCAGTGGCCCAGAAGTCTCCTTCTACAGGAGCCAACAGGGAATGACTGTGTGGCCTGAGGACAAAGAATTGTCCGCTGAATAAGGACTCACGGTGGGGCCAGGAACCCCAATGCCTGGGTCACCACGGCTGCCAGGAGAGCCAGGAATCCCAGGAACTCCTCGGTCCCCCTAGAAAGAGAAAAAGATAAATAGATCAGTGCTGGGAAGGAAAGGTGCAGGGTATAAGAGAAAACATGCTACTCCCAGGATGCTATGTGGGACTCTGCCACACCCTCTCCTCCACCTGCTCTATGGGTATTCCACAGTCCCATGAAGACACCCATCCTCCTGTGTCCAGTACGGCATGGACCCCAGCTGCCAGCTACAATCATACACCTTAAGACTGGCTGTTCCTCAACCTTGATCATGGCTCCAAACATGATTATAATACCATGATCTTCCCCCACAGGGTGATTACAGTGCAAAGGCACTGTGTTTTTCCTAAGGTATCAAACCTCCATCCAGATTACATACATAATCACCTTTCAATTCAGCACTCAAATCTCCAGTCATTAAGTCATCAATTTATCAAGAATTTACCAATACTGCATTTTGCAGGCTTGGCACTGAGTGGCCTAAAAAAGACTGAAATAGAACCTCTGCTTTGAGCACAGGGGTTAGTAATGTGGACTTGGGGAACTGGATTTATGTTCTAGCTTCAACATTTATAAATTGTTGATTTAAGGAAGTGGGCAGTGCATTGAATGCATGATCAAAAACATGATGAATGTTAAAAGTATTTTTAAAAATATAAGACATATTTCTATTAGTCTGCCTCAAAATTCTGTTTGAACAAACTTCTAAAGCAATTCTAGAAGCCCTCCTTCATGGCTTTAGTTGTACTATCACAGCTGCTTTGATGTCCTGAATAGATGAAATCATTTACAGTTAGTTCATGGTCAATCTAACTCTGCAGAAGAACCATGGTGCCAGTGTTAATTTGGTAGGTGAAGACACACGTGGTGTTTTGATGAGTCTGCCTTTCTGGTAGATGGCACTCAGCAGCAGCATTTACCCTTCTTTAATTACCCTTTTTTAATCACCCTTCTTAAGACATGAAAGGAAATTTGCAGAACTGTTTCAGACAGTGGCAAGAACAATGAGATAAGTGCATCTGGAGTAAAAGGGAATGAGGGAAATTTATGGCCATGCCTTTTACTATGATCATTTTGTTTGAGTTTGAACATTCTTTGTATAGCCTGAGCATGTCTCACACTCAGGTGCTGAATAGCAGCCACCAAGCCAGGAAGTGCTGTGCTATCAAATGTGGTAAAGCAGGAAAAGTGCCCAGCATGGAGCTTGGTACACGCTTGGCACAAACCTGCCATGCATTTGCTGCTCTTATCCCTCGCCGTTCTGGACTGGACAGGAAAAGAAGAGAGAAAGAGGACAGAGAAGGAAAGGAGTCTTGTTTGCCATTTCCTGAAGAAGAAAGCTAGATCCAATCATATACTGCCACAATTTCAGAGCCTTCAATCTTTAGAAATAGATGTTGATCCTAAATCAAAAAATATCATTTGTGCTGAAGGCCACTCCAGTCTTTGGTTCACTCCTTTTGTATAAATACTCATATGGTTTGCTTTGTTTTGCTTTTCTGAGGTGTGGAGTGCTTTGCCAGACTCATAGTAAACATCACCAATGTGTCCCAAACATATATGTGCCAACACTCCGGCATAAGAGACTGTCCTCCTGTACCCAAGAGGTCAGCTGGACTGCGACCCAACCTGAGACGGAGGTGGCAGATGAGATTTCTCCAGCCACCGAGTATCTCTGGGATTGGTTAGCTCATGGGACAAATGGAAACAGCCTCAGGAGGTGGTCTGAAGAGCTGTGAGATGTGCTAAAGCTGATTGAAGGTAAAACTCAACATTGCTGGCTGCATAGTGCTTTATAAAGCATTAAGTTTTGAAGCATTGTTTAAAAATTTGCACTAATAGTGTATCCTTTACACATCATTTCAACTAGATCTTTAAGAAAGAAAAAAAAAGCAGCTTTCAAGATAGCCAGCTTTTCTGCACTGTGACTATGGCTTGGATGAGAACCTAAATTCTATGTTTATTCAGCTCATGCTCTGTTTGTTCACTGCAAGCAGCAATTTGGATTCCAAGCTCCATAAAGGACTCAGGTGTGAGGCCTTCAATTGTCAGCATTCAGTGCCCAGCTCTGAAACAAAGTGTCCTTCATGTGGAGAGGGAGGGACAGGGTTAGCAAAATTCTCCCAAAACCTCAGAACTGAGATCAATGTCCTTAATGAGGCTCCCGCAACACCCTTCCTCTTGATCCTTTCTTCTTCCATGGTGGCCCTGCCACCTACCGCTCTTGATCCCTGGGAACCAAAGAACCCCCCACCCCACCCTCATCCCTCCCAGTGGTTCCTTCATTTTTTGCAAATTCCCAGTCAGTGTATTCTGTTTTTTTTTTAGAATAACACGGTATGGCTGGTTCTGGAAAGTACACAATGCCTGGAATCATTAGGAAATCTAATTTGTATGTATGAGGCTGGCAGAGAAGGAAGGAGGCCCAGAATTAAGACGAATATGGAAACATAATGAACAAAGAAGGAACACAATCTCCAGTTTATCTGTCACCAGCTCATTCTGACAGTGGACTGAGTCAGATAGGGAAATTTCAGGTCTCGAGGTACAGGTCCAGGACAAGTTCAAACTTGTTCTGTAGCCTTCGGTAAGTCTCATAAAAACTCTGTACCTTAGGAATCTCATCAGGAGAGTAACAATATAATTAGATTCTCCCAAATTCTCATATATTTTATGAGGAGTCAATGGAAAGGTAAATAACTGTATATAAGATCAGTAGTACATTAAACCCTGTATCTATATTATTAACACTTGATTAGAGAGTTAATAGACTGAAAAGTAACACACGTAAGTGTTAGAGAACTCTCTGCTCTTGCACCTTGGCTGTTGTTTTATTTTAATGCATATTTCCCTGTTGCTGTTTTCTGTTTTAACCAAGTTCCCCTTCTCTTCTCAAGGCCAGCAAACTCTAAACTCTGCATGTGAAGCCATTCAAACAACCTAATCTGTATTCTTCTGAACTATGTTTCTACACCTCGGCTTCTTATACAGATGACTGACTTTGCTCATCTACTCAGGTTCTAATCTTCCAAACACCTTTTAATGTACTGAACTAATACAATCATCCAATTTTTACTTGATTTTGTCTTCTCTTTTACCTTTATGCATATATTTGTACATGTCTTCATTAAATTTAATATTACAGTATCCCGTGTCCATTTGTCTAGCTTGCCATCTGAATTCTCTGTAAGTGGCTTAAATGTAGAGACTCTCTACTCATTTGCTCATTCAGTAAATATTTATCAAAAGCCCAAAATAAATCAGAGTCTAGGTAGTAAATATTTCAGTAAATATTTATCAAAAGCCCAAAATAAATCAGAGTCTAGGTAGTCCTCTGTGCACAGTTTAGGGTCAGGACCTGGTGGCAGCTTTTACTGACTACTTCCTGAACACAGGAACAAGTTATCCTCCATCAGGCTCAGTGCCTCAGCACTAAATTCAGCCTTTCAGCAACATAAGCTTTTTCCAGAGGAAGGGGCAGAATGCAGAACCTCCCCTGGCCCAGCTGCCAGCTGAGTCACTTGAGTGCTTTTCTGCACAGTGGTCAGATCTGGCCCCATCTCTGTGTGTGTGTGTGTGGTCTATTGTGATGCTAGCAATTCCCCCAAGAAACTACTTCACAGCTTAATGAAAAGACACTTTTAGAAAATAGCTCCAAGAAGCCAGTAAAAGACTTTAGTGCTCTGTCGGCAGAAGCAAGAAAGCTAACGTGAAACAAGGAATGATGCAAGTAAACAAAAATCCATGGCACAAGGTCCCCAGCAGAAATCGATGGGGTGTTTTGGAGTTCTGGAAGGAGACTGGCATTTACAGAGCAAAAACTTCTGTGCTATATGATCATTTTTCTCCTGAGTAGCCTTTTTTGGTGTCAATTTTTCTTTACTTCTTTATACAGATAAGGTTCAGGAATTCTGAGAAAGACAGACACATCTGCATTCAAGTCATCCGTCTTGCAGGCAGGTGAGCTGGGATTCTAACCCATGTCTATAAGAAGTCAAAACCTATGCATTTCACTGGAAGCAAATGCCACTCAAGAGCAGAGAGACATCTTTCAGAGTCTCTTGTCCTAGAATATTACCCAAAAGTGTTATAAACATCAAACCATAATGACGCATGTATGTCTGAGTTTATAGCAGTACAATCCACAACAGCTAAGCTCTGTAAACAGCTCGGTTGTCCATGAACAGATGAATAGATATTTACACACTATGATTATACACTATGGACTTCAGCTATAAAGAAGAATAAAATTATACTTTGTAGGCAAATGGATAAAACTTGATACCATGTAAAGTAAATCAGACACTGAAATTCAAATATTGCACAGTTTCTCTTAAATGAGATAAATAAAAGTAAAATAAGAGATGGTATGAAAATAAAAGATGTACACTTTGGTGATGGGGAAGGGGATCAGAGGGAGACAGGAGAGTAGGGAGGGTGATAAAGGGATTGAAAATGATCAAGGTATTTTATATAAATGTACCAATTCTCCAAGACAAATGTAACCTGTGTGTACTGCAAATATACACTAAAAAGTAGTCAAGAAGGGCTAAGGATGTACCAATACAGACCTTGGATAGGTCCCTCCCCTGACTCTCTAAAGGAGACTCATTATGGATTACATCTAGATGTTCCCCCAAAGCCTCATATGTTCATGGATGGAGCTGTTCGGAACCAGATAGCTCTAAGGTGTGTGATACTGGGATTAAGGGTGTGTGGTACTAATCAGTCCACTGAGTGGAACTGGCAACACCCAAAAGGCTGATAGCCCGGATGGGATAAAAGGAAAGAGAGGCTGCTGCTGCTGCTGCTGCTGCTTGTTGCCTTCTGCATGTCATGCCATGAGCTGTTTCTCCTCTGTGATGCCCTTCTGCCATGCCTTCCTGCCTTGGATCCAGCTGACTCTGGATTGAGACCTCTATAAACAGGGAGCTAAATAAAATAAACATTTTATCTTTAATTTTGGGTGTCTCAGCAATGCAATGCATTTTGTCTCAGCAATGCAAAATATAACTAAGACATAACTCTTTTAACATCCGTCATGCTCTGCCTGGGATGGTAGAAGGCACTGTCCCTGGGATCTTTTTCCATTTCTCTCTTCCTTCATGTTCCCATCTCTACCTTTCTTCTTCTCAATGAGCAACTCATCCTTCAACTATATGCCTTCCTGAATCCCAACTTAGCTTCTCAGCATCCTACTATGAAATTTCTATCTCTAAACCACAATATAGCTTACAACTTTACACAGCATCCAGTGGAATAGGTGAGCTGCTTACTCCCACATTTTAAGTAGGAGAAACTTTAGCCAAAGGCACAATATGACATACCCTGAGCCTTATGGATGTGATACTGGTTGGTCTGCTGGCCTGACTTAGTATTTTCACACTCCTCACCCTGGGGCAGAGACTCTCTAACCTCTAAGGAGGTCTTCACTCACAATCCCTGGTGCTTCCCCTGCAACACACTTGCAGACTGGGAATAGTCTCTCTTGGTGTGCACATCTGGGTTTGGCTACAAACCTAAAGCATAACCCATGGGGCAATAAAGGAACAAGGATTACAAATATTTATTGAGCATTTGAGTGTGTCACGTGTACTTTTACTTGCATAACAAAAAAATTTCCCTCAACTCTGCTTAGAAGAAAGGTAGCAACATGCCTATGACCATGTTGCTGAGATCCCAGATTTAGCTGCTGAATAAAAGGAAGAAGGAAAATTCTATGATTACATCAATGGTCATAAATCATTTCGCTATCACAGATAAGGACCTCTGAAGCCATTTTGCTGCCATTTCAGGTTCCCTTACCTTCTTTCCTTTAGGAGTCTGTTAGGATTTGTATCTAAAATTGTCCCCCCAAAAGTTAAATTCAAGTGTTCAAAATTGGGGTTTTGGAAATGATTAGATCATAGGCTCTAGCTCCGTCAGTGATCTCCTCTCCTTTCCTCTCCTCTCCTCTCCTCTCCTCCCCTCCCCTCTCCTCTCCTCCCCTCCCCTCTCCTCTCCTCCCCTCCCCTCCCCTCCCCTCCCCTCTCCTCTCCTCTCCTCTCCTCTCCTCTTCTCTCCTCTCCTCTCCCTACCTTCCTCCCCTCTTCGTCTTCCCCTCCCTCACCCACTTCCATCATATCCTTCTATCATACTGCTTCTATCTTGCCTCAGGCCCAAAGTAACGGTTCCGACAAATGACTGACCAAAACACCTGAAGCTGTGAGCCAAAATAACTCTTCCTTTAGTTGTTTTCTTCAAGCATTTTGTCGGAGGGTAAAACACTAGCAACACAGAGGCTGTGGGTATCCTCTGGGTCCCCAGGTCCTCCTCCTCCTCTGAGTGGGAAGAAGTGAGCACCGCAGGTCAGGATAGGCTGGGCTCCTGAGTGGCAGGGAGCCCTGGCAAGCTCCTCAGATGGCCGCACATTCATGCAGTCTTAGAGTCCACACATGCCCACTGTACCAGGCACACAAATCATTTTATAGGCCCCATCCTCTGGTGAAGTCACAAGACTTTTTCCCCAGAAAGCAGGGAGCTGTCATACATTACATTAAGAATGCATCTTCCATATTAAAAGCAACTGATCAGAGATAATACAACCACAATTAGGGGAAAACACAGTATCATACTATACAATCTCAAGTGGCACAAGGCCAAGATGCCAATAGATGCCCCCTTTCTTCATTCAGGGGTAAGTCAGGAAACACAGCTTAATACAGATACAACCACCTATCTTTCCTATGCGGGATGGCACTGAAGCAAGTCTTTCACTACATACACCAGATACCATCTAGGCAAGTAGCATCATATATGGATGCTAAACAGTGCTGACTTAAAATCCTATCCAGGATGTAAGGTACCATGCTTTAGAGAAGTGCTACGGGACTCAAGAAGTGACTCAGGGCATAATACAGCCATTACCTCAAAGTCTCATAAGAAGAACACTGACAAAAGTGTCCTTGTAAATGCATGTAAGCGGCAATAAGGAACGGAAATTTACAGTAAAATTTTATTTACATAAATTTGCATATGCATATTAAGTTAATGCCGGACATCTAGGCATTGTTAATGTCAGTGACCGATTGATGTTTAAAGTGTGTGCATCTGAGTTGGTGAATGAATTACCACTGGTGTGAGGGTGTGTTACAGCTCATTCTACCCTTGGGGTACACTTTATCCCATTCTTCCACGTCTTCTCCCTGTTGGTGACCCTGTTGAGGACAGCTTCTTTGCTTCTTCTTCCTTGTATTAGCTACACCTGCACCTTAAAGCCAGGACAAACACCACCTCCTCCAAATGTCACCCACAATCAAATCAAGCTGCCTTCATCTGGGCTCACCATAGGCTCTCTTCCCTCCCTCCAGAACCCATCCAATTTGCTGCTCATATGCCCCTTTTCTTTCTAAACCATGACCTCTGGGGCCGAGAAACACACCATGGCCCTGCCCATAGCCTGCCCTAAATCTCAGCTGAGGGAATAAGATCAGTATATATGCAATGAGTTAAACAATAAATGCACAGGTCATCAATGCATAAATGAGGGAGTGATGCACTGTAGAGTTGTCTGCAGGGCACTCGCTGCTCACTCAGGAAAAATTTGGTAAGAATACCCGGTAATGGGAAAAGTCAACTTCTATTGTGGTTGCCAGTGAACTGAGGGAGAGACTGTGGAATTCATTGGTATCTCTCTTTTCCTCCTGAGTGAATGAAGAGATGACAGCCCCTAGTGTGTCATGACTATCACTACAGCTGATGGATATAAATTACCTGCCTCTGGGCCTGGTTCATAAAGTCTTCCCACCAGATTCTCTCTCTCTCTCTCTCTCTCTCTCTCTCTCTCTCTCTCTCTCTCCCTCCCTCCCTCCCTCCCTCCCTCCCTCTCTCCCTCTTTTTTTTACCATTGCATTCCAAGTTCTGGGAAAAGATGCTCATGGCTTTGAGAATGGAAGAGGTGCTGAATCAAATGTGATTCCCTGAATGGATGTGTGAATCACAACTCCCCACACACCAAGACTCCCATGAGACTTAACGTGAGTAAGAAATAAAGTTTTATTGTGTTAAGCCTCTGGGGTTTGGGGATCATGCTACCAAAGTTAAATTAATCATCTGAAATTATTTAGATTACTCAGCCAACTGAAAGCCAATATCCCTTGCAGTTTCGTTGAATCAGCAACTATTTATGAAGCACTCTGTGGGCACTACTATCAGGTAACAGTTAAGAGTCATAGAATCTCTAGTCAGATGGAATATTGTTATGGCTTGTATTTATATGTTCTCCCCCAAGCCTCATGGGCTCACGCGGGCTTTTTGTGACTAGCTGACCTAGGCACATGTGATAAGGACATTAAGGGTGGGTCGTCTTAGTCCACTGATTAGAACTATTATAGTTCTGGGTGTAGAAGATTGAAGCCCACCTAGATGTAGATGGGGCCAATCATTAGGCTCATAGCCTGGATGAAATATAAACGAACAGAGGGAAGGCAGCCTTGCTGCTTCCCCTGGTGCTACTGCTGCTTGCTGCTGCCCTGATTTCCTGCCTTCTGCTTGCCACGTAATGGACTGTTTCTCCTCTGTCATGCTGCCTTGCCTTGGAGCCAGCCAATTATGAACTGAAATCTCTGTAAACTGTGAGGTGAAATGAACCTTTCTCTTTTTAACTTGTGGTTGTGGGCTACTTTGTTGCAGCAATGAGAAAAGAACTAAAACAAATGATAAATGGAGAATGACAAAAGTGGCCTGAGGTCACCAGAGATGCTCATAGCAGACATTTCCAAGGTCCCTTCCTAAGAACAAACTATTCTGGCCACCATTTGCTTGACAAGCACATACCTTGGTTCCTGGGGGTCCAGGTTGTCCAGGTAATCCACGCAGGCCCTGGTGAAATGAATGATCCAAGGATAATTATAGAACCCTGAGTGAGCACTGACTGTCCCTGGTGCCGAGCTGGGTGCAGTCTTCAGTGAGTAGGGGTAGATACACAGGGCACTCTCACTGGGATGTGGCTTGCACAAATGAAACAGAATCTGTTTTCAGCCACAGAGGCACGGGGTGTGATGTGTGCTGACTGCCACCTGCTGTCCTGTATGACCATGATGATATTCATCACCTCTCTTAGTTTTATCTCCAAAAGACTTAAATAGTGCAGGCTTTCATAACCAAGAAACAAAGTCAGGTTTCAAAGTAGGGCTTGCCTGATTCCAAACCCTGAGCTCCTTTGTCTTTATTGTGCTATTAAGATGCAGGTGTGGTCCCTGTGAGTGGGCTTCAATTTCATACTGATAGATTTTGTCTGATGTAGGACTCATAGCCAGAATTAAAATCACAAGTCCGGTTCAGGAAACACTGGCTAAAAGAGCCAGAGGGACACAGCAGCACTACTGTATGCCTGAGTTCCCTGTGAACCATTGTTTATGGGACTGCTTTCTCCAGACCGTGAGCTCCTGGACAAAGACTGTTTGATCTGTCTGTGACCCCAGCACCTGGCCCAGCCTGGCATTCAGCAGGCTATTCCTGTTTATCTGTGGCTTTGTCTTCCAAAGTTTTAGCTACCTGAGGTCAACCATGGTCTGAAAATACTAAATGGAAAACTTCAAAAGTAAACAATTTGTGAATTTTAAATAGCTTTTATTGCTATAATTCTTCTATTTTAATAATACTGCTACTCTTTCATTGTACTTAATTTATAAATTAAACTTGTCATAGGTATATGGGTACTGGAAAAACATAGGACTTAGTCCCACCCAAGGTATAAGGGTCTGCAGTCATACTGGAATGTGCTTCCTCATGCATAAGGGCCAAAACTGTACACTAAAGTCTTCTGGTGCTCACAGACCTTTCCCAGCCAGCTCAAGGTCCCTGGTTCTGTTTTTGCAGTTTGATTGTGACTCTGCTATCCCTTTTGTTTTTTCCAGTTTTAGCTGGGTTTCTCCAGGTTCAGAAACATGCACTCTATCCCCAATTTGCCACTTACCGGTTCACCATCATTCCCTTTTCCAGGTGGCCCAGGGGCCCCAGGAGAACCAGGATCACCCCTGGGGCCAGGTGGCCCTGGGTTTCCTTCTTCACCTGCAGTTCCCTGGAAAGAAAAGTGGACACTTTTCATTATCAGTGACTCCTCAGAGTTTAGCTCTTTCATGGTTAATCAGCCTGAGTGAACTGATAGGTTTTTCTGGAGCTACTCTGTCCTGGTAATTTTAGAAAACTCAACCTCCAAGGGCATAGAAAAACGGACTGTACAAGGGGTAACAGGTGGAACTGCATCCTCCAAAAATCATACCCTGACGTCCTAATCCCCAATACCTCCTTGTGGAAATGGGTTCTTCACAAGTGTCACTGCTTAGGTTAGGATGAAGTTTCAGTGGAACATGACCTTTTTTGGGACTCATCCACTATGACTAGTTATAATGGTTTGGATCTAAAATGTCCACTGCAAAGTCTCATGTGTTTAGAAGATGATTTGGTCAGTAGATCCACTGATGAGTTTAGTAGCTAAATACAGTTAGAAAATGGGACCTCATCAAAAAAGATGGGTCTCTTGGGACATGAGTGTCCCAATGGAGTGGGACATTCTCATACTTTGCTCAATGTCCCATGGAGTGGGACATTCTCATACTTTGCTCTCCTTCACTTCTTGGATACCACCAGTTGAGCATTTCCCCTCTCCATGCCATTTCTGCCTTGGAGCCAGCCAACCATGAACCGAACCCTCTAAAACCATTAGTCAAAATAAACCTCACTTCCTTTACTTATGGGAGTCGAGTATTTTGTCTCAGTGCTGAGAAAGTGACTAATACATTGGTACTCTTTCAAGAAAAACACATCTGGACACAGGCAGAAGGAAGATGCCACGAAGGTGCCAGAAAAGGATGGATATGGGTGAGCCAAGAAGCATGCCTATGCCAGATCCTCCCACAGCAGTGAGCGAGAGCCAGCCTTGCCAACACCTGGTATAGAAATCCTTGTCTTAAGAACTCTGAGACAACGAGTTCCTGTTGTTTAGATTCCTGAGTCTAATGCTTTATTACCACAGCAATAATTAATGTATATGATATGGAACGTGGATGTGGAAGCTTGTGAGTCACCACCTACTACATCTTCCACCCTGTTCTAAGGGACCATCCTTTTGCCACTTGAAAATGGTCTGTTCAAACTCCTCCAGGAGCATGAAGCTCCTTCTGCTCCAGGCTGTGTGCTCCTGGGTGAAAGAACTCAATTACACAGCACCTTCCCAGCCCTCTCTGACATCTTCCCAATGTTTGACCCTCAACTTGTTCCCTGGAGCTCTGGAAGAAAAAAACATAACTTCCTGTCACCTAACAAGTCCTCAATAATATGAGCAAAGTTTGATGCTCCAAAAGGGATATGGGCAGACATCTAGAGATGCTGAGAAGCTAGACTCTGAATTTGCCCCAAGCCATGCTTACCTTTTGGACCTCAAAGCTATGAGCAGTCTCTGCATAGGGTACTGCATAGAATCTACAGCCAGAAGGGCACTGTTTCCCAAGTGGTTGACTGTTACACTGCAGTCCTGTTGCGTGTAGACTTTCAATACAGATGAGGTGAGAAGAGCCAAGAATAGCAAAGCAAGTGACAGAGAAGGTCTCTCTACACCTAGCATAAAATCAGCTTCCTGTGCCCCAAGCCAGCCTCTGGACATGGCAAAATAAAAGAAGGCTGCTGCAGAGTCCGAGAGTTTTACTACTTGCCAAAACACTGGCAGTTCTATTCCAAACACAGCCCTGGGTTGGTTTCCTTCAGACTTCTGCCTACACTTAGGCTCTGCCAAGGAAAGGCATTTGGCTCCCCCTAGCGTTCAAATAGCCAATAGCCCACTGATTGATTTTCTGGTTTTTGAAAGCCCCTCTAGCTCTCATAAAACCCTTCACAGCTTGGTCACCCCTTCTGGATTGTCAATGCCTTTCTTATAATGTGGAGATGTTCTCACACGGTACACACAAAACTCAGAGAGGCTAGGATTTTCTCATTTAGTTTCAATGCACCACTCCTACTTGTGAAGTTTAAGATAGCGTCATTTTCCAAATAATGTTAGCACCTGTGTCAGTCACTAAAGGTTATTACTCCAAAATCTTAAGTCACTTTCCAAAGTTTTGTTGGTCATTTTTCTTGCAATAATACATCTTTCTCTGAATCACATATTTTAACACAGTGTTTGGCTGAAATGCAAAATCTACACCTACTCTTGTTAAATGGTACAAAAATATAAAAGACAAATAATCCATCCTCAAAAAGGTAGCAGACAAGTGGGCTTGAAGAAATTTGCACAAAGAGTTCGGACACTTCTGTCTTGGTAGAGTGCCCTGCAGATGACCTACACTGGGCCACCTGTACAAGACTGTAAGTGCAACCTGATCCTGTGGGTAGGAAAGGACAGATCTGCCATCAGGCCACTTGTCTTCTATCAAGCACCCTGAACCTGACTCCTCCATTCTCCAACCGACCTTCACAACTTGGGACCAACATATGCATCTGCATTGCCATTTTACAGGTGTACAAGTCTGAGGAGAAGATGGTACCTTGTATTCAGCTCAAGTGTTCTTAGTCTTATCACTACAGACCAGACATCCAGGTTGGATGACTTTTGGGGGATGGGAAGCTTTCCTTACACTGTGAGGTTTTTAGCTGAATTCTTGTTCATCTCCTAGAGCCAGATGTGACAACCAGACATGTGAGGAGGTCAAGAACCACTCTGTCACTCTAGTTTAGACCTGCATAACTAGAACATGGGAGCTGCTGTAAGGCTCAGTTCCAACATGTCTCTCCCAAGAACCAACCTGTTGGCCAGCAGAGCTATAGTTCCCAGCTCAGCACTGGGGCCTTCAGCAAACACAAGATGTCATCAAAGAGACAGGATGGAGCATGGAATCCTCCTCCTAAAAACCTGGACACCTGAAGACACTCAAGCATTTGCACTGGATGCCTAAAGACTTTGGCCATCAAGATACAAAATATCCAGAAAACTTGGACCCCTGAAATTTCCTACGATCTTTCTGCCTAATCTCTCTTGTCTTCTTTCAAGCCCAATAAAAAGACCCATTTCTCTTTGTTCCCTATAGACGGCCTTATCGCCCTCTTTCTGTGTGTATCCAGGCATTAAACTGTACGTCTCTTTGCTTTCACAAAAACCTGTTTAGCGGTCTCTGCCTCACTTCATTCTTCACATGTGACACCAAAACCCAGGAAACACAGCAAAAGTTCCCTCTCCGGAGGGATCTCCAACTCTCCTGAGCCTCCCTCCCCTTGGCTGAGACCACGTGGTGACATCAGTCCCTCAAGCCTCTACAGCTCCTGCTGCTTCTACCATGCCAAATCTCGCTGGTGTTTCAGACTGGGCAAGCCTCCCATTTTCAGCCCCTTTCTTTTCCCACAACTATCTCTTATTTTCCCTGTAAAGTCAGAGAGAGGCTCACTCTTGTTTTTCATGCTTCTTCAAACTCCAGAGCTAGTCTCAAAAAGTACTGCCAGGAAGATTGCTTCTATCGGGCTTCTGACTGGTCAACTTGAAACCTGTGCCATCTATCTATCTGGTGCTTCCCTTGGAATCAAAGCTCCTTACATGCAGTCTCATCCAACTCCATCCCGTTATTCAGACTGCAGTTTGGTGCCCCTACCTCAAATCTTTGCTCCTCAATTTCAAATTTGGGAGAATGAGGGTCTGAAAGTGTTATGTGGGTTTACATTCCCTTTTTCCTGTCCAATTCGTCTCAGATTAGTCAGTACCGGGTACCTTTTTAACCAACCCCACCCAAAATATCCACTCGGCACCTTTCAGCCTCACCTAAGACGACCTAAACATCCTTCTCACCCAAGCAATAGGAATATATCTGGACCTTTGCCCAGGTTGCTGCAGATGAATGCAAGTGCCTTGAACCTTACCTTCAGGAGGGAGCCACAGCGGCCCCTCAAGCCACCCCAAACTGGCACTCTAATCAGCTAGAGGAGCTCAGACAGTCCCCTGAGCAATGGAGCCATAACTCTATGGTCACTTGCTTGGTTGAAGAGCTCTGCAGGGTGGCACAGGGCAGTCAATTATGACAGGCTGAAGGACACTTACCCAAAGAGGAAAATCTGTCTCAGTTTATGTCCTGCCTGACCATGAAGGCCAGCTGATTTTAAAGATGCATTTTATTACCCAATCTGCTCCAGGTATTGGTAAAACTTCATAGAAATTGGAAGCAGGCCCTCAAATATCACAGCAGGAGTTAATAAATTTAGCATTCAAAGTTTTCAATAATATGGAAGTTGCCTACACAAAGCACCTTTCTAAATTCAAGGAGGTTGCCTCCATTGTAAGGAACCCACATCTGCATGCTGGATCAAAGTCCCAGCCAACCGTTAAGGGTGCCTCCAGGGCTCCCTGGCCCAAGGGTGTACCCCTGGGACCATGCTTTAAATGCTATCAGCCTGTCATTGGGCTGAGGAATTCCCATAGCCTGAGATCCCTTCAAAGCTGTGCCCCACTTGCTGTGGGGTCCCTCACTAGAAATAGAACTACTCAATGCCAGCAAATACCCCTGAAGCCAGCTCTGGACAGCTTTTTCCTGAATCTCCCTGGATTGGTGATAAATGACTGACACTATCCAGAAGCTCCAGAGGCCCCCTAGACAACTTGGATGCTGAGCTGCAGGTAACTTTTAACATAGAGAGTAAGCCCTTATCTTTTGTGATAGACAGCGGGACAACCTGCTCTACCTTGCTTTTTTCCAGAGACCAGTCTCCTTGGCCTCAACTTGTACTGTAAGTATTGACAGCAAAGTCTCCAGGTCTTTCAAAACTCCTCCAACTTAGTGTGAGTCAGGTCAGCAATTTTTATTCCACCTCTTTTCTGATCATTCCTACCTGCCCTGTTCCCCTCCGAGGGTGACATATTCTACCAAATTATCTGCTACTCTCACCATTCCCGACATTCATCCAGATTTTTTTGCTCACTCTTCTCTCTATCTCTGGTCTCACCTGAATCCCCCAATGTCCACAGATCTAAATCCTAAGGTCTGAAATACCTCTTCCTCTTCCCTAGCCCGTGACCAAACACCTTTCACCATCCCACTAAAGCTAGGTCACCCCGATCCCTCCCAGCCCCAATACCCTGTCCCCAGTCAGACTCTCTCACCTGCTCCTACAACCCTATCAACTCTTCAACACTCCAGTTCTCCCTATTCAAAAAGTAGGTGGTACTTACAGATTAGTACAAGATCTCCATGCTATCAAACAGATAGTTGCTCCTATCCATCCTGTGACGCCCAAGCTCCATGTCCTCTTATAGTCTATCTCCACATCTACCACCCCTTATTCAGTCCTGGATTTGAAAAATGCCTTCTTTACTATTCCTGTGAAATCCTCCACACAGCCTCTCTTTGCCTCTACTTCAGTCAGGCCCTCGCCCTTGATTTGCTCTCCTTGGGCCCATCCATCTCTCACCATGCAATACATAAGTGATCTCCTTCTGTATAGTCCCTTTCACAAATCCTCCAGATGGGCTCATGGCTCCGTCCTGTAGCAGGACCATTGGTCTGTACAATCCCCCATCTCTTATTCAGGCTTTGTCTTTGCAGACTTCTGTCACCGTTCTTTCAAGCAGTCAAGCAATCACTGTCAGTTGTTGGTCTTCTCTTCCCCTCAACATAAAACAGCTCCCCAGGTTTTTCTTCCCACTAAGATTCCCACTTAGTTCAGTGGCACACAGGAAGCAGTCATGAGACAGTGCCCATCTCCCTTTTCCTGCTTCTTCTTATTCCGTTTTGTTTACAACACAAATACAGAACTGTAAGGCTCAGTTCAGATGACTCTCCCAATACTAAACCTATTCTCTAGCAGAGGCATTGTTCTTAGCTGAGCACCAGTGGCCATGGCAAGCACAGGATGTCTTAAAAGAGACAAGATGGAACACTACTCTTTCAGTACACAGGGACATCAGGAGACATCAAGCATTCACAGCAGAGGCCTCAAGGAATCTGTCCACTGAGGCACAAAACACCCAGAGAACTCTAGCCATTGATATTTACTAAGATCTTCCTACCTAATGACCCATGCCTTCTTTCAAGCCCAAAGAAAAGGCTGGCTTTTCTTTCTCCCTTCAGATGGCCTTATTATCCTACATCTGCCTGTACCCAGGCACAATAAATTGCATGCCACGTTGACTTTACTCAAGCCCAGAGGTCTCAGCTGGTCTTTGTCACATGCTGTTTATTACAGCTGGCATTTCGCCTGGCTCTGAAGCCCATGTATCTCACATGAGTCATTCAGGATGAGCACTTTCTATTCCCTAAGCTCTGTCACCAACAAACAGGAGATACTTCCTAAACTGCTCAGGAGGGGAATGGGCAAGGCATGTGAATTCTCCTCAGCCTTTGGGATACTTTAAATTGGTGACTGAGATTATTTCTCTCTGCTTCCTAATGAACACAACTTTGTCACAGCTTGGTGAGGTTTACCTTCAATCACAGATGCACAGTGGATTAGCTGGGCACAGAATAGAGAGGAAGCAGGATTTGGAGTCAGACAGACGTGTGAGTCTAACTACCCATGAGAACTCTGGTGAATTAATTAACCTCTCGGAGCCTCCAGCCCCACAATGGCACTCATCTGATTCAGAGGCCCGTTTGGAAGGGTTAAAGGGATGGTAAGATGGTCCAGTTTCTTCTCTCTCTCCCACCTGCAAATCTCTTCTGAGTCCTGAGTCCTAAACCAGACCTGAGCAATGTAAGCTCTTCCTTCATGACCAACAACTGACAGTGATTGTTTGATTGCTTGAAAGAACCGTGATAGAAGTCTGAGAGTAAACTTCTCTATGCTAGAGACTGTGCTGGTCTTACCTTCTCACCACGCTCGCCATCTTTCCCAGGGGGGCCTCTCAGACCAGGTGGGCCCTGAAAAAGGAAGATTATTCACAAGGTGAGTCTCTGTATGGCTCTTGGTCCCCTTGGCGGGGCTGACAGCTCTGTCCCGCCTGTTCCCCTTTCAGAGTTAAATTTCCATGGCCTGACTCCTCCCTGAGCCTAACTGTGCATCCTTCAGAGCAGGGGTGGGCTGCAGAGTATTGTGGCTAACCCTAGGCTGTGAGCTCTTGGAGGGAAGAACTTCACATAGAAGATGCCAAGGAGGATACAGAGAACCCAAAGAATGTAAGTTCAATGCCAAAGGCCTGCTCCAGCAGTGATGACCGAGTCCCTACAAGTTTACCCACAAGCTATCCCCGGATCCCGCCGGAGGGAGGTGAGAAAGAGGACACAAAGCTAGAAATGCATCATGTGCAACTGGAGCCCCGTCCTGCTGTGCACTCTGGGAGCCCACCTAACACACACCACAGGGCCGCCCACCCAACAGCACAGGGGCAGCTGCTTGTGCACGCTGATCTCAGGACTGCTTACAGTGCTGCTACTGGCCACTGGTCAGGTAACTAGGCAGGTGAAGACCTTCAAGCCTAGGAAGGCAGGGATGGCTGTGCATGCACTGTGGAAAGGGAGGCTGTGTGGGTGAGGTATCAGTAGCTTCTACTGCAGCCACTCACTACCTGACTCAGTCTCTGTGTGTTTCAGGTTCCACCTGTGTAAAACCGAGTCAATAACAAGTTCAGCCAACAAGAGTGTTAGGTTCACAGGAAATGAATTAACACATGCAATGCAGCAGGAAGAATTCCCAGAACATGTGGCTGCCCAGTGTCTGTCCTCTACTGCAATAGGATTATCACCTGCAGAGTTTGATGAATGTACATGACAGACTTAAACAGATCGTGAAGTATAAATTCTCTGTAGCCCTTGACTAGATGTTGGTGTGTGTTTTATTGAACAACTTTAAAGTCTAAATCAATTTTTATGGTGAATCATAAAGTTAGGCCATTAGCAGACATGCAGGGCTCCCACAAGAGACAGCTGCAATCTCAGCTTTCAGCAAGACCAGTGAGGTGAGATTTTAGTGGTGGGCAGCCCCACCTACTGCTGAGGTCTCCCTGAGTACCTTGCAAAGGCTTTGCACAACCCGGTGGGAGAGCTGGCTTGGAATCCTGGTGTCCTAACAGCCAGTCAAGGGACCTCTGACCTCATTAGATTTGTGTATGTCTCTTCTAAGGTAAACTATGATATCGATTGCAACATCTGTAAAAAGTGCAGCCTGTCTACAACAGCAATTGCATTTACTGCCTGGAGAGGTGAAGGGTTACATAGAGACTTGGGTTTGCTAACTTTCTGTGTAAACTTTGTTAGACATCAGCACTCCCACCTAGCAAACAGAAGTAATGAGACTTGTGCCTGAGTTCCAAGAACATAACTAAGTTAACTTAGTGGACAGTAAGGCAGATCCACAGTCAGTGCTCTCAAATACTCACCACACTTCCAGGGAGGCCACTGGGACCAGGAAGCCCTGCAGGTCCAGGAGTACCCTAGTTACAGGCAGAAGTAGTTTAGAATGCTAAGCCCAATGTATCAACTCCAAACACTTGTCCTGATCGTTCTCCAAATGTGTTTTGTGTGACTGGTTGTAAATGCTCCAACCTACATCCTCTAGGAATCTCAGGAGCCTCCACCTTTTGAGTGTGGTGACATCTTCCCCAGGTGGCTGCAAGTAAGTAGGCCTTAGCCATTGAGTGGGGAGACAGGAGAAGGGTTCTAGCTCTTTCTTAAGCCCAGTCACACAGTTGGAAGGGCATAGAGGATGTCTCCAAACATATATGAACATAATAGGGGAGATTTGGCCTTAATGTTAAGCACGGGGGAGAGAAACACTGGCAAGAGAAGGAATCATTCACAGCTGAGCTGCAAAGAACAGGCTGTGGTGCCTGGAAGGAAGGCTGAGGGGCTTGGACAAGCCCTGGGGAAAAAAACACTGTGGTTGGGAGGGGCTGCCCACATGGACCAGGAAAGACTTGGAAGATGTGCAGACAGCACTGACCAGGGCTTCAGACCAGCTGTAGCTTTATGGAGGTCATAGGTCTGTTCAGACCATAGCATATCTGCTTTTATCTGCATCACGCTGAAGATGTTAAGGAATATTCACAGGGTAAGGACACGAGGTGGTGAGCATGGGGGTAATTATGTGTGTGTTTGTGTGTGCATCCGTGTAAGTGTATGAGAGGGGGCAGAGAGAGAGAGACAGAAAGAGAGAGGGAGAGAGAGAAACAGAGAAGGGGGAGCAGAGAGAGAGAGAAATGTGAAGAAAAGAAGAGAGGTCCAAACAAGGCAGGCAGCACAGAGGGCTTACAGGGTTTCCTGCTGCTCCGGGAGCCCCACGTGCACCATCTTGTCCCTTGGTTCCCTGTGTAAGAAACAAAAGGGGAGACACAAGCAGTCAGAGACCCAGGAAATGCTCTAAAAACCCTGTTTCATGGGATACAGTTGACCCATGCTGAAGGCACCAGAATGGACTGAAAAGGGCAGAAAAGCATTTTCCGGCCCACAGCAGGAGAGTGGCATCATGATTTGACTGTATCTGCAGCCAGCCAGGAGCCATGGGGATTTCTGACAGGCAAGTCCCTCCCATACCCCGCCCTCCAGCAGTGCTGAGCCCCAGAGGGCCAGAACTCCTGTCCAGGAGGGACCTAGGGAAGATGTCAAAACCAGGAAAAATAATAATATCCAAATGCTGATGTGACCAGGCCACCACTTAAACCAGAGCAGCCAGGTAAAGCTGGGGAAGGAAGCAGATTTTATGCATCTGAAAAACACTTTGGGAACCCAGAGCCACTCTGCCTTCTGGGGAGTACCATACTCCAGACCACACTGTATCTCAGGCAGCAACTATGGGAATGTGGCTGGTGATTAGTGGCAAGGTAGGGACAGCCAGAAGCAAGGCCACCAGGGTGGCTGCTTTCCAGAATACACTGGATGATGGAGCCTAAGGCTCTGGGAAGTTCTGGGCCCTGCATCTTGTCACAGAGCCCCCTGCAAGCATTTTCAAAGTGCCAGATGTTATGGGTTAGGAATGGATAGGATGTGTAATGAAGCCACAGGTAGAGAGCCATCTTACCGGAGGTCCAGTGGGTCCCCGAGGACCTAGTTCTCCAGGACGGCCCTGCAATGAAACCACCTGTCAGTAAAAAGTTCAGCACCCTGATTCTTGGAAGACTACACACAATGGGTACAATCTGAGGTACCCTGAGGGGATATCACCAGAGTCCCAAGGAACTAGAAAGGGATCACACTGAGTTCACCAGGGACCTGGGGTTGAGTACTGGACTCTGTGAGAGAGGACTGAAGGTGGCCAGTCCCTGAAGATCTTGTCTCCCCAGGGGCCTGGTACTCTGTGAGGCTCACTGGAGCAGCCTCGGGGACTGGCACTCACCGGTTCCCCAGGCACTCCTGGGTCACCCTTTTCTCCTTTAGGTCCTCGTTCGCCCTGTTGGATAGAAGCACAAGGTACAGTCATGCTGAATCGAAGGTGAACTTCCCCCTTCTATGGCACATGTGCCTGGCTCTCAGCCACCTCCAGACCTGGGGACACACCTGGTGGGATAACACCAAAGGCTGTTCCTGCTGACTGAGGGATGATGATCTTTCTCCCACTCCCCTGAGAGACTGACCTGTTTGATTTATGTTTCAGATCTAAGGGCATAAATCCCTTCTTCAAGGAAAGGGAACTTCTAACCATCAAGGTCTTCTGTTGGTGGCTCTCAGAAACTAGAGTGTGTCCTCCATGGCACTTGCTTAGGTTGTAGGTTTACATTTGTACGGTTTTTCACATGTTCCTCCAGTTCATCAGTGAATAAAGATGGAGTAAATGCTGAGAGGAACAGGTGTCTCTCACACCCCCTTTCTTGATGGAGATGGGGAGAGGGTGCTTTGCTAAAGGGAATCAGACCTTTGGGAACAGACTGGTAATAGAACAGTAGACTCTGGATGGTAAGAACAGTGTACCTAATTTTGGCTGAAGGGGAAATTGGACAGGCTGGAAAGGCAATGTCTGGAATCAGCCACTGAGAAATCAGAGACTGATCTTTCCACTCCCTGAGGCTCCCTGAGGCTACCACACCTGGGATTCCCAACACACCTCCTAGGAAGCATGGAGGACAGGAGATCACCATCCTATAGCCTGAGGCTGCATGAAGGGTACGCTGCAGGGGTTCGAGTACTTGTCTTTGGAAAGTTGCAGGGCCAGGCATCTTGCAAAAGAGCAGTGAGGGCAGGTGGCAATGCTGAAAGTAGCCTGAACTTTAGGCAAATGCAGGCTGCTTGAGGTCTTGGCTCTGCTTTGCAGGCAATATAACCTCAGGCGACTTAGGAACCCACACGGACTTCAGCTTTCCTATCTTCAGGACACTTAGGCTGTCTCTGTCTCACAGAGGAGGCAGTTCTAGGGTAGGCTGAAGAGCTGCCATGGGTAGAGACTGGGTCTGTCTGTGGAACTCTGCAAGAAGGCAGCTAATAACCAGAGCATAACATCCAGAAAGGCTGAATGCAGTAGCCCTCCTCCAAGGAGAAGATGTGGTATTGTCCAAAATTTCTATAACCCATTCAGGCACTTTGGGCACTTCTTCTGCAGCCAGACCCAAGGAGGAAATGGGGTGATGGGCATGTGCTTTAATGGAGAACAAAATTCTGCATAGGTAGGAGTTGGCAAGCAAAGCTTTGGAGAACTGTAGGTCTGGGGAAGAAGACCCTGAGTACACCCATAGGTGGACTTCGATGTCTAGAGAGCCTTGGGTGGGCTGGGCCTAAGGCTTGGTAAAGTAACCAACCTCTCACGGTGATGGTTTCCCACTGATTTCTCTGCCAGGCCCTGTGAAATGTTGGGGCCCTCATCACAGCAGCTCGGGCCTGCCTCTCCTCCCAAGCCTCTCTTGAACCCTCCCACTGGCACCTGCATGACCTCAGACCTGTGTTTTCCCTCTGTTAACAGCACCTTCTGGGCAGACTCTACATAGACCCCTTTGCAGAGCTGTAACTTCCTAGATTAGGTGAGATTGCTTTTGCCAAGTGTTTCTCAGAGCGAGGCACAGAGGGGGCTTCAACAGATGCCAGCTCATTCCTTCTAGAATCTCCATGGTCATCTAGCCCAGAAAGACATGTCAAGCTCATGCACTACGGACAACAATGCCCTGATTTCCAGCATGCTCCCACCCCAAAGTATTTCCTGCGGTGCAGATCTGTGAAACTCCACCTGATCCTTCAGCCATGAACAGTGCACTCCACAGACACAAAAGGGCTCTGGGGACAGTTTCAGGTCACACAGTAGAAGAAGAGAGGGTTGCAGGAACACAAGTGGGAGCTGTGGGAACTCTGAGAATTCTCAGGAAAGATACTCAAGACAGTCCTGTCCCAGTACCTGGGTGTCAAGACAGCATCTCGCTGCTCAGAAGCAGTGGGTGCACTGTCAATAGTTTCTGAATGTGGGAGCCTTGCTGGTTTCTCTCTGCCTCTATGTGATGTGAGCAGGCCAACACCCATTTCTGTGATTAGGAAACCTCCCAGCAGATGCCAGGCACTGTCAGGGACATCATGAAAGGTCCACTGCAGGGTGAGGAGTGGCTGCCCCAAACCCTTCCTGAGATGCCACTTGTGAATCACCTCCTGACTTCCATCTTAAAACCCTGTGTGCCTTTTCCTCTGTAGTGTCCCCGTGCCTGTGGTCACCTGTTCCTTTAGCTAAGGACTGGTTTCTCTCTTCAGTGTGGCATTTCCAGACCTAAGGGATCCCCACACTCTCTAACAGTTCCCACAAGTCACCCCCCATGGGCCTCCTCCATCTTGCACAAGGATGCGAGGGAGCTGTGACTATGGAATGGAGCCCTTCCATTCCATAGCTGCATAGCAATGTTTCAAGGTCTTCTTTCCTTCACTGCCGGCTCCTACAGACCATCTCTCTCTCCTCAAGCTCTGTGTGTGTGTGCTTGTGTGTGCATGTGGTGCTGCTGAGGACTGAACCCAGGGTTTTCATTTTGAGCTATATTCCCAGTCCTTTTTTGTTTCATCTTGAAATGAACTCACCAAGTTGTCCAAGTTAGGCTCAAATTTGCTATCCTCCTGCCTCAGCATCCCAGGCTGCTGGGATTATGGGCATGCACCACCATGCCCAGCTCCTTCTGAGTCTTGCACACTCTGCAGTCTCGGATCATTATGCTCTTAAAACCAGTGGCAGCTATGTGTACTATAGAATTAAATTTACCCAAAGCGAAGTGTGGCCTTTGCCCTTGACTACTGTGTGATCCCCTGGAAAGTCTTCTCTAGCAGAAAGTGGTTTCCACCTAGAATCACAGCTGCCTGGCTGACTGATAGGAAGCACTGAGAATCAGAACCACCCCAGCCCATCTCCCCACCCACACTGCGCATCACCCCCAGATTGAGGGCACCAGCTGTACCAGGGCAGCACCGCTACTTACAGGAATTCTTGGGTGTGGTGTGAACAGGGAAGTCTGAAAGGGAAACCACAGAAATGAAACCTGACACTTCAGTTGAAAACCTGTTGCCTTTGAGCCAAGGGATAGAACACATCCCAAAAGTGTCCTCAAAGGATCAGTAGCTTTAACAACTAGGATTGTAGCTCTCTTTTAGGTCCTTGAACATTTATTAAGGCAAGAACACACAGTAGTGTCATCAGGGAGCCCAGGGGTCACAGGACCTGAGCTCCAACCCCCGTATGACCTTGGACATCTTCCTAGGTTTCCTGCTTTCTCCAGCCTCCACTCTTTTGCAAATGTCTTTCCTTGGATCTGGATGATATTATTTTCCCTTTAGTATCTACAGCCCACTCTTCTTTAAATGTTATTCTCAAAGTTCATCCTCTCTGCTCAAATACAAATTAGATCAACTAGGTGGCCTTGTCATTCTCTCTTCCTGTACCTTGCTCTGGTCTTGAATCTCATTTACCGTTTATCTTGGCCATTATGATTGGAGTTCCTCTCCCTTATGCAGTTACCAACTACTTCAGATATGAGTCAATGCTTGACTCTCAATGGTCCGAAGGATAAAAATAAATGGAAATAAGGATGCCATGAAGGCTGGTTCTAAAATGTAGTGAATTCAAAGAGAAAGGAAGTAAGACTGGCTGTCTATACCTTCCCATCCATGTCTCCAGCCACAGTCTCTTCTCCAGAAAACAAAAATATTATTTTTAGGCTAGAGCATTTTTAGGTCCTTTTCTATGTTTTTTCACACAATTATAAATATATAGAAATAGCTAATATTTGCAGAAAGTATACAGTGTACTTGATCTATAGGTATTTATAGTATGCTAATGCACAATTCCTCACAATAACTAGGAGAGGAGGATGATTCCCACTGCCCCACTGCCTAGTGGTTAAGACAAGTGGGAGACAGGTCAGTGAGTCCCCCTGAAGCCCAAGCAGCTGGGGAAGGTGGGCTCAGAAGCTGATATTCACAGGGGGGCTGCCTGAGCTCCTCATGATTGAGTACACAGAGATCTGCAAATCCATTCTGTCAACTTAATTTGTATATTTATATCTTTTTAGGAGTATATATAGTATGTGCATTTCTTTATAAACTAGGATGTTATGATATAAATATTCTATCATTGAGTTAACCTCATGCTTGCAGTCATATAGATTTTTTTCACAATTTTGCAGCATTTTAAGTGGCACTGGAAAGGACCTACTTTTGACTCTGCTTTTTTTGATGCTAAAATTCTTCAAATATTTTTACAGAAAGATTGAGTCTCATTCTGATGAGGCCTCAGGTCAGGCATTGAATAATGACTTAACTATAGTAAAGGATGCAGAGTGGATTGTTTGCCATACTGCAGACAGTCTGTGACTAATCTTGAAATTCCATATTTTGAGCATCAGTTTCAGGGCTTTATGTGCTGGTCCTGAGTGGTGTAGTACACATATGGGACTGATTTGCTACTGAAAAAAGTAAGAGCTGGCTTTATTCTCATTATTTAAATATCTAAACATTGCTCCATTACAAAATTTTGGGGAGTTAGATAAATAATAATAGCAATTGTTTTGTGTTTCTTATGTGCCACAAAATCTGCTAAATTTATTGCATTCTTTCAGTTAATTTTCACTAAAATTGTAGAAGATAGTTGTACATTTTTTTTTGCCAAATGAGGAAACTGACTTTTTGGAGAAGGAAACAACACATCGGAGACCACTGCGCTGCCGAAAGGCAGAGCTGAGAGCCCACCCCCTTCTGTCCCAGTCCCTGCCCTCAGGCCTTGCTGATACCCAGCACCAGCTCAGGCTGCCAGCCTGATACCTACAGAGAGTGGAAGATGAACTCTAATCTTGGGCCATGATGTTAAGGTCTTACCCTTGTCATAGAGCTTTTGTTTCTGGACCTCAGTTTCCCCATGTGGGACTTGTGAATGAGCTATCTCAGTATCTAGCACATGCTTCGATAAAGAGTAATTGTGCTTTTGCTGAATAAAATGAATCAGTATACACAGGGTTGTTCTGAGAGAAGCTTCCAATTTTTTGGATTTTTGGGACCTACAAGTGGATCTAGCTATTGGCAAACTCTAACAAGGAGAGTGTATAGCAATGTGGTGTGTGTATTGGGAAATCCCAATGCCTTAGGGATTTAGAGAAAGAGAAAGGAGTAGAAGCAGAGTAACTTACAGTTCCAGGTAAGCCAGGGGGACCTGCTGGACCAGCTTCACCCTAGATGGAGGCACAAGGAATGAATAACCCTTGATGTTCTTGTCAGCTCTACTTATGCTAGGACAAGTCTAATAAGGCACTGTCTCCCGACAATAGGAACACACACACCTACCACATTAGAGAGATAGACAAATAGGCAGACAAAAACACACATGCACTATAAGCTACAAAATATTTCAGACATCAAAACAGTACCTTTGAGTAGTACCTACATTCATCTAAATAGCTATAAATTATTTTAACCACTATCTACTATCCTGCTAAATATGTGGGAATGAAGTTATCCTTTATACATCTCCCTTCTGATGACATCAACACAGATTTCCTCAGATTGTAATCATAGCCAGTGTCAGATGGGCTACAGAACACATTCTCACATGTGCCCTCAAGCATGATAACCACACTGAAGTCCAGCTTCCTTACAGATGCCCAGCCCTGCCTGCCCTGCACTCTGGGAAGTAGACATTTCTCAAAATGAACAGTGTTATTCCTGCAAACAAAACAAGGTTGAGAGCTAAATCACCTGGGTCCAAAACCCAACTCTCCCATTTCACAAGTCAGTTCACCTCTTTGGTTTATGTCTTCTTGGCAAGTCATAAAGATGGTAATGCACACAACTCTTAGCATTGGGTGGGGATAGAGATGATAAGGAGCGTGGTATTGAGGACAAGGGGGCACAGAGATCCACAGGGCAGGAGAAAGGGCAGCAATGGTGCAGCGGGCAAACATGGTCCCCAAAATCTGTCACATCACAGGTGCCATGGGGGGCCAAGTGACAGGGTTATACTCCGGATGTTCCTGGAACCAGCCCAGGACTAGGCCTACAGTAGCTTTTCCACATCTGGTTATCAGATGGACAAAACTATCAAGGGACAAAAGGCCCTTAGTAAACAGCAATGTTACAATAATGAAAACAGCTGTATCATTTTCTGCTTTATTGCTATTGTTACACAGCAATTACTTCCACATTCTCATTCACCTGTACACTCATTTAATCTTTGCAGACATGCCTATAAGATATTTATGTATCACCACATCTAAGATGAAAAACCTGAGGCATAGAAGTCTCAGCCTACCCTCAGGCACATTGCTAGCCAATGGCTGAACCTAGTTTTAAACTCAAAAACCATGTTCTTAACCAATACTGAATTTCCAGTACACAAAAGCACTTTCTTAAATCACCATGAATTATCTGATTTTACCAGATCTTCTTTCTGACACACTCGGACTTGCTCACAGAGCTGATCTCATCTATACCTCTCCGGTCACCATTAACAAGCTCCAATAGCAAAGCTGAGTGTTTCCTAGTGGAGCACATGAATACAAATAGGTGCCCTGGGAGGGGGATGGGAAGGCAGGGTCTCCAGCCAGAGGATATGAGGTTGACTTTAGAAACAGCCTCTGCATGCATCCTCAGAGATGCAGGGAGTGAGAGAACTGTGGGCAGCAGGAAGCAGACTAGTGTCCCTCTGATTATGAGGAAGACAATAGGACAAAGGACCCGTGCATTTCCGGAGTAAATTTGAGAGTCCTGGGTTCCATCCCTGCTTCTATGTTTAGTCCTCAGTTGACATGATGAGAAAGAGCAGTACCATCCCCACTTTCCAGGCCAGTGTGTGGGGTTAAAAGATTTATCTTCAGGGACGCAGTACAAGGATTGGAGGGGAAGACAGGCAGGCATGTGCAAGAAGGAGTCAGAGGGGGAGAGTGTGGTCTTCATGTCTTATTTAGAATTTTTGTCAAAAATTGCCTATCCTTACCAATCTCTGAAGGAACACAGAGGCAATCCAAACTCCGCCAGTTTCTACATCACTGAAATGGGGACACTGCTGATAACAGTGGCCTATCCCAGATTTATCCTGATGACTAGTAAGGTCCCTTTATGGACACAGAGGCAATCCAAACTCTTTGGAAGCTGAGGTAAGCAGAGCAGTTTTGTGGTCTTCCTTAGACTTTGCATTCTGGAAACAAATTTTTCAAATGGAAACTGCACTTTTGAGAAGTCCCCTGAAGCAGCAGGTCAGATGCCATTCACACAGACCAGCATTGTTGGTGACAAGGAAAGAAGGGGGAGGAAAGGACACTGGAAATTGGAGCAAAGAAAGGCCAAACTTTGGAGAACAAATACCTTGCAGGAGGAGGCTGACTACAAACCTCTGTGGGTGTGAATATCACAGTCTTCAAGCCCCAAGGGTGAGACCTAGTATGTAGCCCAGTGCTTCTGAGAAGCAGAGGCCCAGATCTAAGGTAGGGTTCAAATCCTGATTCTGCATACAGCCCTGGACAAACAATTTAGCTTTTCTGGACCTCAGTTTCTGAAATGGGGACCCTGCTGATAACAGTGGCCTATGCCAGAATTATCCTGATGACTAGTTAGGTCCCTAGGACAGTGCTCATGACTATTTGGCACAGAACCTCTGAAGACCTCAGAGAGAAGCATCTGCGGAACCGTTTCCAAGTTGGTAGATGTCTGTGTAGATGGTCTGTGATGGTTAAGCTGTACTGTCATCTTGACAGCCTAGTTGGGCAGTGATGGCAAATCTTTCAATGATGATAAGCAGCAGATTGTGGCATGCGTGTCATAGGCTCACCACCACTGGCTCAGGGGGTTAATAAGCACACTTCTGGGTGTGTGTGAGTGAGTCATAAAGGAATAACCTTGGAGTATGTATCCCATCCCTGGCTCCTTCTCTCAGGCAGGACTCCTCCTTTGCTATGCTTCTGGCCACCATAAGTCGGGAAGCTTTCTTCTGCACCACCTCTCCAAGGCCATGATACTTTGCCTTGGAGCCAGTCAACCATGGACTGAATCATCTAAATCATGAACCAAATAAACGTCTCCTTCTTTAAACTGCAGGTATTCTGGTATTCTGTCCCAGGAATGAGAAAGCTGACTAACACTAGGCCTGCAAGACACACAGCAGACAGGACAAGTATGGTGGCCTAAGCTACCTTTCTAATGATTGAAACAGTGCTCTTTCCACTACAGTGCAGACAAACACACACAATCACATAGGCAGGTCCTAAGTGTGTGTGTGTGCGCATGTGTATGTGTACAATGTTCTATGAGATTGAGGGCATATAGTATCTGATTGGAAGCTAAGCATGAGGCAGTAAGAACAAGCAGCTTTATAGCATTCGTGAATGGTCAGATTTTCAACTCTTTCCATCTCTACTGCTTAAAATGAATGATTTTGGGGGTCCTGGAACATGCCTTGTTCACTGCCATTCTATTAGTGACAGCCCAGCACAGCGAATGGTCTGTAATCTGCTGAACAGTGAGTGTCAAGGAAGACACCTGTGGCCTCCCTGGGCTGGCAGGTACATCCCTCCTAGGTCAAGGTCTCCCTTGAAAGACAGAAGCCCCCTGCTCCACACCCTGGCCGCCTGACCTCAAACGTACCCTTTTAGTTTTTATAAGTCATAGTGAGGCACTATATCTCTCTGTACTTCAGTTCTTTCATCCAAACTGTTATGGCTCTGTCCTAGTTACTTTTTCTCATTGCTAAGACAAAATATCAGATGCCCATCAGAGATGAACATACAGTTCTCAGATGAAGATATACAAATGGCAAATAAATACATGAAGAAATGTTCACCATCACTGGTCATTTGAGAAATGCAAATTAAAAGAGCAATGAGATTTCATCTCACCGCAGAAAGGATGGCTGCCATCAAGAAATCAACTGATAACAAATGTTTGGGAGGCTGTGAGAAAAAGGAACATTTCTCCACTGTTGGTGGGAGGGAAGCCTGGTGCAACCACTGTGGAAATCAGTATGGCGATTCCTCAGAAAAACTAGGATTGGGAGTTCCATTCAATTCAGCTATTCCCTTCCTGGGTATTTTCCCATAAAAACTGAAAAAGTCATTTCAAAGAGATATATGCGCACCCATGTTCACAGAAGCCAATTTTTTTTGTGATAGCTAAATCTTGGAAACAACCAAAATGTCCATCAACTGCAGAGTGGATAAAAAATGTGGTATTTTTATATAATGGAATACTACTCAGGTAAAAAAAAAGATAATATTGAGACCTTTATAGGTAAATGGAGACAACTTGTCTTAGAATATCCTCATAAGTGAAATAAGCAAGACTCACATTAGTAAATATCACATTGTCTCTCTAGTGTAAAAAAATAATAAAACCTGACAGAGTAATGGGACTCAAACAGTATAATAGATTTTGTAAAAGTGAAAGGGAAGAAAAGGATATAGTGGTATATATAGAGTGTAAGATAGATGACCATATTACTAAATTTCCATTATATCACTGAACAGAGGATTTGCACTGTCAATGTTTGAGTGTCTAGCCTCTTTTTATGCTTTGATTTTGTAACTCTGACAACTATTTTTAAGATGACAATGTGTAATGTATCAACTAGTGATTTTGTGGTGTTAATTTTTATAGTTTGAATTCTGTATTGTTCTACCTTTTTTTCTATTTTGTTTTTTTTTTTTAATTTTCTTTTCTTTCTTTGAAAAAAGATAACAATATGCAATATAACAATCATTGTTAAATTTCTTTCATTCTGTTTTGTTTCATTCTATATTGTTATTGTTTGGGGTTTGTGGTTTTTTTCTTTCATTCTATATTGTTATTGTTTGGGGTTTATGGTTGTTTGTCTTTTTTGCTTTTTGTTTTTCTTTTCTGACTTTTCGCTTTTTAAAATAAAAATTAATAAAAAAAAATCAGATGCCCAAAGTTAAAGGAGGAAAGATATATTTAAAGCACAGTTTGTAGAGGTTTCAGTCCATAATTAGCTAGCTCCAGGAAAGGCTGGCTTCAAAGAGGAGAACAGTTCATGATAGGCAGAAGACAACAAATTCAACAATCAAAGCTTAACAGCATCTTTCTACCCTTTTATACTCTAGCTAGGCTTCTAGGATGAGGGTGTGCCAAACAAATCAGTCAACTGATCACATACCTTAATCCCAGCATCACACACGCTAGTTTCAGTGACCTCTGAAAAAGCTCTGGGATGGCATGAGGCTTTGCAGGGACCTTGTAATGGTTGATACACAGTGTCAACCTGAGAAGTCTAGAAGCTTAACTAAGTAACTCAGCAGCTCTACATCCTGTGGAGTAAAGTGGAGTAAAGGACCAGCCCTTAGCACTCCAGGATGTTTTTCACTGTGTCAGTCTGAGAAGGTCAGAAGTTTAAGTGTTTCAGCAGGGGGCCAGGGTCCCTACTTCGTAAGTATCCTCAGCCTGTGCAAGAGGAAGGCGCAGAGATGGTGTGAGTGCTACACTCACCCAAGAGGTACAGGCTGCTTATAAGAGAAGGGAAGAAAAGAGGCTTGCTCTTCCCCTCCTTGCTCTTGCTGCCTTCAGCTGCCATGAGCAGCTGCCCCTGTGCTTTCCTCACTTAAATTTGGGTGTCAGGTATTTTGTCTTAGCAATGAGAAAAGCAACCAGGATATGTACAAAGGGAATTTAAATGGACTTGACTTTATAGCTCACTGATTACCAGTAAGATATGGAAACGTCAAGAAAGTCCAACTAGCAGAAAGATGAATCAGACTGAAACTTGACCTTCTGCACTTGCCAGGCTCACACAGGCTCAGTAAAGGCTCACTTGGATGCATGAAACTCCAGCAGATAAGATCAAAGACAAATAGCTCCTGCACCTCTGACTTCTTTGACAGCAGCCTCATTTGCATTCCATTTGCATGCCAAACAATCAATAGATTCTCTTTCAACAAAAACCAATGGGTGGTTCAACAAAAACCCAAGGTGGGTTTCCCTACCAACTTTAGTCTGAAGGCTCCCATGACAAAAGTTACATACCTTAAGCAAGTGACCCTCATGAATTCAGGTAACTATTTAGCTGATCAGTCTATTCCCTGCCCAGTGAATCTCTAAAACCCAGGTCCCATAAGTTTTCATTGGACTCTAGCACAAGGCAAAGAGATGAAGTGCCTCAGCTCTGCTGAGATTCCACAGTGAACTTCTATGAAGACACTGGGTCCAAGGCTCACACCAAGAAGTGATTCTGCTGCTTTGGGCAGTCAGTGAAACCTCTGTAACTGTCGGCTCTTCCCATCTTTTCTTGCTGTTACTCGTGCTTATTTTCTGTTTGTCACCTCACATTCATTCCTGCATTTTTCTCTTTCTTGCCTGTTGTTCCAGGAGGTGACATCAATGATTTCACTGACCTTGCCCTCTGGCATAAGTGGTTTTCAGGAGATCAGGAGCAAGAGGAAGAAGAGGGTGAGAAACTGAAACCACCAAGACATGCGCCAGTCTGTCTGTTTCCCTACCCAGAGCCAAGATGACTGTCAGGCTCCTTCCTCCACGGCTACATGCTCCCTCTTCCCAGCCTTTCTGGTTTCTCACTGTTTCTTTCCCTGGAGTGTGTCACCACATCTGACTGATTTCCCTCAGCATTACACAGACATGTGTACAAAGGTTTCAGTCCATAATCAGCTAGCTCCAGGAAAGGCTAGTCCAAATTCTCTCCAACCATCCATTTTGAGGGTGTTGCTCTGACAGATGCAGTGTCTTCTGCAGAGGTTTCCAGGAAACATGCCAAGGATCCCATGGTGCATTGCAGATCACACAGTAGACTCAGCAAAGGCAATTATGCCCCTTGACTGAGATAGGTTTCACTCTGTGGCTAGCCCAAGGGCCAATACCACAGTCACTGACAAGTGTGGTCACATATGATGTACAGGAGGGAGGCAAGACTTGGGGTATATGGGGTTTGCCTCATGGCAAATTCTTTTCACCTTTGGACCTTCCTCTGCCTCAACAAAACTAGCTTACCCATTTTTACTACAATTGTACTGGATTCAGAGCAAAAGACTAAAACCCAACAGGCCAAATGCAGCACCCAGCCTGTCAGCAGAGATCAAGCAATGCCCAAGCACTATGGGTACCAAGAAGGGACGAGGGATGCGTGACTGGGTGTATCATGCGGATTCTCTTAACTTCTTTTAAAGTTTTCTACAAATTCTAAGTAAGGTTTATATCTATCTTATCATTCCTCAAAAATATACTTTTGCATCATGAAAATACATGTCATAAAAAAATGCTTCATAGCGGGCAGTGATCAGGAATGATCAGGATGAGAGTAGTAAGCAGCTCCTACCTTTCCACCTCGGTCACCTTTCAGTCCAGGAAGTCCCAGTTCACCTTTTTGTCCCTAAAGGGAGAGATACAATTAGAAAACATTGGAACCTAGCTGAGTATATCTCTGTCTCTGTTTCTGTCTCTCTCTCTCTCTTCTCTCTGTCTGTCTCTCTGTCTCTGTCTCTATCTCTGTCTCTGTCTCTCTCTTCCTGGATCCTCACTCTCACTCTAACCTGCCCTTCTCTCATAGAAAGGCCAGCACAAACCTTGACTCATAGGAGGTCCTGTCAGGTTATGTGTGAAGCACTGGACTCTCCACTTGGACCCTGCGGAGGTGCTTCCCACCCGCACTCCATCAGTTCAGTCTGAAGATACTCCACCCTGTCCACAGCTATCACACTCTTAGTACAGCTTAGTAGGCACAGTATTTATCCCCTTTATTTCATTTCTACCAATATATGAGCTACTCTATTCATCCCTCCTCAAGGGAATAAGACTTCAGAGGGGGTGCTTCCCATGGGGACCACCTGGGGAACATGGGTGGCAAGAGGCCACTAAGCTTACCTGGTCTCCCTTCTCTCCTCTCACACCTGGGAACCCTGGAGCACCTGGAAGGCCAGTTTCTCCCTGTGAGAACAAAAGAGCTGCTCTGTCCATTAGGCCCCCATGGGAGGGCTCTCTTACGGGAAAGGCTGTGGGCAATGCGCTCTTCAGCTCCTGCCCCATCCCCAGAAAGCTTTAAGCTTAGTGGAGGTCACACAGAAAACAAAGCAGTGGAGAAAGGGGAAATCTAGACCACCAGGGATCCTCTAACTCCTTCCCACTTGGGCTATTTCCTCTTCCAGGAACCTGTTCCAAATTTCTGAGTGTCTAAGTCCACTTGTCATTTAAAACTCAATTCAAATGTCACCTCAGGGTTTACATCTGGAGGTCCCCCAAATGCATATGCATTCAAAGATGGGGCCTCTGAAAGGTGACTGAGATGTGAGGCCACCAGAGCTAAGCATCATGTTAGGAGGTGGGGTCTGGTTGAAAAAGGTGGGCCACTCGGGGAGTGATCCAGGAGGGTGTATCTCCTGCTACCCTGACCTTCTCTCTGCTTTCTGACTACCATGAGGTGGACAGCTTTTCTCCACCAGACCCCTCTTCCATGCTGTCCTGATTGGAGCAGGCTAAGCATGACTGAAACATCAGCCAAAACAGACTTTTCCTCCTTTAAATAGTATCAGGTATTTTATCCTAAAGGCAAAAAAGATGACTAAGATACAGCTCTTAACTATCCTCCCTGACGTTTCCATCCTCACTTTTCTCACCTCGGAAAGCCTTGCCCCAGGTCCCTCGGGGACACTGTGTGTCATTACATGTTATATCTGTTCAATAGTTCCCCAGTGTCCAGTTCAACTAGTTTTGTGGTCGTAACCTCAGCAATGAATATACTAAACATGCTCGGTATTACTGAGTAAATAAACCAATGAATGTGATGGACTCCAAAGACAGGCTTACTTCCTGCCTGCATCTGAAGAATTTATATCAGACCTGCGATACAACAGTGAATGAATCAATTAAATGAGTGAAATGTATGAATGGAAGCACAAACAATCAGACCTTGTTTCCAGGATGGCCTGCCAGGCCTTGCTCCCCAACTTCACCCTAAAAAGAGAATATCAAACATACCATTATGTTCCATGCACATTTCAGGTGTGGTTTTGTGCCCCAGCTGGGCTCACATATCCACAGCTGCTGGAAGTCACAACCCTAATTCTCAAACGTGGAACACAGTTAAGAGCACAAGGGCCAGCAGCTGTGCAAAACCAAGTGGCCAGCATTTCTAAAGAGCGTGCTTCCACGCTCCCTCATACTGTCTCTTGCTTGAGCTCAAAGAAATAATTCCTGAAACTCCCTGCCAGAGTTTAATCAAGGTGCATCTGCATATCTGGAGCCTAAACTCATCTAATACAAATGATAACAAACCAAAGTCTCTGACCTTTTCTTAAGAAAATTGGGTTTCTGATAAGGCAGTGGACAGAGGGAGGAGGGAAGGTACAAACAGGTGATGAGCACACAGATAGGGATTTTCACCAAGATTCTGCCAGACTCCACTGGCAATGGTCCCCACACCACCACTATTTATCGGAGAAAAGAAAAGGAAACATGCAGGGGAAAAAGAAGAAAGAAAAAAGGAGGGAAAGGAAAGGAATGGCAGTCACCAAAGGCAATGTTCAATGTAAGATGTGTTTAATTCTGGAGCTCAGAGCCACCCTGGAAACTGGTGTCTGGAGTCCTGACACATTGGAAGTCTAGACGCACTCCAGTGTGCCCATCGATGCCCGATGTTAACGAGCACAATTAGTGAGAACTGCACCAACCAGAATTGTTCAAATACTTGGCACTGGAGTTGTTACTTCAAATCTGCTAGGGTAGTGACACATGTGATGTGGAAATAGCTTCTGATATGCTGAGAAAGGCAGAGGCTGAGCGAGGTTAGAAAGACGCTCTAAAGACCATGTGAAGTACACCCCGAACTTGTGTGGTATACTCCAATTCCATGGCACCTGGAGAAGAAACTGAATGCTGTCTTGAATTATAACAGTGAACCTCAAAACACAGAACCTACAGTGAGGCAGCCCATGCCTCAGATGGGCCCCAATAGCCTGCCAGCTAAGAGTGACCCATCACCATCTTGGGAAATATTTTTTTCAATTTCAGCTGGAACTTTGTCAAAATAAAGTGAGAAAACCTGTGCCAGATCTGCACTGAGCACAAAAGTCAATTGAAAAGCCCAGACACACTGTAATCCAGTTTTAAAGTCCTCAGAGAAACATTTCAAACATATCACATTTGAAATCATGTAAAAAATAACACAGGTGAGACACTGCAAATAGACTTCTCTGTTTGAATATTTCAATCACTAGTGATTACTGAAATATGATACACATGGATCCAAAGATTAAAGAAACCCCCAAGTGGACCTCTGCACCCCAATACTTCATCTCTAAAACCGTGCACAAGACACTTGAATGAAGAGGTTGCTACTGAAGTCGTGAACAGAGGGCTGAAATTCATATTGTGTAAGCTCAGGAAAACCTGATAATTCCCAGATTTGAGCAAACACAATTATTAGGTATGGTCCACTAAAAAGAAATAAAAAAAAAAAAAAAAATCCAAGCCAAGAATGAAGAGGAACAGCCAACCTCTCCAAATGTTAAATCTGTGTAATTCTTTCCTGGAAAGTGACAGAATTTCAACCAGCTAACCACTGAAAAGCAGGCTGAGTGCTTTTAAGATCACATACTTCCTCACAAGCATCACCGCTGCACAGGCTGTAGGCATGGAGAAAACAGAAAATTACTGTATTTTAATGAACTGGGGATCATCACACTGTTTACAGAAAATACCACTATTGGATCCTAAAGCTCGAAGCACTACTGTGCTTTTAAGTGATGGTGGGATGATTCCCAGCTGCACTAGGGGGTTCATGCACTGGTCCTGGGATGTGGAGTCCAGGAAACAGGGGACTTCCCAGGGGGCTGCTGGTAGCACTCTGCACAGTTTGGGCCAGCCTGGGCACCCCCAAGTTGGGTTGGATGCCAGTTACTCTTGGCCTTTTCTGCTCCATTTTGATTTAATTTTCTAAACAATATGGTCACTTAAAAGAGAAATAGTAGGGAACCCAAGGGCTCAAGAATTTTTCCACCAGAGGCACTGGCATCAGCCAGCCATGAGGTGACCTGTGCTGGACCCTTCAGTGTGGTCAGTGTGACAGCTCCATGAGTGCAGACCGGGCTGGGCTGATTTGTCAACTCACCCTCAGTCTTTCCCACCCTTAGTGAGCCTGGCTTCAGGTTGGACGTGGCTAAGACTGGACACTGCCCTTAAACAGCTCAGACCTCAGGAGAAGAGAGGGAGGTAGATGGAGAAAGGAGAGTCAGACCCAGTTATGCCTTCCCTGCTGGCCAGAAGCTTCCAGAAGCACAGGTGTAGGCACAAAGCACACGCATCATACATAACCCCAATATACACATGGTCCAGCCCTCCCTTCTTGCTTGCTGAACCGCAAGCTCAAGCCAATTGAGGTGTTCAGAACGCCTCTAAGAACAAGCCCTGTGACCTGTGAAGACAGCCAGGCAATGAAGCTCACATTTTCACTGCCATAGCTCTTGCTGGAGATGAGACGTATCCACCAGTTGTAGGTCTCCCCTTCTAAGAACCCCTCTTCCCTTCACCTCCTTCCTAGAGAGGGCTTGACTCTGCTGGTGCCTGCTTCATTGCATGCTGCCAGCCCTAAAGGAGCCCCTGAGCCCTGCTGGGCCTTTCTGAATAATCTTTCCAACGCCTATGTGCTTCCTGCTGGGACCCAGTGGATGCACAGTTCTGGTTGGTGAGCTGAGTTCATACATAGCCCTGAACATACCACCCAGAGTAACAAGTGGAATAGAGGGAAAAGGGAGCCAAGTGTGGTGGTGCAACCTGTAATCTCAGTGCTCTAGGAGGCTGAGGCAGGGGAATCACAAGTTTGAGCCCAGCCTCAGCAATTTAGCAATTTAGAAAGATCCTATCTCAAAAAATTTTGTTTAAATTAGGGCTGGGATACAGCTCAGTGTGAAATGCCTAGATTAAATCCCCAGTGCCAGAAAAGAAAAGAAAAAAACAGGGAGGAAAGGTGACTTCTTACCCGAGGTCCCGGCTTCCCAGGCAGGCCGGCTTCTCCGCTTTCCCCTGGCTCTCCCTGTCAGGAACACACACACTGTTAACAGGAGAGGACTCTGCACATCACTAGCTACAGGCAGAGAGGGAGGGGTGGCTGGCACTTGGCTGGTTTCTGTGGCTGGGATTTTTTACTTCTTTGTTTGCAGTCCTGGTGATTAAACCCAGCACCTTCACACTAACTGACAACTCCACCACCTTTCTATCTTTTATTTTGAGACATGGTCTCACTAACTTTCTAAATTGCTCAGCCTGGGCTCAAAATTGCAAACATCCTGCCTGTGTCTCCCAGAATGCTAGGGTCCCAAGCACGCAACATCATGCCCTGCTTCTTGGATGATTTCGAACTGTCCTATATGGTCATCTAAGCATGGGGACCAAACATTGCAGTATATGTCACCTCCTACATGCCATATTAAACAGCTCTAATTGTGACTAAACATATGTAATTAGTAGAAACAGCACCTTTTCATATTGAGAGATTTAGAGTAAAAAAAAGGATAGTATAGATAATTTTTAGAAGACAAAATACTTGACTGTCTTCTGAAAGACCAGTGAGAGGAATGGAGGATATTTATATACATTCCCTACAAAATGAAGTTAAAGTCATATTTATTCTGCATGTTGTCATGACATAGTTAAAACATTTAACTTTCTAAGTTTATTAGAATGGTAATGAATTTTCTCATAACATTCAAAAGGTACCTGCAATAGTCACCTTTCCAGCACTGCCACATGCCTACTTAAGCCTATTCATGTTTGCTAGGGAAGAATAAAGTTCAGCTGTTAAAAATATTTGTTGCAGAATTGTGTGAGTGTTCATTTAAAATATCTAAACTGAGAGTTTGCTTCCCCACTTGATAACCTATACTCTTACCTTAATAATCCTGATATAAAAAATAACAATTCTGATTTAAGCAACACTAGAAAGTTTTAGAAATGCAAGCCTCTGATGTTAATATGGGTATAACAATTTTTCCTCCTTACAAACAAAATACTCACTTATGACAGATTGATTTTAAAACCTAAAATCTCAAAAGTTCCCATCCCCTCCTCAGTCACTTCAGGAAGAAAGAGCTCTCCTGTATTTGACCTCATACATCCAAACATTTCAACACAGTTAAGACTCGACTAAAGGCCCAGGAGATAACTGATTCTTTCAATAGTCAAAGATCTCTTTGGCTCTTGTGTTTCTGGTTCCCAAACTCATGATATCCATGAGCACCAACCTTGGATCCTGGAAGGCCTGGTGATCCGTTCAGCCCATCCCTTCCAGGTGGCCCCTGGGATGAGAGGAAAGAAATTAAAGTGATATACAAGGCACAGGAGGGAAGAACTTCACTAAGTTGTTCAAGCCAGGAACTGATTCTGTGCCCAGAGACTCCAATGCCCAGCTCCCTCTCGCTTGCATCAGTCCAACCTCCCTAGAGTGGCCAGTTTCTGCCAGGAGTGGGTATCCTAAAGCTCTCTGGATGAAGAAACAAATATCCACTCTGATCTGGCTTCCAGTTCCAGTTCCCTGGTCACATAAGGTCAGTGAGTGGGGAAGGAGGGCCTGTTGAAGCCAGCGCCAAGGCTTCCATTTCCATTCTCAGCCTCCAGAGGCCCCCGATGTCCTCTCTGTTATCCCTAATCTTCTCTTCAGAGTCTCTTTGCACCACATTTCTCTTCTTACCATGTGTTGTAGTCAGGCGTTACAAGGAGAACAATCACATACAAGACACAGAATTTATAATATTATTTTATGATGGTCACCCAGAGTTAAATACAAGAAAGTGCAGAAAATCTGTCCACAACACTGAAGACCCAGAATATTCGGCCAAGAAACTGGGTCCCACAGTAATGTCCTGCATGAGTCCAGATGAAGACCTAAAGCCTTTGGCAATGTCACCCTTGAGTCTGACTGGAAGTCTAAAACCCACAACAAGGACTCATACAAGTCTGTTTTATGGATTTGCCTTGGGAAAGCCCAAAGGTCAGCAGTGGAAGGTAGAAAGTCTATGCCAGTGGGTGAAGGATCTGTGCCAATAGGCTGAGGGTTCTACACTGGAGCCAAGAAATGGCACTCAAAATAAGGACCGGGGCTGCCCTGAAAAGCACCACAGCCATCCTCAGTGACAATGAAGTCCTGAGCTTTTCTGACAATGAGAACAGTCGAGTTAATGTCAGAAAGGCAGTATGGCAAGCTTCTCCTGGAGATTAAACAGCACACATCTTCCCCTCTGGAGCTAGGAGCTCAATGTAAGAAGCTGAGCTTCCCCAAAATGAACCACAGCCACTGTCAGTGACAAGGTCCCAAGCTCCTCCAATGATAATGGCCAAATTCGTATTAGGGAAGCCAGCATGACAAGCTCCTGCAGGAGAACTAAACACCGACACTTAAGAGAAGCCACAGGTCTCCTTTTACACTGGAAGCCTTCCTCAGGTGGCCATCTCCACACAGCACCATGCTGACTTAATTCAGCTGGTGCCACGTTAAGCACCAGTTTTTAATCTATAGCACCATGCTTTTCCGGCCTCTTCCAGTCTGCTGGAACAGTTCGGCATTCTTGCTTTCTAGTTCTGAGGAAATGTCAGGGGGGCTCTTTGCTGGATTTGGTGATTCACCCTTGTCTTTACCATCTGGCAGGACAGGTGTTACTGATTCTGTGTCTACAGCCTGGGCTGGTGGAAGGAAGAGTTTCACCTGCACAGAGCACCTACCCTCAGGGAGGGTAGGACGAGAGGCTTGCTGGAGGGCTGCAGCTACATGGATCCACAGAGGCATTTGACCAAGATCAAATACCAGTGCCACGGCTGTGCTGCACACATCATCTTGATATGACTGTGAATTCTCTGCTCAAACTCTTTTTGCTCCTGCAATGCCCTCCCTCTTCTGAATGTTCACACTGATGCAACTACTTTGATGAGCCCACGGAGTCAGAAGAGATGAAAGTGTTCACACTGTCACATGGCTCTGTTCCTCCTGCAATTGTTTACGAGTGACACTGCAGTTGACTGTGTGTTGGTGACAATGCAGTTTACCTGGGATGCTTTCTGCATTCACATCAGTTCACCTGAATAATGTCACACCATTGAGGGTGTGTCCCGTGCCCTTTGGTGCAGTGCACTGCAGCTCCACGGAACTCAGCAGTGTGGCCGGGGCCTCTGGTCCTGTCTGCTAGGTCTTGATCTATGCCTGCCAGCACTTCATGGCCAGGAAGAAAGAAGACAGCTGCCATTCTCTGCACCATCAGCTCTGCTCCTCCTCCTCATCCCTCCATGTATCTGTATTTCCCTCAGTGCCCTGAGCTGTTCTTAGGTGGCTTTCCACACCAGTAGCTCCTTGGCACAGCAAATTCCACAAGGTAAGCAGAGACCCCGAAGGGCAGGTCAAAGGGTCTACTGAGCACTTGCTCCCATGGTTCCAGAGTGTTCACAGACCCTCTCCCAGTCTCCCCTGAAGAGCCACACACTGACAGGGTAAGGAGACATGGCCACATCTAACTATGCAGTTCCAGGATGATGGTCATGCTGGCTGAGATCCACCTATGGGATTCAAGCAACCAAAGGCTGGAGACCCTGTGATCTCAGTTTGCAGGCAGGAGAACATCATCGGGATAATTCAGGACTAGCCATGCCCTGCGCTATGCCCTGCCACGTGATATTTTGTTTCTCAGTTTCTGTGCTCAGTGTTTGTGTTACTCTCCACGTATCCATTAAGGCCAAATAGTCATATTTTCAAAAGCAAGGGGTGTGGATTTGTCTTTGGATGCTATTTGCACCCTGCCCAGGGCACAGGTGGGGATGGAGCAGTCCTGGGTAATAGAAGGAGGAGCCGCTGCAGAAGGAAGAGTTGTGCTGAGCTAGAGTATGGGAACCACTGGGTCAGGGAAGGAGTCTGCATCAGCTGAAAGGGTTGGGCCCATTCCTGATAACGTGGAATGAGGGAGAGAGAGGGGAGCAGAAGACATCCCAGGATACTCACAGCATGCCCAGGAGGCCCAGGTTTGCCCGGGAAACCAATCTCTCCAGGTAAACCCTGAAAACAGACCACATGGAGGCCGTTAGCCAAACTGTACAGAGAGCAGATCAGTGTTGCAGCTTGGTCGTGGCGAGGTCCTGTGCCTCTGGCTCAGATGAGGCATGGTTCACCCTCAGCACCGGCCACTTTGAAACATGTAACTGTCATCTCTCTAGAGGTGGCAAATTCACAGCTTGTCTGGTCTTCAGTTAGCGCCCACCATCCTGTTCTCTGCTACTTCATGAGATCGGTGGAACAACCTACAATAGTTGGGCTCAGTGACACACAGCAGGAGAACTGGACTCCCTTCCTTGTGCCCACTGTGGGGTTTGCTCTGCCCAGCAGGTAAGTGTGGGCTCTGCCTGCTCTGCCCGAATGAGGATAGTTTCCCAATTTCCCACTGGACAATGGGAGGTTAAATGTTCTCATGCATTTGCCCTGGTCCTCTGTTTCACTTTAAAGCCAAATTACAAATACTGAAAGTGCCCAACTTGGCCACCCGAGCCCCACATGTCTCTCATATGTCCCTTGTCCCTGGAAGCCAACAACCAAAGCACCACATTGGTTCATGTGCTATTTGTCCTAAAAGAGGTCCAAAGTCTTGAGGATCCAGAGATTTGGGAGTGTCTCCTGAGAGGACTCCTACTGTCTGTGCTTTTGCACTGGACTCTTGTAGAGAAGCAGCAAGTTTCTCTAGAGGAAGACATACTTAGCTCCCATCAACCAGAAAACATCCATCAAATGACCCTGGTGAAAGAAGATTAAAGCCAGGCTTACCGGTGGGCCCACAGGTCCAGGGGGGCCTGGGACACCCGGGGGTCCTGAGGGACCCTGTAAGGAGAAAACAAGAGTGGTTATAAATGTGCACAGAGCAGCCTCCTGGTAACAGTTGTCATTTAAGAGAGGAAAAAAGAAAATGGGACAGGGACAAGATGGGACTTCAGCTGGATTTGCAAAGCCTACTTCAAACCAGAAAGAACAGAGCAAAAAGGGGGGAAAAAAACCTCTGATCAAATTTGCAAAATTCTAATGAGTGTCATACTAAGGTGCTTGGTATTTAACATGTTATGTCCATTTTACAGTACATTTAACGTATTTGAACGCACAAACCTGTGCGCTCACAGTGGCTGAGCCCATGGGAAAAGGTCTTCCCTAACACTACCAATCCTTAGCCACTAAACCAGAACTGGAGGTCGGCACTGGAACCATCTGGGATGAACCACTCATGGCTTCCCCAGGTCCCCAGTGAGCCACCTGTGACCCCTCCTCTCACGACTGCATGCAGCTGGTCCCCACGGCCCCTGCCAGGTCTGGACCTGCACATCACTCTAGTCATTCATTCCCTACCCGCACCCACCGGGCCACATTCAGGAATGGTGAATGTATGAGACAGGTGCCTTCCGTGGGCAGAAACCAGGACAGCCCACGTCCAATGAGAGAGAGGGCTGGGCAGGGCGGGGTGGAGGATGGTTGCAAACAGGCAGCTGTTTTGGAAAAGGATGCCTGTCCTCTGTGTCACAGAGCAGGGGTCTCAGGGAGGCAGGCCAGGGGTCAGAGAAGGCTCCCAGACCCTAAAATAGCAGAAGAAATCACCACCAGGCCAGGTCAACAGGGCCAGGTGAGGCACGGCACAAGGAGAGCAGCAGGGGTGAAGGCACCGTGCCCTGAGTACAAGAGCACGAGATGCACTGCGGGTGCCAGGGTGGACAATGGGCTTTACAGGGAGGGTCACAGAGTCGGCGATGGAGACACTGAGGACAAAAGTCCATCACACATGCTCACAGAAAACAGTTCACAGTCTGGAGGTGAGCGGGAAGGCCGCTGGACACCGGGCTGAGGGCCAGGACCTGGTCAGAGCAACGCAATAAGGGAACCCTCTCAGGGAAGGGGAGATTGAGGGTCCACCATGCAGCACCCCCTCATCTGGAATCTGGAACTCAGTCATGCAGAGGAATCTTGACTGGCTCCCGTTTCTTGACTGTTGTGCTTCTCTGCCTGACATTCTGAATTCCTCCGTCTGTTCACAGCCTCCCTCCCTCTCACCTCCACCACTGCCCACCCGCCTCGGAGCTGCGGATGCCTGGGCATTTCCCCAGGGGCTCTCTGGACAAGCCCTCCTCCGTGGCTCCCGTTTTGTACAACGGTCTCTGGTTCCCCAGATGAAACCAGTTTCTCCTCGATCCACGCTCAAGGCCAGTGCAACTGTTTATCTGACCCACATCCTCTCACATGTGGCGTCTCTCATTCCCTCTACATCTCCAGGGCTGGGCACAGAGCAGAGCTCACAAACTACTGCAAGCCACCGCAGTGGAAGAGCCAAGGACAGTGGCAGCGTAAGGCCACCAGAGGGCGATACACACTAAAAGATGGCAGAGGTCTTGCAGCCTGGAACTGTTCCCTTTCCTTCCTCTGGGTGGCGAAGGTGGGTCGAAAACATTTCCTAAAGGACTGACGTTTTGATGGCACATTGATTTCGTTTTCTTTACCGCTCACTTAGACCTGGAGGATCTTCAGTGTTGCATTTGCCCTTCCTGAGATGTCTACTCTAAGCCGGAGTCCCTGAGCAGGCCGCAGAGGTGGGTGGGTCCTCCCTGGTGGATGAGGGCTGGTACAGGAGACCTGGAAAAAGGCCCCATTCTCTGCCTCCTCTGCTTTCAGTCCCTGTTGCTGCAGCAGAAAGAGGGCCCAGCTAGCAGCAGTGCAGCCACCACCTCCGCCAACCATCCACCCCACCCCACCCCACCCCACCCACTACCTCTGCTCCAGAATGGTCCCTCAGGGTGAGCTCAAAGAGTCTTCCAGCGGGTGACTGTGCCATCAGAGCTTCTCTCTGGGCCCCTCTCAGCCGTGCTGCACCCTCTGCCAGCAACAAGGGCACCTTTCCACTGCTTCCCTCCTGACATTTCCTGTGATGCTGACTATCCTCAGTGTCAGCCTCCTAATGGGTCCCTTCAGACCCTTTGCCTCTAACAAACGCTCTGGTGCGACTGCTGTTTGCAAAGCAGAATCACTGCCCTGTGTTTCACCTGCTGGAACTTTAGTGATCATCCATGAACACGGAAATGAGACCTCCTTGTTTGACACAGAAAAAAATAAATAAATAAAACCAAACCCAGAGAGGGCAAGGGCTTTACTAGACCCCACAAAGCCAAGCTCCCAAAGTGGGGGAGAAAGTGGCTCCTGCACAGTTTGGCCTTTGTAGGAGCACCTGGAGGACACAGGGGGCCCCATTAGGCTCAGCAGCAAGTCTGGGACACATGGCAGAGGTGAGAGACCTCTGAAACACCAGGTGATTCTGATGAGCCAATGGGTTTCGGAATTATTCATGTAGGCCAGGATACCTTCTGCGAATAACAAAGAGGAGAAAACCCAGGGAGAGAAAGGAGAAATGCAAGAGGGCAGGGCAGGGCAGGCTCTCTCTAACCAGGGCTGACTTGGGTCATCCACCCCTGCACTGATCCTGTGAGCTAGCTTCTTTTGGCCCATGCTGCAAAGGAGGCATAGGCACTTGGAGGGGAACTGACAATCCATGGGGCTGTTGTGGGGACTCAGCACCCAGATCCCATCAGTTCCCCCAGGTCCCACAGCCCAGCCATGGGAGACCCTCTCCTGGCCCACCACCCCAGCTCCACTCCATTTCAAAAAAGAGCAATGTGACACACTCCAACAGCCTCTGCATATTAACTAGGCTGAGAGTTTAGGGCCTTGGATACAGGCTGGAGATCTCTGACCCCAACACCTGGTTCCCTGCAGTGCACACACTGCAGGTTTAACCAGGGCTTGGAAGATCTGCTGTTAGGTTCCACAAGCCAGGGGACACTCATTAACATAACAAATGTGGGATGGAGTGCAGGAAGGGGAGAGAGACTGGGAGAGAGGGGGAGAGAAAGAGAGAGAGGTTGATTACTACAGGCAGCAGGAAACAGCTGTGGGCAGACCACAACTGGTTTCCAGCTGGCATCACACAAAGTGGGCAGGGGATCTGTCACCAGCCTCCATATCTTCTAAGTCCCGGTGGGAAGTGTGGGGGACAAGAGGAAAGAGCAATCAAGGTGTGGCCTCAGGCAGCCACCTAGCCCTGGGGACCTGCTCTGATGGCCACAGGCTGCCTTGGGACAGCACAGAAATGCGCAGGGGCCCAGGAGCTGTGTGGAATAGCTACCTTCCCTTCAGAGGTGCCAGTCTTGTCCTACGACATCACCTTCAGCTACTGGGGCCTTGGGTCTAAGAGAAACTAGACTTACTTCAGATTCAGATTCTGGGGAATAGTGGGTAGTCATCAGGGCAGGGGCAGGTTTCTGGAAGGACCCTCAAACTGCAGGTGACAATTGCCACTCCTTCAACAGCAAGAAAAGTAAACTTTTTAAAGCTCCAGTCACACGGCTGACCTAGAGCCAGCTAGCGGCCTACAGGTACAAGGAACTTTAGTCACTTCCTTAGACAACCCAAGTGCTCTCATTTCAGCAGAGGGCTGCTTTGTGCCCAATTAACAAAATGACCAGATGGAAGAAGCCTCGGCTGCTACTTCCACCTTCCTCTCTGGACCACGGGCTCTCGTGGCTCCCTGGCTCAGCATCTGGTACATCACACTGGTCACTCACACACCCATCACAGGCCACCAGGAAACAGAGAACGTTGAGAGGGATCTGCAGCACCCCTTTGGATGATGCAGGGAGAGGATGGGAGGGCAAGGCCCATGTGCAGGAGCAGGACAAGGGACAGACCTCTGCTCAGCTGGTCTCTCCTCTGCACTCCAACAAGCCTGCATGATGGTCTGGAAATCATAGCCTTTCAATTTGTTTTTTAAAGTAAATCTTGGCATTTATTTTGAAAACATAAAGAAAGTGAAGTGGCTGTACAAATCAAATGAAGTACACCTATGGGCCAAATGCCGTGTTCATTCAGGTATTTAGTCTGTAGCCTTTAGCTTCTCCATCCCTCAGAGGACAGAACCCTTGGGTGGTAGAGACAGATGCTCACATGGAACGAGCTGGGAGAGATGAATGATCAGGAACTGGTTGCTGTGATCTGTGCCAGAAAGTGCCTGGGCTGTTAGCTACCAAGGACCAGCCTGGGAGAACTCTGTGCTGCTGCCCTACTGGGGTGGGTAAGGAAACAACCTGGAGGGGCCTGATGGGTACAGGAGATTCTATTGGGGGGGAGGAGGGGTAAGGAGGGCCTTGGGCTTGGCAGGGTGAACCACTAAAGAGAGGAGCTGAGAGGAGGTCTGTGTCCTTGTCCTACTCCTGCACATGGGCCTTGCCCTCCAATCCTCTTTGATAAAGAGTTGAGTTAAAATGTTTTCAGAATCTGAAGAGAAGGGAGAGAAGAAGAGAGACAGAGAGAGGGAGACATAAGATGGATACAAGAAGTTGACAGAGGGAGGGAGGGAAGGAGAGGAGGTGGCCAAGAGATGGACAGACAGACAGACAGACAGACAGTGGGAATGTGAATGCAGAGTCCTAGTATATATCCGGTGCTATGGCTGAGCACTCCAGGCAAGGCTTTTGCATTTTCTAGAGAAGACAACACTCCTTAATAGAATCCAAACACATCTCACTTTGTGTTTTGTTTTTTGTGTGTGTGTGTGTTGTGTTGTGTTTTGTTTGGATGATGGATGGGGCACTTGCTCATCCTCCCCAACCTTACGGCACCTTATAGGGAGGCTCAACAACTGAGGTTGAAATTGGACCAACTTTTGCTGGCCTTCTGATCAGCATTAATGGTTACCCTCATGCTGCCCAATGCTTCTCTTGAAAACTGAGTTGAAAGGTCGTCCAGTGAAACAGGTATTTTAGTAACCTTGTTGGTCAGTTTCCAAATATAACTAG